GATAATTTTTTTAAACATTAAAAATAATTATTTTTTATTTTATTTTTATTTCTTTACAATTTTTCTATATTTTTTTGCATTATTTTCTGTTCATTCTGTGCAAATATTTACATACTTTTTTTACGTAAGCCTATTTTTACGTGTTTATTTTTGTCGTTCCTTTTTCTCAATTTTAGCCCTTTTTCGAAAATTGTTTGCAAAAACAAAAAAAACGATTTTTACAAGGGTATTTCACAGCATTTTTGGGTATTTAAGTGTTCTTTGGGGGTGTTTTGGCGCATAGACGGTTTGGCGCGCGCTTTTATATTGGCATTAAAAATGAAGATAGGGGGCTGAATTTTCTTTTAGAATATCCTAAAAGTGTTAACTACCTTCTCTAAAAATTTTAGAATTTTTGGTACAGTAGTTCTCGAGTTATGATAGAAAATCTGGAGAGACTCTTCGTTTTTTTAAATTCTGATAGTATTTCTTTAATAATTTCAAAATTATTGAACCAAAAATTCTGAAATTTTTAGGGAATGTAGTTGACATCTTCGAGAATCTATTTTCAAAATTTTAGGACCAGAAAAACTCCCATACCTCACCTTAGAGATCGGCAAAATCGAATTTCCATGATCCCGTAACGGGATTGAGTTTGAAAAAATCTAACGGGAGGGATCCCGCAGGATTAAGCCCGAAGTCCCGTTAATCCCGCTCGTCGCTAAAAACCCGGGATTTCGGGACGGGATCCCGTAAAATCCTGCCCGGGGTCCATCCCGTGCCGATCTCTACCTCACCTCCCCAACTCAGAACAAAATGGTCAAAATGTAAAATGTTAAAAAGGGTCAGTCTTCATAACCTTTACTTAAATATAAATTTTCTTTTACTTTCCCCTCCTCATCATTTCTCATCTTTTTTATCCTAAAAATAAATTTTTAAGTGTTTTGTCTACATATTATTGTAATATTTATTTGCCCTCTTATCCCCTTGAACGGTTGTTTTCGCTAAATTGCTTTTCCGACCTTTCCACTCTTCTTACTTTAAATATCTTGTACTCTCCTCTTAAAAATAAAGTCTTTTAAAAAAAGCAAAATATTCATCTTATAAAAATTCTGAAAAATCAGAATTTTCAAAAATTCTGTGCGATTAAATGGGCGCTAAAGCCAAATATTTGCAGGCCTGTAACTTGGCCAAAAGAGCCTCTAAATTTATGAAATTTTGTAGAAATATTGTTAAGGGTGTCCTCTAGATTCTCTAAAATTTTTAGAATTTTAGGGCATTTTTTGGCTGTTTTGTAAGCTTCCGCCTGTCGCTAATGGGAACTTATGCAGTTTAAGTGCACACCCCATTTATTCGCAGGCCAACAATAAGCTATGTTACTATGTACTAGTGATGTTCGGGTATCCCGACTCCCGACACCCGACTCGGGAAATTTCCCGAGTTTTTGGCCTCCCGATCCCGACCCCGACTCCCGATGGCAATTCCCGACTAAGTCGGGAAATTTTTACACCCCTAAGAATGGCTTTTTCTGATAAAATTTTATTTTTGAAGGGAAAAAATAAAGAGAAAAAATAAAAAAAGGGAAAATAAAATATTTAATTTTTTTCCCTGACAACTATTGTTGAGAGGTGGTCGAGTGGTTAAGTTGAGTGCCTAAGTTACTTTGATTGGTCTAGGTTCGAATCCGGGTTTGGAGTATTTTATTTAAATAATTTTTCCATCCAAAAATAAATGGTTTTTAACATTTATTTTGATATTAAAATTTTACAATTATTTTTTTCTATATTATAAACGTCAAAAAACTGTAGAAAAATTAATTTTGTCATGAATTTTCAAAAATTTTCGCCTGCGGCGCAGAAAATCGAAGAAATCATTACAAATTTTTCTAAATTTTGCTTGCAGCGCAGAAAATAAAGAATATCAGAGCTCTTAGCCTTGCAAAATTCTCAAAATTTTCGCCTGCGGCGCTGAAAAATGAAGAAATATGCCTTCTTGGCCATCCAAAATTCTCAAAATTTTTGCCTGCGGCGCTGAGAGATTAAAAATTTGTCTTCTTGGTCTTCCAAATTTAAAAAATTTTCGCCTGCGGCGCAGAAAAAGGATGAATCTAGCTCCTTGTCTTTCCAATTCTCAAAATTTTCGCCCCCGGCGTTGAAAATGGAAGAAATTTTACAGCTTGGCCTTCAAAAATTCTCAAAAATTTCGCCTGCGGCGCTAATAAGGAAGATGTCTGGCCTGTTGACCTTCCAAAATTCTCATAATTTTCCCTTGCAATGCAAAAAACCGGAATTTTTGGCGCCGAAGGCGCCAAAAATTTTTTTATTGTAAATTCCCGACTCCCGATCCCGACTCCCGAGGTCATTTCCCGACCCGACTCCCGTTTCCCGATTCCCGAGTTTTTTCTTCTCCCGAACATCACTACTATGTACTAACCTGAGCAACTTTACTCATGCGAGACGCGTTCCGCTGCCGCAAAACACTACGAGAAGCGCAGGGTTTTGCACATGCGTCTTGCCAACTCCCATAGGTTTGGTTGACCATTTTGAGCCTTTCTCGCGAATAAATGGGGTGGGTACTAAACTGCTTAAGTTACCGCTAATGCCCATTTATTCGCCTTATTCTAAAATTTATTTTTTGCACGGGATTATTCAGAGAATGTTTAATTCAAAGATTTTTTTGTATTACATGTCTTCTTTCTCATATAAAATTTTTTTTTCTAAAATTTTCAATTTTATTTAAAAATAGAAAAATTTTTTATTTCCTAGTCTCAATAACGTGTCATTTTTATGAGTCATAAAATTTCTTACTAAAAAATTTTCTGTTTAATTTTGTCACATATAAATATGTATGCTTTTAATAAATGTTGTTCATTTATATGTATTTATTTTTCCTTATCAATTTCATAATTTTCTGTTCACTTTATTTATTATTTTTTGACAATTAAATTTTCTTTTATTTTTATCATCAACTTCCTATTATGAAAGTAACGGGATTTCTTGCATGTTGACTTTGGGCTGAGTTAAGGCCATTCAAATTTGCAAGAAAACCGGCACACAACAATAGGAAATCGAGGGTGCTCTATCGAATGGTACCAAAAAATATATCAAATTAGCAGTCACAGCAAACGATGGTTCCTTGTTAGAGACGTCCAAGACCCAAAATTTTCCAAGACCCAAGGCTTGGCCCCACCCCCAAGGCCCCACAAGCCCAAGGCTTGACCCTAAAAAAGATACTAAGTCCAGGCTAACGACAAAGATTCATGAACGTCTCTATCCTCCCTTACTTGTGTATAATATTAGGACAATCAACCACAAATACGATTTTATTGTTTTCTGTCCTCAATAATGGACGATAAATTCATTTTACCTCTCCTCTCTCTCCTTCTAAATATATTTTTTAATTATAAATTAAATAAAGCAAGCAATAAATAATTTCAAGAAAAAAGAGGTGAGAAAAGCGAGAATTAAAAAAAAGAGAATTAAAAAAGAGGAGAACAAGGGAAGGGAACAATCATTTTAAAACAATAAAAAATTTTTTTCTGGCCAAAAATTAAACTCTCAAAAATTCTCTTTTTATTTTAAAACATTTTTCTTCTCTTATATTTTTCGCTCTTTTGTCAATTTAATTTTTTTTTCTTCTCATTTTTTACTCATTTTCTTTCTTTTCTGGAAAAAAAGGTCAGTCAACTGTTGACGACCTACATTTTTTAAACAATCAATTTTACTAAAATGAGCACTAAACTTTTTTTAAATTACATGAAATTTAATCCTTTAATGCTTCTCTTTGTTTTCTCTCTTTTTTACCCCTGTTAATCTCTTAAATAAACTTTAAAAGCAACTTGGACGTTTCGTCGCCAAGTTTTCATCGCGGGAGCCGGGGGTACTTTTTTGCCATATAACTTTTTTTGTCGTGAACGGATTTGGTTGATTTTGGTGTCATTCGAAAGCTGTGAGTTTGTAGAATATTTTTGGTGAAGAGATGAAATAAATCCGATTATTCTCTGAAAAGTTATGGGGGAATAAATGAGAGTAATCGGTATTTTTACGTTATTTTTCGTTATTTTGTGGGGATAATATTTTTAAAAAAATTTTGAAAGAAAGGATTTGAAGAGCTTTCGAAAGACGCAAAGTCTTAGCTTTCGAATGATGCAAAAATTTATTTAAAAATTTTCAAATTTGGGGAAGTTATGGGGACTTAGAATTCGTCATATAACGGAACATAAGTTCCGAAAACATTATGCAAAAATTATCAAAAAATTTCCTTATAAAAAATAAAATTTTTATTTTTATGCATTTTGCTTGGTTCTTGTCTGAATTTATTATAAAAAATATTTTTTTCAGAAAAAAAATTTTTTTCTGATTTTGTAAACGTAGAGGGAAAGACTAAACGTTAAAATTATGCAAATTTTTTTCCTTTACGTAATTTTATTTTTTTATCAAAATTTTTGCATTTTTCGCCAAAACTAGATAGAAAAAGAGTTTTGTAAGAATGATTTATTATTTAAAAAATAAATATAAACGTAATAAGTTGGATCTTTGATCAAAAAATGAATTCCCCCAGAAAATGTTGGTGTAACACCTGACCGAGCAGCGTTTATAAAACAGTCAAAAAAGAACCTAAATTTATCAAATTTTGCACAGATATAGTTGATAGTGTTAACTAACTATTTTATAAATTTTGCGATTTTTGGTTTTGTATTTAAAAAGTTATGGTCGAAAAGGTGCAAAAATATGCGTTTTCTCTTATAATTCTGACATTTTTGTTAATAACTTTAAAATACAGTAACAGAAAATTCTGAAATTTTTAGAGGAGGTAGATAATACATATTGTGGATGTCTGTACAAAATTTCAAAGCTCTATGTTTCTATTTGAATTTTTTATGAACGTTTATCTGTCGCTACTCAGTGTTTAGAAATCCTGTCTACAGCAAAATGTTTTTTTTCAGAAATTCTGATTTTTATTATTTTAAAAATTCTGTTTTTTTTTTAATTCTGATTTTTAAATTAAACTTTTTTTTCTGATTTTCTAGCAGACATATAATTCTGGTTATTTTGACTTTTATATTACAATCAGATGCCATGGGCATTGATAGTAGCCGAAAGTCTGCTGCAACCTTTATTAATATTTTATTTTTTGTGCTTTTGAGGACTTTAAATGGAAAAATTGCTTCAATTAGTTCTGTCCCCCAAGGAAGTAATCCCCTTTTATATCAACCTGGAATTGACCATATAGTGTTGGTTTTTAAGGGAAATTTTTGATTAAATCTGACGTTTTTAGACTTTTGGATCAAGACACTTTTTCTGATACTGTTTTTGAGCCAGGCAGAGGGCACTCTTTTGTTGTTGAGTTTTATGCGGATTGGTGAGTGATGAATTGGGGTATACTTTAATAGGTACTTGTGTAGTTTACGTCCCATAAGAAGAGGAAATGGGCGGGGCTTATGGGGGGTAAACTACACAGGTACCCTCTAGTGTCGTATCGAGAACCCCCTTTACTTTAGAGTCTGGAATATAGTTAGATTGGTACCTGTGTAGTTTACGTCCCATTAAGGAAGAGAGGAAAAGGGGCGGGGGTAAAATTCCGTCATATGTCCCGGAAACCGATTCGGACAAATGATATGTCATTCGAAAGAGCTCAATGAGCTGAGTCGAACGACACCAAAATTAGCTGGGGGACTCACCTATGGGCCGAGATATAGGTCCCCGAAAATCGAAAAACCATAGGGGGGAGTAAGCTCAATTTTGGGGTGAAAAAATCGATATTTTGAATGATAGCTCATTCGAAAGAGCTCCTCGAGCTGAGTCGAATGACACCAAAATCAACGAAATCCGACTTGACTGAACAAAGTTATGATCTTCTATTTTAGCTCCTTACCTATGGCATCTGTGGAGATTTTTGCTGCTACGGAGGCCCCAAATACGTCCAGAGCAAGGGAGATAGGAATAGGTTTATGTTACGAGCCCAGACCCAGCGCCCGTAGACTCCCCGCGAGGCGCGTGCCGCAAAACCCCGCGCGAAGCGCGGGGTTTTGCACAAGCGCCTCGCCGACGCTCCATAGGTTTAGGTTTTTGTTTTTTGTGTCATAACTTTGTCTAATCTTGTTCAATCACGGTGATTTTGGTGTCATTCGACTCAGCTCGTCGAGCTCTTTCGAATGAGTTATTATTTGTATAAAAAATTTTTTATTCCAAAAATCGCCCCTTTGGATCTTCGATTTTTAGGGGTCTATATCTCGGTCCAATCAAGTCGGATTTCGTTGATTTTGGTGTCATTCGACTCAGCTTGAGGAGTTCTTTCGAATGAGCTATCATTCGAAATATCGATTTTTTCACCCCAAAATTGAGCTTACTCCCCCCTATGGTTTTTCGATTTTCGGGGACCTATATCTCGGCCCATATGTGAGTCCCCCAGCTAATTTTGGTGTCATTCGACTCAGCTCGTTGAGCTCATTCGAATGACATATCATTTGTCCGAATCGGTTTCCGGGACATATGACGGAATTTTTCCGGGGCGGGGCTTATGGGGGGTAAACTACACAAGTAGCCTCTAGTGGCATATCGTGACCCCTCTTTACTTCAGAGTCTGGAGTATAATTAGATTGGTACTTGTGCAGTTTACACCCCATAAAGGATGAGTAAAAAATGGGCGGGGCTTATGGGGGGTAAACTACACAAGTGTACCTTCTAGTGTCACATTGGGAACCCCGTTTACTTTAGAGTCTGAGGTCTGAGTATAATTAGAGTCTCAATTTTGTTGGTCTGAAATGACCATTAGAGTATAGGAAGATTTCCTTAGTCATTAGAGTCTAACATATAGTTAAGGGTATTTTGATATTCCGGAAGGTGATCTTCTGGGACTTTAAGATCCTCAATTAAAAAGTTAATTTAAAGGTGTGGCCATTGTAGAGCTTTTGCCCCCTCATTTAAACAATTTGCCGCTCTTACTAAACGATGGTCTAATGTTGTTAAAGTCGGTGCTGTCAATTGTGCCGATTCATTCAACAGCCAAATATGTCGGTCAAATGGAGTCGCCTACTTTCCAATGTTGAAATATTTTTCGAGGAAATCTAAAGGTGTTAATGATGGGATGATTTTTGAGTCTGCACATTCTGGGACTGGTCTACGTGATATTCTCGCTAATAAGGTAGAAATTGAGTAGATTTTTATTTCTGCCACATGAGTCTCAGGGAGCAGCATATTAATTTTAATTTCTGGACTCCAATGGTTGTTCCATACTTTTGAGTCTGAAAAGTACTTTCTGGCTCTAGTGACCGGCAGAATCGTATTTGCGGGATCCCGCATGCGGGAGTAACTTCTAAAAACGTCTGCGGGACGGGATCCCGCGGGAATAATCCCGCACTCCCGCAAGATCCCGCAAAGCAAAAAATTGCGTGATTGCGGGAGCGGTATCCCGATTGCGGGAGCGGTATCCCGGTTCCCGTCCCGCTCCGGTCACTACTCGACTCCCAAGAAATAAGCCATTAGTTTTCGCTTTTTATGACTCTAACGGTCCCTTGCATGTCATTTTAGTCTCAGCACTTTTGTGATATCCTTGTTACAGTATCCTTCTTATCAACTAAATTACGTAATATTCTTATCAGGTTCTCAACGAATACAAACAAAATAGTTACGAAGATTGGCCAAATCTTAACCCTCTACAAGTCGATGCTCAAACAACCTTTGAGGATCTATGGGACACCCTTGACCAATCCTCCAACTTTTTACTTATACTTTTTGAGAAGAAAGTGGATAGCCCCGCAGTAATTCACTCAATTCTGGATTTATGGCCTAATAAACAACAAATTGGAGTTAGAAGAGCTTCCTCAAATTCTCCTCTAGTTTCTATGCTTGGTAAGGAACATAGGGGGTAGTGCGAAGGGAACATAAGTTTGCAGACTTGTATAATTGCCGAAAATGACCTCAGAGATATGAAATTTGGCTTAGTTATCCTCGAGGGTGTTATCTAACATTTCTGAAAATTTCAGAATTTTTGGTAAAGTATTTCAGAAGTTCTGATTTAAAATGTCAGAATTTGCACTATATCTACACATTTTTTAAATATTTTTGGCTACAACTTTTGAAATACTCAATCTAAAATTCTGAGATTTTTAGAGGATGTTGTTGACACCTCTATGGATGTCTATACAAAATTTTACAGCTCTATTATTATATTTGGCTTATTTATAAGCACAGGCTTTGTGACGATTTCACGCCTTACACATCTAAATTACTCGAAAAATTTCAAAAAAAAATTTTTTAGGAATCTCAAAATTCCCTTATCTTGCACTTTTCAAACGAGGCAATCAACAATCTATATTTATGGATGAATTCCATGGCCCCAAAACTTTGGATGATGCCATGCAGAGAGTAGAACCTGGAGACTTTTTATCGTTAGATAGTGAACAACAACAAAGTCTTCAACCTACTAAACCACCCGTCGATTTAATTGACTGTGAAAGATTTCCTGAAAAGTGCGTAAAAAATTTGAAAAAAAATTCAAAAAAATTCCAAAAAAATTTTTTTTCTAGGTGCAAAAAACTTTATTATGTCTCAGAGACGGATATGCTTAAAGCTGTATGTCTCACAATAAAAAATAAAAATAAAATAAATTAATTTCAGATGAGAATGGCTTTATTGGATGAAGTTACCCGTTTAGGAATACCTATAGAAGGCGATAGATTTCGAAAACTTTATGCCTTTGTTACCTTGTTAAAGGAGGCAAGGAGAGAAAATAATCAAAATTTATTTGAAATTTTTAGTATTTCCCAATGAAAGTTCTCAACACAGAATCAGAAACAATTAGTCGTAATAAACGAATGGTTGGAAAAGATGACCCTAATATATTGCATAATAGTCGACGAGCAAAATGGGTTATAGGCGATCTGCAACATTTATTAGAAGGGAAAACGTCAGCCGTTATTTCTGTGGAAGAGTGGAGAAACCACTTTGAGAGAGTTGAGGTAGAGAAATAAAGAGAAAATACAATAGATGTTTCCGGAAAGATTTTTTCCGGAAATAATATTTCATGAAGGGAATATGAAATAGTATCTGTATTCGTAGAATACACATTTCCGGAAAGTTATATTTTCCGGGAGGTTCTATATTTTCCGGAAAGTTTTATTTTCCGGAATGTTTTATATTTTCCGTAAAGTTTTATATTTTGCAGAAAGTTTTATATTTTCCGGAAAGTTTTATATATTCCGGAAAGTTTTATATTTTCGGAACTTATTTTAAATTATTCTGTAAAGTTCTGAAGAATTCTTTATGGCAGCAAAATCATAATTTGTTCTGAAAAAGTTTTAATAAATTCAAAAAATATTCTGATTTACAGTAACAAAATTCTAGGGCTTCTTCGGCTATCCATTTGTTCAAAATGAAACTTGGCAGCATTGTGCTGGTTCTAGCTCAGAATTTCGTGGGTACACCTGCGGTTTGTGGACTACATTTCATGCTTTAACAGCTAATGTAATTATCACACATAGCAAAAATAGTAATTAAATATTCTTATTTTTAAAATTTAATTTTGAATTCAGCTGGTATCGCCCCAAATCCATTGGGTCCCCTCAAAGCAATTCAGGGTTGGGTAACCTCATTCTTTGGTTGCGAACATTGTCGGCAACATTTTATGAAAATGACTACGCAAACATTTCCAATGAGTGAACAAAGAGTGTTCCGCCTCACTGATATGCTTATGTACTTGTGGAGAGCACACAATATTGTGAATGCTCGTCTGCATGGAACAAATACGGAGGCATAAAAAATTTAAAAAATTCTAAAAAAATTTTTCATTTTCAGGACCCTCAATTTCCAAAATACCAATTTCCACCACTTTTCCTTTGTCCAAAATGCCATGCTGGTGGGCACTTTAGCAGAAGGCAAACACGAAATTTTTTGCTTAGTTATTATGGCTCTGTTCGCCCCTATCATAGAGCGTGGAATGCTGGGAAACAATAAATTAATATATATTACAAAGCTGCATAGATTCTGTTTTCTTTCCGGAAAGTTTTATATTTTCTACTTCCTTCCGGAAACTATAATTATGATTTACCTATATATTAACTCTTTCCGGAAAGTTGTATTTTATGAATAAATATTCCTTCCGGAAACTATATATTCTTTCCGGAAAGTTTTCTATTTCCTTCCGGAAAAATTCTGATTTGTATTTTCTTTCCGGAAAGTTTTCTATTTCCTTCCGGAAAAATTCTGATTTGTATTTTCTTTCCGGAAAGTTTTCTATTTCCTTCCGGAAAAATTCTGATTTGTATTTTCTTTCCGGAAAGTTTTATATTTCCTTCCGGAAAAATTCTGATTTGTATTTTCTTTCCGGAAAGTTTTCTATTTCCCTCCGGAAAAATTCTGATGTGTATTTTCTTTCCGGAAAGTTTTAATTATATTTCTCTAATTTTCTATGTAGCTTCTCACAATATACGCACAACACAACGGGTTATCCCATCCCACCAACATTATATGCCCAATACTTGCTTTTTGTCTCTTTTCTCTAGTATGGGGTCTCTAAGGTTTTTGATGCAATATTTTTAGTTTTTATTTTTTAATTTAATTCAATCAAATCACTAAATATTTGGACATTTTTATGTCGTTTGTAGTTATTTTTGTATAAAAAATATTTTTAATTTTAAAGTTTTTTGCTGATCATTAAATATTCGTTTTGTTTAGCTTCAACTTCTTTAAGGCTTTGTAGTTCAACATATAGCCGTTCCAATTTCTTTTGTTTTTCGTTTAACAAAAGCTTTGAATTTTAATAAAATTAAAATTTATTCCCAGAACTAAAATTTTATTCTGATTTCTTTTCGGAAAGTTGTATTCTTTAATTTCTTCCGGAAACCTAGGCTGATTTCATTTTATTTCCGGAAAGTTTTCTATTCTCTATTTCCTTCCGGAAATTGAGTCACTAATATTGTATTTCCGGAAAGCTCCAACTACTCACCTGCAGTTGTTGAGTTTCTTCTGAAGAGGTACTATTTCCACTTTTGTCTAGCTGATTCTGCAGTGTCAGTAAACGAAGCCTTTCTCCATCCGTGATTCGCCCAATCTTTTTTTTTGAAATTTAAATTAATTTTCAAATATTTTTTTCAAAAGTATACCTTCTCCATAGCCTCTCGAACATCACGGACCGTTTTAATAAAATTATCAAATTGCCCAATAAACTGTTTTCCTTCTTTTACAAGACTGCTAGATGACTCTAGCAATGCTAAATAATTTTTAAAATTAATTTTTTTTCATTCCTTCACCTGGATTAACAAGTCTGATATGGTTGAGGTCGTCAATAAAAACTTTACGGTTAGCAAAATCATCATCGACTTGACGATCCATTAATTTTCTTTTTTATTTTTTTCAGAAAAATTTTTTCGAATTAAAAAAATATTCTAATAAAGAAAAAATCAAATAAAATTTACCATATTTTTATTTAAGAAAAAATAGGTAAAATCTTGTAGTCATGGAAACGAATAAGAAATGAATTGTAGGTGGTGAAATAATTGAAAGAAAAAATTTTTAGAAAAGTGTAAGTATTTTAAAAGCTGTTAGTTAAATAAAAAAATATTTTTAAATGTTAGATTGAAATTTTAAAGATTTGTGTTCCGGCAAATAAATGCTTTTAAAGTACAGATAAAGAAAAGATAGAAAAGAATAGAAAAAACCACGGGTTTTAAATTAAATCACAGGTTAATAATTCCCTTATTTATGTGCAGAGTGCAAAGTGCCCGAAATTGGAAATCTAAATTAAATAAAAAAATATATTTAAAGAACCCTCAGAGCTGTAATAAAACAAGGTTAGGAAATATAAGGTTAAAAATACTTGAAACTTTCCGGAAATGTCTGATTTTTGTTATACTATTTTCTTTCCGGAAAGTTATGTCGTCTGAGTCTTAATGTTGTCTATTAAATAACAGACAAGAAACTTTCCGGAAATGTCTAATTTTTGTTATTCTATTTTCCTTCCGGAAAGTTATGTCGTCATAATGTCGTCTATAAATGACAGGAAACTTTCCGGAAATGTCTAATTTTTGATATACTATTTTCTTTCCGGAAAGTTTTACTTCTTAATGTTGTCTATTAAATAATAGACAAGAAGAAACTTTCCGGAAAGAAAATAGTATATCAAAAATTAAACATTTCCGGAAAACAAGAGTCGCTTCAGAATGAATATAACAGCTCTGATCTTTTTAATTATAGGAAATATTTTAAAATAAAAATTTTTTAAATTAATCAGTCGGATACAACCAACTGTGTATTATCGTCCTCTCTTTCTAGATCTGCATTCAATCCAACAACTGAAAGTGTTGCGGGTACGGGTGTAACGGGATTTGAAACTTGATCATAAGTATCACTTTCCTATAAAAATAAAAGTATTATAAAAGTGAAGTTTATCTTAAAAAGGGGGGAATTAGATTAAAAATAAAGAAAAAATTCTTAAATTAAAAAAAATCAGGGTTTTATGAGAATATGTAAATAGATCAGAAATGTCAGAATAAAACTTAACGAGAAAAATATTTTCCGGAAAACTTTCCGGAAAAAAATATTTAATAACAAGCTTTTTACATAAACTGAATTAAAATTATCAGAATTAATATAGATATGTTGGATTTTTTCCGGAAAGAATTAATTTATATCAGAATTAAAACTTTCCGGAAAAAGAAATAGAGAATAAAAATAAGTAGTGTATTTTCCGGATAGAGAATAAAATAAATACGTTTCCGGAAAGAATTATAATTTAATCAGAATTAAAACCTTATTAAAAACTAAGTTAATTTAAAACTTTCCGGAAGGACTTTAATTCTGATTTTTATTTAATTCTGATTTTTTTCCAACTAAACAAACTTTATGAGGGTAGAGAACATAGTGTTGAATGATGAACAACACATCAAAAATAATCTTTAAAAAAATAATTAAAACAGAAAAAAAAAATTTTCAAATTTTTACCGAAACAAATCCTAGACCAAATTTGACAGGATTACCAACAAAAGCACTCCAATCAGCTAAATAAAAAATTAAAAAAAATTTTTTTCTTAAATACACCTGTATTTTTTGCTTGTAAAATCATTTGTAAAATATCCATTGTACCCCCAGTAGCATCTAATAAAACATTTCCAATACTCCAACCAATCTTTGAAAAAGATAAAAATTAAATAAAAATTAAATAAATAAAAATTAAGAAAAAATTTTTTTTCTTATAAAAAGGAAAGAAAAATTGAAAATCAAAGAGGCAAGGCTTTAAAAATTAAAAAAAACTCGGGAAAAAATTTTTTTTTAATCCTGAAAATTTTTAATTGAGGGATTCCAAATTTTTTTCGGCTTTGAAAAGTAAGAAAAAATTATTGAAAAAATTTTTTAAAGAATTAGAATATTTTTAATTAAAAAAAAATTTTTTTTTATTTTTTAATAAATTTTCAGCCTTCTTTAAAAAATTATTTTCTTTAAAATTTTTAAACAAGCAAGCAACTATAATGCTTACAGGGTGGAAAAAATTTTTTTTTCATAAATCCAAATTTTTTTTTAAATTTTCACGTGTATTTTTTCCTTTTTTAATACTTAATTAAACAAATGAGGGTCAATTTTTTTTTAATTTTATTGGTTACACAAAATTAAATATTTTTAAAAAAACTCCCCCCACTCTTCCTCCCTCTTATCTATACAAAAAAATATTTTTTTATAAATTTTTTCAATATTTCCAAAATAAATTTTTTTATAGAAATACCAAAAATTTTCTCTTACCGTGCTTTTTCGTTTAAAATTAAGAATTGCTTGTGGAAAATATTTGCTAAGTGTAACAGCCATTTTTACATATGAAAGATAATTAATAAAATCCAGCCAATTGAAAAAACTAAATAAAGCTAAAAGAAGGGATAAAGAAGAAAATCCAAGTAAAATTGAAGCCCATATTCGACAAGTGTAGGAAATACGTTGAGTGCCTCTCTAAAATTTATTTTTAATTTGTTTAAGAAAAATATTTTTTTTTGAATTAAAGGGTTGTTCACGATCGGTTAATCGTCGCCAGTGGCGGTTCAAATATGTATATAAGCAACCCTTAATTTTAATCAAAAATAAAATAAAAATAATTTGAAGCTAAATACCAAAAATACAACGTAAAATCGAAAAAAAATTTTAATTGATAAATATTATCAAAAAAATAAAAACATTTTAGACAATGAGTGACTGAGACAAATTATCCCTAAAATTTAACAAAAACTTTTCGGGTAGAAAAAGTTTTAACAAAAAAAAATTGGGGTTTTTCAAAACACCAAAACGAGTTTTTATAATTTAATTTAACCGAAACTGGGGCGTAAAAACAAAAAAAATTTCAAAAAAAACCTCATAAACAAAGCATTGAAAAGCCGTAATTAAACAGGCAAACAAAGCTTGTCCAGAAAATATAACATCGTTTAACAAAACAGGTATAAGACTTCTATTTCCGTGTCTGGCAATGTAAATATCCTGAACTATTGGGTCAAAATAAAGCAAAAGATTGTAAATTGTGTAGCAGAAAAAACCGATAATGTTGAGAAGTAAAAAATCAAAATTTAGACCGATAACGCTGGAAAAAATGGAAATTTTTTAAAAATATTTTTGAAAGAGATAAATAGAAAAGTGGAGTAAATTAGGCAGGCCCGTAGTCAGGATTTTTTTCGGGAGGGGGTGCAGGTCCGTAGTCAGGATTTTTTTCGGGAGGGGGTGCAGGCCCGTAGTCAGGATTTTTTTCGGGAGGGGGTGCAGGCCCGTAGTCAGGATTTTTTTCGGGAGGGGGTGCAGGCCCGTAGTCAGGATTTTTTTCGGGAGGGGGTGCAGGCCCGTAGTCAGGATTTTTTTCGGGAGGGGGTGCAGGCCCGTAGTCAGGATTTTTTTCGGGAGGGGGTGCAGGCCCGTAGTCAGGATTTTTTTCGGGAGGGGGTGCAGGCCCGTAGTCAGGATTTTTTTCGGGAGGGGGTGCAGGCCCGTAGTCAGGATTTTTTTCGGGAGGGGGTGCAGGCCCGTAGTCAGGATTTTTTTCGGGAGGGGGTGCAGGCCCGTAGTCAGGATTTTTTTCGGGAGGGGGTGCAGGCCCGTAGTCAGGATTTTTTTCGGGAGGGGGTGCAGGCCCGTAGTCAGGATTTTTTTCGGGAGGGGGTGCAGGCCCGTAGTCAGGATTTTTTTCGGGAGGGGGTGCAGGCCCGTAGTCAGGATTTTTTTCGGGAGGGGGTGGCAAGGGATGATTTTTCGGCACCGAATTTTTGGCGCCGAGTAGCCCCCCTTCGGTTGTTAATAAGTGGTCAATTTTCGCATGTGGTGGCTAAAATGTCCTTAAAATTCCCCATTTGCTACAGGCGAAAATTAACCGATCGTAGACAACACTAGTGAAATATTTAAAAATTGTGGCCCGACTCGACCATAGAAATGGTAACGAAGTAGAAATGGTAAGACCAGAAGTAGAAATGGTACGACCATAGAAATGGTAAGAACCCCATAAATAAAGCTTTTTTATCAAAAAATTTTTAATGTAAAAATAAATTTAAAAACAAAAAAAAATGAAGGATGGGGGGGGGGGCAGGCACGTAGCAAGGATTTTTTCGGGATTGGGGGGGGGGAGGGGCAAGGGGGAAAAATTTTGAAAATTCTAAAAGGCCGAAGGCAAAAAATTCACTTTTTCCCCCAGCCCTTCCCCAAATTTTTTCCTTTTCCCCATTTCGGGAAAAAGGGGGGGGGGCGTCCACAGTCCGTAAAAATTACATTTTAATTATTAAAGTGCCCAAAAACTAAAAAAAACCAAGGAACAGATTCGTCTTGATTTATTAAAATAACTAAACAACCTTTCTAAGATATCTTTAAAAAAAAATCAAAAAAAAACCTCTTCCTTTGCCAATTCAAAATAATTTGTGGATAAAAAGAAATACTCCAAGCAGAAAAATAAATCCAGCCAGTTACAATTACCAATACAGAAATTATAGAGCTACGTGCAACAACTAGGCGAACAAAAACGTCGTCTTGGCTAAAAATAAAAAAATATGTTAATCTCCACTAAATTCGGGAATATAACAAAAAACATTCATAAAATTTACATAAATTAAGAGGATTGGAAAATGTGTTTTTTACTATTTTTAGGATTTTCAATATTTTTAGCAATAAAAAATACAAAAAAATTTTTTAAATATAAACTAAGAAATATGGTAAACTCAGGTTTGATATTTTCATATTTTTTTGCCCAAATGTCTCAAATGGTCAGACCTTCTTATTTTTTTCAATTAATTCTATTTTTCTTTGGCACAGATTAAATTAAATTTTATTAATAGAAAATCTGACAATACGAGAAATTGAAGGAGGAGAGGATTTTAATTAGGGATTGGACTTTAGAAAAAGATTTTTTAGTGATTAAATTTAAATTAAAAATTTGAGTCAAGATTCTAATTTTGACCGAACCTTAATTTTAGGCATAGCAAAAAAACTGGTAAGAAGTTAGAAGAAAATCGGTAATAGTTTGGAATTCACCCCCCCCCTATTTTTTCTTTTATTTTTTCCTAGTTTTCTTTTCATTTATGGCAAATTATATGGTTCTACTTGACTTTATGAGTCCAATCGAACTTTATGAGTCCAAACAAAACTTTATGAGTCCAATCAAAATTTATGAGTCCAAACGAAACTTTATGAGTCCAAACAAATTTTATAAATCCGACATGTCTTATTATTCTAGGTAAAAATTTTTGGCTCTAGTACAGTTTATGATTGCAATCACAGTTTATGAGTCCAATCAGATTGTGTGTTACGGGGGTAGGTCGTCAGATCAAGGCTGAAAATGAAAAAGGGGTAGGCGCCTCGCCGACGCTCCATAGGGTTAGCAACATAAATCTATTTTTTTACGTATTATTTAATAAATTTATTATTTAATAAAATGTGTTTGGACTCATAAACATTGATTGGACTCATAAAGTTTTATTTGGACTCATAAATTTTGATTGGACTCATAAAGTTCGATTGGACTCATAAAGTTAAGTAGAACCAATTATATATCATTCGGAAGAGCTCTTCAAGCTGAGTCGAATGACATTAACATCAACTTAATCTGATTTTAATGAACAAAGTTGCGACCGTTTATTTTATCCCCTAGCATTGGCACAAAAAGTTTACCCACTAGGATTTAGCTTCATAATTTTGGCAAAAATGATCAGATATAGCCAATCATGGTATTATTCGACCAAGCTCGAAGAGCGCTTTCGAATGTTATATGATACATTATCTATCAAACGAAAAAGCTCAAAATGGTCAGGGGAACTGAAAAAGAGGGAGGGGAGCGAATTACAAACTATTACCGAAAAATCAATTAGCTCGTAAAAAATTCGGAAAAAAAAACAAAAAATCCCAGACTTGATTAAAGTCAAAATTTCTTTAAAAATTAAAAAAAATTAAAATATACTTGAAAGGACATTTTCCAATGCGTCTTGTACCATTAGTAAAAAAGCAATCTTTCAAATCAATAAATGTCCTGCTGCTAAGTGAAAGACCAACGACTGACAATTTGCTAGTTGAATCATTACCGGGATTGAGAACAAGACGAGTTGGGGTTACATTGAGTATGTTGTGATCAAAATCGAAAACGAGCTCCAAATGGGAGGAAAGAGGACCTCTAAAAATTTTTTTTTAAATTATGAGAATTTTGAAAATTTTAAAGATAAATTTTCTTAAAATGTGAGTTGTCAGAAGATGAGAATTTTGGAACTTTTCTTTTTAGTTTTAAAATTTTTTGTGAGCTACCACAATATAAAAAATATTTTTTAATCTTTTTCTGATGTGATTTTTAATTTCTCTATCCGAATATAAAACAAGATTTTCCGAAAAATAAAAATGACTCCCCCTCACATAAACAAAAAAATTTGAAAAAAAGCAAATTCCAAAAAAAAAAACAAAAATCATAGTGCCCAAAAAAACATGTCAAATCTTTAAAAATTAATTTTTAAGGGTTTTTCCGGTTCTAAAATACCAAAAATTCTCCGAAAGGATAGTTTGTCTTTTAATTCAAAATTTATTTTATTTCCAAAAAAACCTGTAAGTAAACTGAATTTCTTCTTCAATTCCAATTATAAGATTTAATTCCTCAGGGAATTCCAAATTCAGTTTTTTGGCATTAACATCTTTAAAATGCCTATCATTTTCAATTTCTATTAATTCTGAATCCTCTTTAATGCTTAATAAAATACATGGAAGGAAGACGATGAAAAATATAATTTGGGTAGTAAAAAGCATTCCAAGGGGGTTAATTGATGATAAAAATTGAGAGAATTAAAAGTAAGAAGTGTTGTTGTTGACTTAGAAAATTTTATTTTAAAAAATTTTTGTTTATTAAAATAAATACATATTTGTGTAGCTGAAAAAAGAAAAAAAAGAATTTTATCTGAAAAAGAATTTTAATAAATTAATTTTAAAAGAAAGATAAAAATTTAATGTGATTATTAATCGAAAAAGCAACAAACAAACACATAAATATTTTAAAAATGAAAAAAAAACACAAAAAAGAAATTAAAAAAGCGAACGTGTAATTAAGGAATTGATAAAGGAACGTGAACAAAACATGATTTTTTGTTTGTCAAAAAAATCTTGTTTAGAATTATTGAAGTTGCACAAATATTATAAATATGGGAGGGGGATGTTTTAATCAATCTGTGGGATGGGGAATAGAAATCGAGATTTGCGAAAAGCCTGGGCCTGTTCCTGGACTTTAGCTTTTATTTACTGAGCTGGGAGTAGTTAACCACCCCACTTTATTTCCCTTTTTCCCACAAAATTTCCAGAGCAGAAAAGGTTTGGGAAGAGGGCGGGTCTTTAGTAGTTAGTAATACCACTTTTTAGCGGGACAATTAATGACCTTTTTGGCGCAACCAATAGGTATAGGGGGTTCTCCTTTTGATCCTAAAGGTTTAGGGGGTTTCCTTTTGATCTTCTAAGGGTTTTGGAGGGGTCTAATTAAGATTAATTACAGTATACCAACTTCGCGCAAATTTTTTCAAAAGACAATCTAAAGGTTTAGGGGGTTTCCTTTTAATATCCTGAGGGTATTGGAGGAGTCTAATTAAGATTAATTACAGTATACCAATTTCGCGCAATGTTTCTCAAGAAGGGTTTTCTTTTGTTTTTAAGAGCTTTGTAGTTAACTGTCTTTTCATATTTTTGGCGCAATGTTTCTCAAGAAGCAACCCAAATGTTTAGCAGGGTTTTAAAAAGGGTTTCTGATTAATTATCTTTTATCATAATTTTCTTTTTGTCATTGGTTTTGTGAGGCAACCCAAAGGATTAGAACAAGTTTCAGTTTAATTTTACCCACTGTTTAAAGAAGTTTTTTTGAGTCTGGATGTTTTTAAGATAATCAACAAAAGTTTTAGAGGTCTGTTGTTATCCGTTTTTCCTCAGAATTTTTGAGGGTTTTAATTAAGATTGATTAACTTTTAACATATTGGCGCAAGTCTTTTAACAAAACCTTTTCACACGAGATTTTAACGCTCTAACTGATTAATTATTTTTATGTTTTTTGACACAACCCTAAAGCTATAAGATGTTTTATTTTTGAGATTTCAGCAGTTTTTTGGTGTTTTTTTTGACTATGAATTATCTATGAGTTATTTTTTTCACTGAAGAATTTTTGTGGAACCGTAATGTTTAGTTGCATTTTCTTCAGAATTTAAATGTGATTAATTAATGATAATTTTTTGAGCAAACTTTTAATAAAGTTTAGGGTGGTTTCCCTTAGATATCAAGATACTTTTCCTCATAGTTTTTGGTAAATGATTATTTGCTGATAATTTATCAAAAAATCAAATCTTTTTCTCATAAAATTTAAATATTCCTTTTCTATTAAACGTTTCTTTTCTAATCTTATTTTAACTAAATATAAAATTTTTATTTTAAAAATCTGTCAATCAAATATGCAAATTTAATCTCTATATCTAATCTAAATTCAAAATTTTTCTTTTATTTTTTAAAATCTATCAATCAATCATGCAAATTTAATCTAAATATCTAATCTAAATTCAAATTTTCTCTTTTATTTTTAAATTCTGTCAATCAAATATGCTAATTTTATCTAAATTCAGATCTTTTTTTTATTTTTAAAATCTATCAATCAATCATGCAAATTTAATCTAAATATCTAATCTAAATTCAAATTTTCTCTTTTATTTTTAAATTCTGTCAATCAAATATGCAAATTTAATTACAATATCTAATCTAAATTAAAATTTTTTCTTTTATTTTTTAAAATCTATCAATCAAGTATGCAAATTTAATCTATTCAAATATTTTCTTTTATCTTTTAAAAATCTATCAATCAAATATGCAAATTTAATCTATATTCAAATATTTTCTTTTATCTTTTAAAAATCTATCAATCAAATATGCAAATTTAATCTAAATATCTAATCTAAATTCAAATCCTTATTTTTTAAAAATCTGTCAATCAAATATGCTAATTTAATTTTAAATCTATTCTAAAAAGGGTTGGCTTTGTCTTTTAAAATCTGTCAATCAAATATGCTAATTTTATTTTAAATCTAATCTAAAAAGGGTTGGCTTTATTCTTTAAATTTTGTCAATCAAATCTAATATAGTTCAAATAGTGTAGGGGTGGGCTTTATTTTTAAAAAATTGATTAAAAATATCATGTATATAATCGAGTGATCAAAGTAAATGAGTGGCCAATCAAATGATCTAATAATCAGCTGAGTGATTAACAAACTATCACATGATCAATCAAATAAACGAGTGATCATTGAAATTTAATAAAAATGTGAATGAGTGATCAGATGAGTGATCAAGTGATAAAGTTATTAAAAGTGATCAAACTACAATCAGTTTATTATGTGAGCAATTAATTGATCGAAATCAATCGAGTGATCAATATTTAAAAATGACAATCAAAATGATCAACAGAGGGAGTGATCATTTTTGATCAACGATTGATCAGATCAACCGGAGTTTACTAAAACTATCATTTAAAAATTTTTAATTATTTTTTACTGTTTTCATTTTCAAACCCCCCAGAATTTGAAAACCCCAAAAAGTACACATATCAAATAGGTAAAATCTCCTTAAAATTTAATTCTCATCTTTTAAATAAAGGTGTAGGGGAAGGACTATAAAAACGGTCATTTTTTAAATTTTATATCATTTTTATATTAATATTCTTTTTTATTTTAGTTCAATATTTCATAAAAATATTTTTTAAAAATGCAGCAGCTTTCAAAAAATTCAAGAAGTTTCTTTATTGCTAATCTACTTGGATTACAACAAGGAACAGGATACAATGCTGAACGTTATGTTGAACGACTAAATGATTCAATACAACACAATGCAAAATTTAATGTAACCAAAACTTATTCAAAATTTATGATTAAAGATGTTCCTGCTGATGCTGAGTCTCTACTTTCTGGTAATAAAAAAGTTTTTAAATAAATTTAAAATTTCAGGAATTTTTCAATTTTGTGTTGATCAAGCTCTGATCAAGCTCTTTGGAATTTTAGGTCTGCTAAAGGACTGAAAATAGTTTTGAAAAATTCAATAACTGTTGAACTTGTTTCCTTTATGAATATCCATCCTGAATATAATATACCATCATCTTTTTCTGGTTTAGGTTTTGACGGAGGTCCATAATAGATTGGTATAATAGCTTTTTCTTTCTCATCCCAAACCCACCAATGATGACCGTATGGGGTCCAAATTTCTTTATAATCCATGTCTTTTGGTACGCCTATGTCTAAAACTTCTTTGAAATTAATAGAAGGAGGTTTTCTTCTAAATAAAGTTATAGCTCTCTCACACTGCCATATTTTATATTCAGATAAATTTTTAGCTTCAGCTAAAATTTTATGGAGAAATAATGTTATAATAATTAATTTAAATTTCATTTTGAAATAATTTTAAAAAAACTTTAAACCTATTTATATACAAACGAATCCCCCAAAATCTTTTCATCAGCAGTTAAAAATTTAGTAGTCCTTCCCCACCACCTTTATTTAAAAGATGAGAATTAAATTTTAATAGATTTTACCTATTTAACTCTTGTTCTTTTGGGGTTTTCAAATTCTGGGGGGTTTGAAAATGAAAACAGTAAAAAATAATTAAAAATTTTTAAATGATAGTTTTAGTAAACTCCGGTTGATCTGATCAATCGTTGATCAAAAATGATCACTCCCTCTGTTGATCATTTTGATTGTCATTTTTAAATATTGATCACTCGATTGATTTCGATCAATTAATTGCTCACATAATAAACTGATTGTAGTTTGATCACTTTTAATAACTTTATCACTTGATCACTCATCTGATCACTCATTCACATTTTTATTAAATTTCAATGATCACTCGTTTATTTGATTGATCATGTGATAGTTTGTTAATCACTCAGCTGATTATTAGATCATTTGATTGGCCACTCATTTACTTTGATCACTCGATTATATACATGATATTTTTAATCAATTTTTTAAAAATAAAGCCCACCCCTACACTATTTGAACTATATTAGATTTGATTGACAAAATTTAAAGAATAAAGCCAACCCTTTTTAGATTAGATTTAAAATAAAATTAGCATATTTGATTGACAGATTTTAAAAGACAAAGCCAACCCTTTTTAGAATAGATTTAAAATTAAATTAGCATATTTGATTGACAGATTTTTAAAAAATAAGGATTTGAATTTAGATTAGATATTTAGATTAAATTTGCATATTTGATTGATAGATTTTTAAAAGATAAAAGAAAATATTTGAATATAGATTAAATTTGCATATTTGATTGATAGATTTTTAAAAGATAAAAGAAAATATTTGAATAGATTAAATTTGCATACTTGATTGATAGATTTTAAAAAATAAAAGAAAAAATTTTAATTTAGATTAGATATTGTAATTAAATTTGCATATTTGATTGACAGAATTTAAAAATAAAAGAGAAAATTTGAATTTAGATTAGATATTTAGATTAAATTTGCATGATTGATTGATAGATTTTAAAAATAAAAAAAAAGATCTGAATTTAGATAAAATTAGCATATTTGATTGACAGAATTTAAAAATAAAAGAGAAAATTTGAATTTAGATTAGATATTTAGATTAAATTTGCATGATTGATTGATAGATTTTAAAAAATAAAAGAAAAATTTTGAATTTAGATTAGATATAGAGATTAAATTTGCATATTTGATTGACAGATTTTTAAAATAAAAATTTTATATTTAGTTAAAATAAGATTAGAAAAGAAACGTTTAATAGAAAAGGAATATTTAAATTTTATGAGAAAAAGATTTGATTTTTTGATAAATTATCAGCAAATAATCATTTACCAAAAACTATGAGGAAAAGTATCTTGATATCTAAGGGAAACCACCCTAAACTTTATTAAAAGTTTGCTCAAAAAATTATCATTAATTAATCACATTTAAATTCTGAAGAAAATGCAACTAAACATTACGGTTCCACAAAAATTCTTCAGTGAAAAAAATAACTCATAGATAATTCATAGTCAAAAAAAACACCAAAAAACTGCTGAAATCTCAAAAATAAAACATCTTATAGCTTTAGGGTTGTGTCAAAAAACATAAAAATAATTAATCAGTTAGAGCGTTAAAATCTCGTGTGAAAAGGTTTTGTTAAAAGACTTGCGCCAATATGTTAAAAGTTAATCAATCTTAATTAAAACCCTCAAAAATTCTGAGGAAAAACGGATAACAACAGACCTCTAAAACTTTTGTTGATTATCTTAAAAACATCCAGACTCAAAAAAACTTCTTTAAACAGTGGGTAAAATTAAACTGAAACTTGTTCTAATCCTTTGGGTTGCCTCACAAAACCAATGACAAAAAGAAAATTATGATAAAAGATAATTAATCAGAAACCCTTTTTAAAACCCTGCTAAACATTTGGGTTGCTTCTTGAGAAACATTGCGCCAAAAATATGAAAAGACAGTTAACTACAAAGCTCTTAAAAACAAAAGAAAACCCTTCTTGAGAAACATTGCGCGAAATTGGTATACTGTAATTAATCTTAATTAGACTCCTCCAATACCCTCAGGATATTAAAAGGAAACCCCCTAAACCTTTAGATTGTCTTTTGAAAAAATTTGCGCGAAGTTGGTATACTGTAATTAATCTTAATTAGACCCCTCCAAAACCCTTAGAAGATCAAAAGGAAACCCCCTAAACCTTTAGGATCAAAAGGAGAACCCCCTATACCTATTGGTTGCGCCAAAAAGGTCATTAATTGTCCCGCTAAAAAGTGGTATTACTAACTACTAAAGACCCGCCCTCTTCCCAAACCTTTTCTGCTCTGGAAATTTTGTGGGAAAAAGGGAAATAAAGTGGGGTGGTTAACTACTGCTGGGCCGGATCCTGGGCCTGTAGTCCAGGAAAACCCAGAAAGGTCAAAAATGCCTGGGCCTAGACTCTGGGTACAGGAAAAACCCAGGCCTTGGTCCAGACCCAGCTCGATCTATAATAGTGAATTAATCAAGGGGATTAATCGAAACACAACTCAAAAAGTTCCTTCAAATGATCAAGCAAAAAAGCTCAAAATGGTCAGTGAAAAAAATAGAGTTGGGGGGGGGGGGGTGCCAGCCAACATATTGCTGAAAATACGATATTTTTTAATAAATTTTTACTTTAAAAAATCATAAAAGTATAGCAATAAAAATTGAAAAAAGAATTTTGAAATAAAGTAGATTAAGTAAATTTTCTAAAAAAAGTTGGGGGAAAATAAAAAAAAATATTGTTTTGTTTGCTTTAGAATGATGTAATTTAACAGAACCATTACAGCAATAAAAATAAATACTAGTTTTATTGAATTTACAAAACTGGACGGGGTTTTTATGCAAATAATGTCAAAAAATAGTAACAGCCCTATGGATTAACACGAAAAGATTAAAAAAGGGATTAACAAAAATCATGACAATTCTGTAGGCAAAATGGAAAATTTTGACTGATGTGACATTTTGTCATTTAGGTATTTTGTAATTTAGATGATGTCAAATGGACAATTGGCCACAAAATTTTTTGCCACAAACGCTAAAATTTAAGACAATTCTGTAGGCAAAATGGGCGATTTTGGCCGATGTGACATTTTGTCGTTTATGTATTTTGTAATTTAATTTGTGTTGGATGCACAATTGGCCACAAAATTTTTTTGTCACGATCACTAAAATTTAAGGTTTTCCTAGCTTTTTTAATTTTTTTTTATTTTTCTTTTTAAAGTTGAAGTAGAATGGCATCAAGTATTAGTTCAACCTCTCCAAAATTTATTATTAACGAAAATTACAAAAATAATGAATTCAAAAATAAAATAATTTCAATACTTGAAGGTTTGATTTTTAATTTTCCTTTAAATTAAATTTTACTTTTAGGAAATCATGAAGATTCTCACCCATTCCCTCATTTTCATCTCAAAGATTTTCTCACAAATTTATCATTGGTTAAAGGTTTGGAATTTAATTTAAAGTCTCATGTCAGAACTCCCCTCAGGGCTGTAAAATCGTACCTTATAATGAGGTGTATTTTAAATAGAGGGTTACCGCTTAGACTGTTCTCTCAGCCCATTGGATCAGTGATAGGTCGAGTTACCCTCGAGACCTTTTTTCGAGACCTTTTTTTGACCTGAAACTCGATCCGTCTTTTTTTTCTTAACCCGGCCCACCCTCAAAATGCACACAAATTTTGTCTTTTCCAATCGAGCTAGTGGTCAATAACAAGCTTCTAAAGGAAGACATATAATCCCGTTAGACAGAACATTTCCGCGCACTAATTCCTGCATTGTCTTACCAAAGAAAAAATGTGTCTTAAATTGAGGGGTCTCTTATAAAGGGGTTCTGTCTAGGGTTGCCAAAATGGACCGACTCGGATCGAAAGATCGAGTCGGGCCTAGATGTCTGGCCCGAAAAAGACTCGTATCGGCCCGACTCGATAAAGTTAGGCCCGAAAAAATGGCTCTGAAAAATCTGGCCCGACTCCTTTTTAATATTTTTTTCTTGTAGATCTCAAAAACGAATTGAATTCTGTTGCTTGGATACCAAAAAGTAATGATCTATTATCTTTAAATCAGACTGTTGACATTGCCAATTTACTTGAAGAACATTACCCGATTTTATAGTATTTTTTATTTTTTTAAATTTAAAACAATTTTTATTTAAGCACTTTTCGTCAATTTTTGATTAATGATGTAAGGAGATGGCTTATGACAATGACTGGTGTTCAATTAGGCGAAAAGTTGGCATTAACCGGATCACGTTATTCAAGTGGGGATTGTTTGTTGACACATGATGATAAACTTGAGGTTCTTTTTATTGGTTTTGCAAAATATTCCGGCCTTTTTAAATCGAATACTCCTAATTGTTAGTTCCGGCTTATGTTAGTAAAAATATGGGTATCAAAACTTGATCTGAAAAGTCAATTATTAGGACCAGACACGTAGCTAGGGGTATAGGGATTCTCCTGATAGAATGGGGGTAATGAAGAATATTGCGGGAAGAATCAGAGTTGCGTCGTAATTGAAATTTTTTTTTCGTAATCGTAATTCGTAATTCGTAATTTAAAAAATTTTTTCGTAATCGTAATTCGTAATTTTAAAAAAATTTTCGTAATCGTAATTCGTAATTTAAAAATTTTTTTCGTAATCGTAATTCGTAATTCGTAACTGAAAAAATGCCGTAATTCGTAATTTGTAATCGTAATTCGTAATTTATCAAAAATATTTAAATTAATTTTAAAAATCAAATATCTATTAATAATTGCTGCTTCTCCCATTAATCTCTCCAAGTCTTCTTATTTCTCTGATATTATACAAATCCCAATTAATTCCCTGATATCCCTCTTAATCCTAATAATCCTCGATATCTCTTTAATCAATCATGAGGAATTATCGTCCCAGATTAAGTTTGATATCAAGTCAAATCACTCTCACTTAATCCTAAGCCAAAACTCTTATATATTCAGCGCCGCAGGCGAAAATTTTTAGAAAATTCATGACTAAATTAAAAATTTTTAAGTTTTTTCAATTATAAGATATTAAAAATATAAATTTACAAACCTAAAATCAAAATAAAAGTTTAAAAACATTTATTTTTGAAAAAAATGAACTGTTAAAATTTATTTCCCACACATGGATTCGAACCAAACCTAACAAAATATCAAATAAGTGAAGCTTGACTTTTAACCCACTCAACCACCGATAAACAAAAGTCCCTGTGAGAGAAAATATAAATATTTCAAATATTTCTTCCCCTTTTCATTCTAAGATTTAATGGCAAAATTATTTTCGTAATTCGTAATTTTTCCCTATATTTTCGTAATCGTAATTCGTAATTTAAAAAATTTTTTCGTAATCGTAATTCGTAATTTGTAACTGAAAAAACACCGTAATTCGTAATTCGTAATCGTAATTCGTAATTACGACGCAACTCTGGGAAGAATGATAAAATAGTGAAATTTTTGTCTACGCCTTTTAAAATGTCAAAATTTTTGACTGTGACATTAAAAAGGAAGACGTTTAGTCAGGTCCGTAGCCAGTATTTTTTCGGCGGGGGGGGGGGGCAAGGGGGACGGGGCCCTTCGAAATTAAGCTACATACACCTGATACGAAGAATAAATTATAATTTTAACCATAAATAAGCTCAAATCCTCGATTCTTTTAAAAAATGACAAGTTTATGGCTTGGTTTTCAGTTGGGTACTAGAATAAATTTTATTTTAGGGCCGCGCTTTTGCCTTTGTTCTGTATTTAAACACTGATTGGGCAGTAGAAGATGGAGGCGATCTTTGTCTTTATAATTGTGATCAAACTACAAAATTTCCTGAAAAGATAATCAAAAGAATTAGACCTATAGAGAATAGTTTCAGCCTTTTCCGTGTCCAAAACAATTCCTGGCATTCTGTCTCTGAAGTATTAAGTGAAGGAAAAGAACGTTTATCACTCAATGGATGGTTTCATTACCCTGAAGATGTGGAAGTTTTGTTTGTTGGGGATTCTCCTGTTCAAGAAGAGCCTATTTTACGTACTAAACCTTCTATGGATACAACGGTTATTTTTTTAATAAAATAAAATTTAAAGAGTAGAGAAAAGACATGAAAAGGAAAGCTCAAAAAGTCAAATTTTAATCAGCTATAGCTTTTTGATTTGAGGGCCGGGGCCAAAACTGTAAAAAATTGGTAGTAGATTATCGACCCTGCTCTACACGATATTGCAAAAAAATATACAAAATTTTCACATAAAGTTCGTGAGAGTTGTTCCTTGTGGGCTAAAAAAAGTTAAAGAAATGGCAGTAGGTTATCAGACATGCTCTATACGACGATATTTTTCAGTAAAAAATTTTTTTGTTCACAATTTGAAGCTTGCCCGCGTTAGTTTGTTTATATTATCCTCTCAATTTTTGGAAATAATTTACTTAAAATTCAGAAAAATTAAAGAATTCCTCAAAAATTACAATTAACCTTCCCAAAATTAAATTTTTCTTAATTTTGTCATTTCTCTTTTTAATTTACTTTCAATTTTAACCATTTTAAGCTCTCTGAAGTAACATCTTGGTTAAATAACAATTATGTAAGTCCTGGCCAACACAAAAATATTAAACGAATATTTGCACACAAATCACAACTTTCTCTTCGACATTTTCTCAATGTTTTGTTTAAATTTTAATTTTTTAAAAATTAAAAAAATTTTTAGACAGACAAATACAATTCTGCTTTACAAGAATTAGAAACAGCTTCATTTACTTGTATTGGCCCTCCAAATAAAAAAAATGTTTGGAGACTTGTAGAATCTCAACTTGAAGAAAATTCTCATTTAAAAAGTTTATTACGTGTTTTTCGTTCAGAAGCAATTACTTTACTTTTAACACAATGGACAGGTTTACATTTACACGAAATTAGAAAAGGAGGAGCAATAAATGAAGGGAATAATGGAGAAGGAGAAGGAGATGAGGTGACAACAACTACAAGTGATAATGGACCGCCTTTAAAGAAGCCAAAAATAAATTCGAAAGAAGAAATTAATAGAGGTTTAGTTAAAGTTTTTTTTTGTATAAATATTTTTGGGGAAATTTATTTAAAATTTTAAATTATTTGGAATTGGGAGTCCGGAATTGAGAGTCCGTCAATATTCGTTTTTGAAAAATCGTGTCTTTTAACTTCCATTTTATTTTTGGATCCACAGCCCTCAGATGTACGAAATTACGTAATTTACACATTCTTATTGTTAGTTGAGGTCAGCACCTGTGTCCACGGCCCCTTGATTAATAGGAGTTCCCAAGTTTTCATTTACACGAATTTTTTTTTGACCAAAAGACTTGCCCTCCACCCACAGCTTTTTGATTAAAATTTCTCAAGTCGCTTTTTTTCCAACGATCCCTTTTATTATTGTAAGCCTTAAGTTGTCTAAATTTAAATACTCTGGGTATCAAAATAAATTTCCATCTTATTTCTAATTTTTCAGATGTTGAACTCGTTTCATTTATCAATCGTTTCGATCAAGGCTGTTATTCAATGGCTGATGACCAACTTATTGCTCATTCTGAAGATAATGGATTTAGTTTGGATGTAATTATATTTTTTGGTCGAAAACAAAATTGGCCTTCACAAAATGGAGGTTTTATAAGTTATTTTTCAAGTGGGGAAGAAGATGAAATTATTCGTGTTATTCCAACATTGAATACAGCTGCGATAGTTTTTAGGTTGTTTTTTGAATTTTTAAAAATTGTCAGGTTTAAAAATCACTTGGGTCTTTTTTGTTTAAGTAATTTACTTAAATCCTTAGGCGGAGTAGGGGTGTCGTTTTTGAGTCGGGCCGATGGTAGAGGCATTTTTTGGGGCTTGTTTTTACCGAGTTGGGCAAAAATAATTTATTTTTATTTTTTTAGACGTCGAACTCGTTTCATTTTACTAGTCACTTTCTATTCTCTTTCAGTTTTACTAGTCCTTTCTATAACAAAATACTATTCAAGACCCAGTGGCCGTAGGTCCCGAAATCAGTAGGGTAACTGTTTGAAATAGTAGGGTAAAAAAAATAGTAGGGTAAAATAAAAAAAATCAGTAGGGTAACTTCATTGAAATATCTCGATATGTCTGTCCCGATATGTTCGCGTCCGTTTATATTTTCCTTATTGACCTGATTTATTAAAAAATGGACCGAAAATTTGCCAGAAACTTGAATATTCTAAACGTTTATTTTTCAATAACAATTTTTTCCCTTTTTAAGAGAACCAGGCGTTTTAAATTTTACCAAATATGTAAATCATCGAGCGGGTTCAGACCATTTCTTTACTTTAAATTGCACATTTTTCGGTGTTTGTACCGGTGAAAGTGAAAGCGAAGAAAGTTCAATAAATTCAAAAAGTATTCATGAAGATAGTGAAGATGAAGACGAGGAAGAATTTGGGTCGGAAGATTTTGATGAAAATGAGGAGGAGGAAGAGGGAAAGGATAATAATGAGGGTGGTGATGATGGGAATTGTGGTGGACATTAAAATGAATTTACGTGAGGATTTTATTTTTTGTTCTTTTTTGGACTTAATAAGGAAGGGTTGTCTGTTCATCTCAGGGATGTCACGTGTTACCCGAAACCCGACTTGAGACCCGATCCGAAGAAAATTTAGAAAACCCGGCCCGACTTCTTTCTCATCCCCTGACATCCCTGTTCTATTCTAACCAATGATCCGAGGGGGGTTTTCGGTTCGATTTTGAATATCTAAAATTTTTTCTGGAGCATATTTTTGTCTTTGACTTTATAATGAGGATTGTTGATATATAAGGGAAAACATTCCGAACTGTCACCAAAAATTCCGCACTTTTTTTGCACCATCGTGTAGAGGAGGGCGATAACCTGTTGCCAATTTTTTTTTCTTTTTGGCCCTGACCCCCAAATCAAACCGATGGCTATAGGATTTTTGGTTTGATTTTGGTTATCCAAAATTTTCTTTGGAACCGACAACCTATTTTATTTTTTTTTGCATTTTTCACCTACCACAGATTTTAAAGTAGCTAAGTAAAATTTTTTTCAATTTTTATAAGGCTATAATTTGAATATACCTAATTATCGGGAGCAGGCCAATGTACCGCTGAGAGCTATAACTTCTTTCAAAGTGGTCGAATCCGGGATGCCTTGGTATGGTTTAATGTGTCGACGAGCTGAATCAAACCATACTAGGTGGTCTTTTTTTGTAACCGACAGGGAAGTTGAAGGAAGTTATAGCCTCTGCGGTACATTGGGGTTTACCCTTAATCATCCATCTTCTTTTCCTTTACTTTCTCTTAAATCGCAAATTTAAAAAAAATTATTTTTTAAATTAATTTAATCTCTTTTTTTGACCACAATTTATTTGAACGGTTATAACTGCTATTTTTAATAATGCTTTCATTTTAATTTAAAAGCTGTTTTATTTCTCTGCAATTTATTTTTTTAAATTTAATTTAAATAGTCCCTCATTTACGTGCAATGTCTTTCTTATTTTTTTAAAAAATATTTTAAAATCTACACATTATTTTAAAGAAATTTTCTGTTTTTTAATTTTAAAAATTAACACCTTTGAAGTAAAAAATTTAATGTTATTTTTTGATGAACTCTAGTGTAGGGTGTTTGAAAAATTTTCGGCTCTCGTATAGGGGTACGGCCCAAGTAGGCGCGCGGCCAAGTAGGCGCAAAGCTATAACTTGCTTCAAGATTTCCGAACCTTTCAAAATTTAGTAAAAACGATTCCTCTCATCGAGCTAAAGAGATTGGTACCAAAATTGTTAAGGTCCAGAAATTTTCCAGCTAGTTATGGCTTTGCGCCTACTTGGCAGCGCGCCTACTTGGGCGTGTCCCCTGGTCTAGTTTATGAGTTTAAGAAACCTTTATGAGTCTACTATTTACGAGTCCAAACAAAAGTTTATGAGTCCATTGAAAGATTATTATAAGTGCAATGGAGGATTTATTTTTACTTTTTTTCATTCAAAAGGTTTTGTTTCGAAATAGATTTCTTAACCCTCAAGGGAAAATGAGTGAAGGAACCGACTCAAACCTTCGAGCCATCAATTATATATGTAGTCTAGATTATGAAGGGAATAGAGGAAGAATTAGAAAAAAATTAAACGGTTGTCGGTTTCAAACCGAAGATTCGGTTCGATTTTTCGGTTCGGTTAATCGAAGAATTTTGTGAAACCGACAAGCCTACGATTGACACACTTTTGAGGTTGAGATGGCAACGACTCTGGGGTCGGGTTAACTACTCTCGTAAAACGTTGTCCAAGACAATCAAAAAATTCCAATGTGAAATTTTAAGAGAAATTTTTTTTATTTTTTATATGTACTTCAATAATAATAAATTGGAAAAAAATCTCACGATTTGTTTGTGTCAAATAACTTTTAATGAAAATATGTTTATAACCAAAATTATCTCACGATTATTTCTTGTATTTAAAAATTGGTAGACGTAAATATTTTTCAAAAATTTTAATAAAAATCCAATTGAGATGAAGGCAGTAGATTTTGGAGAAAATTCTCAAGTCTCAGTAGATTAGTCAGGATTTTAGTCTATTATTCAAAGGATTATGTGAGGCGAAAGATTTTTTTCCTGAGGTTTCAGTGAAAAGGATTAAGCGGATTTGTATTGGAAATTACATTCTGAGAAGTTTTTTCAGTCACCTATGATCGCTTTTTATGGTATGATCTTGTAATACCTAAAGCTTGAAATACCTAAGCTTGAAATACCTAAGCTTGAAATACCTAAACCTAAAAGTTTTAAATACCTAAACTCCAAAAACACTTGAAATACCTAATTGTGGTCTATTTAAAATAACCTAGCAACAAAAAATCTTATGATTTATTTTGTCTGATAGTTTGAGGAAAATAAAAAAAATTTTCTCAAAAATATTTTTTGTATTTGGAAATTGTTAGTGTGAAACTTTTTAATAAAAATATATTTAAATTAATTATGTTTCCATTTAACTTTTGAAAGAATTATTAAAAAAATGACAACAGATTTGCCTGATATTTTATTTAAATTTGATTATTGGGGGGTTTTATTACTTGGTTATCCTCTAAACATTATTCTGATTATTTTAATTGTTTTTAAAACACCAAAAGAAATGAAAACACACAGTCGAATTCTGATACAAAATTGTGTTTTGGATATTTTATTATTGACAATTCAAATGTTTATACAATGGGTTAGAACGTTATTTAAAAGTTAATAAGAAATATAAATAAGAAAACAAGGAAAGTAAGGGCGAGTTAAAAGTTTACTCCCGAACAGTGTCATGTCCGAGCTTTACCTTAGAAAACAAAATAATTAAGTGTAATAGATTCATCTCTCAGATTTACTGAAGATATCAATAAGCCCTATAAATCCAATTCTCAGATATACTGAGGATAAACCCAAATAATATATAAGCTTCTCTTCTAAATAAATATACCAGCAAATGGTCAATGGGGAAAAGGGCTAGGAATTGGTCTCTCACTAAGGAGGTTTCTCGGTAGGGAGGTCTCTCGGTAGGGAGGTCTCTCGATAGGGAGGTCTCTCGGTAGGGAGGTCTCTCGGTAAGGAGGTCTCTCGGTAAGGAGGTCTCTCGGTAGGGAGGTTTCTCGGTAGGGAGGTCTCTCGATAGGGAGGTCTCTCGGTAGGGAGGTCTCTCGGTAAGGAGGTCTCTCGGTAAGGAGGTCTCTCGGTAGGGAGGTCAAAAATAAGGGATTAAGTTGGATTAAAATGACGATAAGCAATAGTCCCATCAGGGCTGATCGAAATTCCCCTTATTAAGGCTGATATTCTCAATTTAAAGGGATTAAGGTATATCAATAGATTTGGATCCTCTTTTGATTCTGAGATGCTTTTATCACGAATCTAGTTCCTTTCTGAAAAAATAGTTTAATACTTTATAGTTTTATGTATTCGATACAGGAGGGAATGCTATTTCTATCTTTACTAACGGAATTTTGCTCAGTTTCATGAAAAAAGATTTTAATCCATTTATATGTTTTATTATTTTAACGTTTTGGGAATATATTATCACGTTAAATTTGAATGGATTGTGTGTTCAATTTATTTATAGATATTTGGTTTTGAATAGGTAAATGAGTAAAATAATGGTATAAATTAGAGGTCGGTGCGGGACGGGTTCCTGCACATTACTCCCACAAACTTTACTCAGAGTTACTCCCGCATGTGGGTCCGCAAGCACGATTTTTCCGACCTCTAATATTAATGCATTATCCGTCACCATTTTATTTTTCTTCTCCTTCCTCTTTCCTTTCTCAAAAAATGTACGTTTGGGTCAGAAGAACAACATTGTTAAAAAAAGCCCCAATAATTTGGAAAAATTTGTATCTGTAGCGATAAGTACCAGGGCTGGGCGCAAAGAAAAAATAAAAAGCGAAATGCGAAACTTTTCGCGCTAAAAAATGCGAGAATGCGAAATATGCGAAACGCGAAATTGCGAAATTTGTTCAGAAAAATCGCAAAATAAAAAGCGAAATGCGAAATACGAAACTTTTCGCGCCAAAAAATGCGAGAATGCGAAAGATGCGAAACGCGAAAGTGCGAAATAAGCCCAGCCCTGATAAGTACCCAGCTAAGCGTGATGGAACTAATGATACGGTATTGTGATTGTGTAACATAACTCTGAGTGAATATGGCTCTCTATAAACATAGACACACAAATGGATCCAACAAACCAAAGAAACCTTTTTCAAATTAATTTAATCACTCAACAATAATGTTCTTCTGACCCATGTGTACATTTTTTGGAGAAAGGAAAGAGAAAGGAGAAAAAAGCAGATGCTGTCGGATAATGCGATAATACCAAAATGACATTAAAAAATCCTCTCCTTAAATATCAAAAGGAATATGAAAATTAATTTCCGCCGTTATTTGTATATTTTCTCGTTTGCTTTATTTGGGTCATCATTTTATATTTTGGATATGTTCTTCTTTAGTGTTCCATATTCTTTTGGAGGTATCAAATATTTTGATAATTTTAACAGAACTTTGCCATATATTCAATATAAAGTGGAGGCGGTAATTTTTAAATTACAAGATTATTTTACAAAAATATTTAAAAATTATACATAGATGAGTATTTTGTCCCTAGTAAATACGGCTTTAACTCAAATACTTCCTTATTTAATAGTAATTATTTGTGGATTCAAAATGGTCAGATTTGTCAATTTGAACACTAATTTTGATGGAAATTTAAAAAGATTGAATAAACTTTTAACTAAAGTTTTGATTCTTTTGGTAAGAAGATTACTGCATGCGAAATACTTTGAGGGAATAAAACTACTATTTTTCCATTTAAAATAATTTTTTATGGAAAGGAGGGGGGAGGCTGTCCAAGACTCTTGGTCTTAAGTCGACTCTTGATCTTTCTAGGGTTTTTATTCGGTCTTGAGGACCAGTCCAGGCTGGGTATGGCTCCGGGAGCAGCTACGGAGCCCGGCTCCGGCTTTGGGCTCCGGTGGAGCCGGGGCTGGAGCCTGAGCCAAGAATTTGAAAGCCTGGAGCCGGAGCCAAAATTTTTAAAGCCTGAAGCTGGAGCCAACAAATGGCAAATACCCAGCACTGAACAAGTCTTGGTCTCGTGTCTATGAAAATGATCATTCGTGGACCTCTAATAGCAACATTATTTTGTTAAATTTATAGGCTGTTCCACCATTTGTTAATCAAGCAGGAATTTTATTTATTATGATTTATTCAAGAACAGCCAACAATACAACAAATATTCGAATATTAATTTACATTTCCTTTCATTTAATACCTGTAATTAACCCAATTATTTGTATTTTAACAAACACCCCATATCGAAATGCTGTTTTTAATCGTTCACAAATAAATCCACAATAATTGAATGGAAAAATCCCATATCAAGTCCCGTACCTCCGATTCGGATAATCAATCCTCACTTAAAAAAGCTCGACGAGCTGAATGGATGATATCAAAACTAAGCTCTGAACTTAATTTTATGCAAAGCCCTGCTTACATGGCTTATCCTTATTACCGACTTTTAGCCTTGAAATGAAAGCATATCCTCCGTAGCAACACAAAAACAGCTAATTTTGGTGTTAGTCGCTTCAGCTCGTTTAGCTCTTTAAAATGACCTATAAAATTTCTGAATCGGAGTATGGGACTTAAGACTGAATTTTATCGAGTGAATAAAAATATTTTATTATTGTATACTTTAAATAAAAATTTATTAGATTAAAAGCTCGGATTTACGAAGATTTTCGAAAATTGATAACTCTAGTCATTAGAATATTAGCTCAAATTCCCATTAGGTTTACATTTAGTTTAACAAAAAATTAGTTCCCATAGTTTGTATTTTCGATTACTTTCTATATCTTGGAAATATTATTGTAAAGCATATAGCTATTTAATTCCTAGGACTGTGCAATAGGCGACGTGGTGTAATGGCTAACACATAATAAGAGCGAGGTAAAAGTTTAATTCCGGGCAGGCTTCGACCCTGCGACCTCCTGGCAGTTATTGCTAGGCGCTTTCGCTCACCACGTACAGGTTCTCTACCAACTGAGCTGCCGGGACGCTGTTTTCACCTTCTCTTTTAATAGAAAAATGTTTTTTAAATGCTACCCAGCTGGATCTTTCTCTTTTTTACAACATCAGTCCGGTCTATGAAGATGCTGGTTCGCCCCCAGCCACCGATTAACCTTCTGCACTAGCTAAATAACAGAAATAGCTATAGCCCAGCTGCTTTACTTTAATATGTATTAGTTACTGCTATTAGAACCAAAACTCAATCTCGATCTCAATTTTTTCAGCCTCGGTGATCCTCGGTCTCGGTTATTTCAAAAAACCTCGACCCGGCGCAACTCTAAATAGTCTAAATAACGAGTCAGATGTGTGTACATTTTATCTTCTCTGAATCGAGCTTCCCGAGCTTCTCTATAGATTCAAACGATGACTTATTTTTATCGTATAAAGCAAGAATGCGACAAATCTTTCGATGTCAGCATTGAATTGTACAACTGTAGAGGTTGTAGCCTCTAATACAAATCCGCGACTTTTTTTATTTTAAAAATTAGTTAGATTTTAATTTCCTAATTATAACCAATTCTTTCAAAGGGTACACCCCGATGTACCGCGAGCCCAATGTACCGCCGAGCTATAACTTTGTCCGAAAATATCGAATCCGTGGCGCCCTGGTATGGTTCGATGCTTCTCGACCAGCTGAATCGAACCATACCAGAGCGCCACAGATTCGAAAATTTTGGACAAAGTTATACCTCGGCGGTACATTGGGCTCGCGGTACACTGGCCTGCTCCCCTTTCAATGCCACAAGAAAAAAATTAATTAAATATTTTTATTAAAAAGTTTCACACTAACAATTTCCAAATACAAAAAATATTTTTGAGAAATTTTTTTTATTTTTCATTAAACTATCAGACAAAATAAATCTCAAGATTTTTTGTTGCTAGGTTATTTTAAATAATGCCAAAAAATATAATACATATTATGAATAAATTTTAGAATTAAAAACAGACGTGATAATAAAAGAATGGGTTTGGAAATTATAAAAAGGGGAACTGGCCAAGGTGCCTCAAGTCCAAGGTACCGCAGAGCTATAATTTTATTTTTATATTTTTAAAATTTTAGTAGTAATGTAATAATAAGGGACGGATATCCACGGAATTGGGGCATGCTATCCGTCCGACTAAAAAACACTATCCATATCCGTCCGGATCCGGATATATCCGCAAGTATCCGCATATTATCCATATCCATTACCAAGTCTGGTCACTCCGAACTTTCTTATCACTCTGAATTTAAAAGACATTTATGCAAAAAATATTTAGCAAATAAAATGTAAATAGGTTTATCATTTTTGAAATTCACTAAAAAATGGCTAAGCTACCGTAAATCCTCTAATTGAAGCACAGTGCTTCTATTTTTCGATCCTCTCATAGGAGTGTGTTTCTTTTCTCTCATAGGGTGTGCTTATATTTGCTTATATAAGAGGAGTTACGGTATGTAATTCATCAATAGAAATTGTCTGCCGTATATAATACGGTTTTTAATAAATAGGGCTCGGATTTGTTTAAATAAATCACTGAAGCGACCCTGCCCGTGTCTTTCTTCTATTTGAACTCGATGGTCGGACACTGGTCAGCCAAGGCCTGTTCACGACCAAGGTCGTCTTTGTACCCTATTTCAATATAAATCCGAGCCCCATTAATCTTTTATTCAATTATTGTGGGTTTATTTGTGAACGCTTAAAAACAGCATTTCGATATGGTGTGTTTGTTAAAATACAAATAATTGGGTTAAATACGGGTATTAAATGAAAGGAACTGTAAATTAATATTCGAATAATGTTTGATGTATTGTCGTTTGCTTTCGAATTTATCATGCCATATATAAGTCCAGCTTGATTAACAAATGGTACGACAGCCTAAAAGTTTAAAATAAATATTATTCTCTCTAATAGAATTCCCGTCTTTATTTGAATGATCCCTTGGAGGATGGCTGAAAAATAGAATGATGACCCATTCCATTTGAAAGGCACTCTCTATGTACTAGAATGGTTCCTTTTTTAAACAGGCTTAAAAATTTTTAAAAATTTCCACTATTTTAGAAAGATGTGTGATTCGTAGTATGTATTACATATATAAGGATAAAGAGGAATTAAGAAAATTTTGAAGATTCGATGGATTAAGGAGACCCTCCCCAATCCGCGATCTAGTTGAAGCACGAAATGGTCAGTCATTTTTTCCTTGCATACTTTTAAAAACTAATAACAAGGGCAAAATGTGTGAGACAGGCAATCAAAAACAAAAAAAGATGCCTGAATTAAAGGAAGAGTAATGAATTATTCCACAGGCAAATTTATTAAAATTATGTAAGGAAAAATGACTGACCATTTCGTACTTCAACTAAATCGCGGACTAGGGGAGGAGGAAATAAGTATTATCTTTACTTACCAAAAGAATCAAAACTTTTGTTAAAAGTTTATTCAATCTTTTTAAATTTCCATCAAAATTAGTGTTCAAATTGACAAATCTAACCATTTTGAATCCACAAACAATTATTATTACATATGTGGATAATTCAATTAAGATTACTGGTAAAATTAAAAAACTGCTCATCTAAATGATGTTAGGGCAAACGTGTTTAGTATAAAAGGTTGGGGTCAGCCTGTTAATTAGTCTTATTTTGTCAGTCAGACTATTAGTCTAATCCAGTGATGTCTCGATTATTCTATTCTGTTAATGTTATCGTGATATGTCCTTGTGTGTTGTAGTGTGGTGGTTAGTATTTAAACCTTATTATTATACTATAAAAGCCTCAAATATTTCTGTAAGGATGATTCACCTATCAGCATTTAAAACGCTTAGGCGTGGGTTAAACGATCTAAAAGGATTAAAGAGAAAGCATTAGTCGATGCCCCGGTAGCTCAGAGGTAGAGCTCGTGCATATAGTGAGCGAAAGCGCCTAGCAATAACTGCCAGGAGGTCGCAGGATCGATGCCTGGCCGGTGGCTAAACTTTTGCAAACTCTTTCTTTTCTATAAACACATTATTGTATTGCTTCTTTATTGTTGTAGAGCCCGGCTGTAAAAATATCGTATCGAGCCGGGCTCTAGTCGTACGCTCTAGTTTTTTAAATGAGATTTAAACTGAAAATTGCCTTTTCCACATGAGCATATTGAACAAATGGCATTGTTTTGTTAAAATTATCAAAGTATTTAATGCCTCCAAAAGAATAAGGGTTAATAAAGAATGATACAACCAAAATATAAAATAATTGAACAATTAAAGCAACTGACAACATAGATAAATAACGACGAATATTAATTTTCATATTCCTTTTAACGAAAGGATTTTTAATATTATTTTTATTAATGATCGAAATTTTGTCGGTACCGTATTCCGTAAATTTTTTAAAAAATTTCGTACCGTACCCGTGCCGTAATACCGATACGGAATACGGGAGCAGGCTAACTTACCGCGAGCCCAACATACCGCAGAGCTATAACTTCGTTCAGAATTGTCGTATCCGGGACGCCCTGGTAAGGTTTGATTCAGCTCGTCGAGGCGCATCGAACCCTGCCATTGCGTCCCGGGTTCAAAAATTCTGAACGAAGTTATAGATCTGCGGTATGTTGGGCTCGCGGTAAGTACGGTACGGTCCGATCGCTAATTTTTATATTCCTTTACCTATTCAAAACCAAATATCTATAAATAAATTGAACACACAATCCATGTAAATTTGAATTGCCAAAATATACCCATACAATCCCAGCAATATAACATATGATCGGATTAAAATTTTTTTCCGGAAGAATAAACAAAATTCCGTTGGGGTATACCTCAACTGCATTCCCTTCTGCATCGAGTATTTTAAACTTAAATTGAGTATAAAATTGGTTTTAAATTAATTTTGGGAAGGGGAAAAATGACTCGAACGTCGGCCCGACACGAAAACCCCAACCCTAATTCAGATCTCAATTTTCACTTTCTTTCCCTCTAACACCTTCCTTCTTTCGCTCACGCATTTTGATTCAAGTCATCGGGATTTGCATCGGGACCTGATGCAAATCCCGATCCCGGATTCCGGCTCGGGATCATTCAAAACCGGGAGCTCGATTCATCTTTTGGGATCGGGATCTGAAAAATCGGGATCGGTAATCGGGACCGCCCGCCTTTACAACAACTTTAACTATTCCCAAAAATTTTTAAATAAGAATTACCGTATTTTCTCTAAAATAACCCCCCTCTAGAGGTGATCGGAAAAAATACCCCCATGGGGGTAGTTTAGAGAAAATACGGTATATCACGTAGAGCATGGACGATAAAATATTGTCAATTTTTGGCTTTCTTGGCACTGCCCCGCCCCTTAATTAAAAAAATTAATTGGCGTTAAAAGCATCTAGCCCAGTTCCTAGCCCAATTCAGCTTATTAACAATTTAAATACCCCTTGAACAAACGCAAGAACCGTCAATATTAAAATATCCAAAACACAATTTTGTATCAGAATTCTGCTGTGTGTTTTCATTTCTTTTGGTGTTTTAAAAATAATTAAAATAATCAGAATAATGTTTAGAGGATAACCAAGTAATAAAACCCCCCAATAATCAAATTTAAATAAAATATCGGGTAAATCAAACCGTGTCCGGTAGTCTCGTCAGAGGTTAGTTTCGTCAGAGGACATTTTCGTCAGAATTAGTTTCGTCAGAGGTGCTTCTCGTCAGAGGCCAGTTTCGTCAGAGGGTTGACTCGTCAGAGATGAGTTTCGTCAGAGGTACTTTTCGTCAGTAAGGCTCCCTTTTTAAAAATCTAATTAAACGGTGGTATTATGATTTATACTAAGTTATTTGTTTCTGGATCGATTTGGACAAATGAGGTGTCATTCGAATGATCTCTAAAAACTGATTTTTGGGGTGAAAAATTTGAGTATACAAATGATAGCTCGCTCGAGTCAGATCGACGAGCTGCATCGAGTTCGACGAGATGAGCCTCCCTATGGTTTGTCATGATTCAGGAGTCTGTAATTCGGTCCCGGAATGTCGGATCAGTTTCTTCCATAACAAATTCGACTCAGTTTTTAGAGATCATTCGAATGACACCTCATTTGTCCAAATCGATCCAGAAACAAATAACTTAGTATAAATCATAATACCACCGTTTAATTAGATTTTTAAAAAGGGAGCCTTACTGACGAAGAGGACCTCTGACGAAATTGATCTCTGACGAAACTGCCCTCTGACGAGACTGGTCTCTGACGAGAAGGACCTCTGACGAAACTAATTCTGACGAAAATGTCCACTGACGAAACTAACCTCTGACGAAACTACAGAGCACCAATCAAACGACATTTTTCTTTTATTTTATTTTAAATAATTTTCTTTTAAAAAAATGGAAATAAAATTAATTTAAATATTCTTATTAAAAAGTTTCACACTAATAATTTCCAAATACAAAAAATATTATTGAGAAAAATTTTTTATTTTCATTAATAAAATTTGTGAGAACATATTTTGTTGTCTCATACACCATTTGTTACCGTCTCAAGAAAAAATTATTCAAAATTGTGAGTGGCTCGAGCAACCTCTACGTTCATTTCTAGTTCATCATTAATAGTCTCTTCAAATTTAATTAGACTATTAATAGCTAAAAATGATTTTGATTACCTTCACATAGGGAAATCGAATTAAGTTTCCTTCCAAAAACCTTTTCTTTCTAATCAGAAAATTTTCCATCACAGAATAACTTTTCAAAATTTGTTACACCAATGAGGGCCTGTTGAAGCAAAATAATAAAAATGAATTTGTAAACTAACTTTCCCACTCTTGAAGGGACAACTCCTCAGTAAGGTTGTTCCCCGTCCCCAAAAGTCGGGGAATTTGAGAGATTTTTTGAAAATTTCCCCGCCCCCCCCCCGTGAAAAATGAAAAAAATTTCACCGCCCCCCCCCCCCCCCCCCCCCGTGAAAAATGAAAAAAATTTCACCGCCCCCCCCCCCCCGTGAAAAATGAAAAAAATTTCACCGCCCCCCCCCGTGAAAAATGAAAAAAATTTCACCGCCCCTCCCCCCGTGGCGCTGCCTCCTCGAAAAGTTCTCTCCGTGCCCCCCCCCCCTCCCCCGTCGGGGAACAACCCTAATCCTCAGTCGTGCCAAATAATATGCACTTATTTGTCCTTACTGTATTCTCACAATACATCAAATTAAAAGCAAAATTGGCTCATACTTGTTTACTGAAAAGTGAACCAGGCACTTTAAATCTCGTGATTTATTTGTGTTAAACTTTTTAAAATTTTCTCAACAATATTTTTTGTATTTTAGCGTGTATATTTGAATTTTTATAAAAAAATTGAGACAAAATCCCCCTAGCAATTGAAAAAAAATTTAACAAAATTTTCTCGAAAATATTTTCTAGAGGGCGTGAGAACATTTTGAAACTTTTTTTTAATAATATTTTTTAATTAAGAAATTTTTAAAGTAATTTTATTATTTATTTTGAAGAATTAATAGTAAATAAAATAAAAAATGTCGTTTGATGTACTTGATATTTTATTTAAATTTGATTATTGGGGCAGTTTATTACTTGGTTATCCTCTAAACATTATTCTGATTATTTTAATTATTTTTAAAACACCAAATGAAATGAAAACACACAGCAGAATTCTGATACAAAATTGTGTTTTGGATATTTATATATTGACTGTTCAGATGTTTGGACAAACGGTAATTTCTTGAAAATTTCAGAATTGCTCGTACTCGTATTCCGTACTACCCTTATTTTTAGCCTCATATCTCGACCAATACCACGAACTTGCTCTTTCTTATAAAATAAGCAAAAAATCCAAAATTTTTATGTTTTTTCTTTTTAAAACACCAACATCTTCGGCCTTAGCACTTCCAGCAGTTTATAAACCGATTCAATATTCTAAGGAACATAAATTAGCGTAAAGTAATTTTTCGAATTTTCAGAAGGTCATGAAGCCAGAATGACTTGTGTGAAGCCAAACCCTTCACCACTCACACACTTACATAAGGGAAAATGAGAGAAAATAGGAATATAAGACCCAGGAGGTCAAATTACGGTCAAGTACAAATGTTTGGTTGGATAAAGGTTTATCAGTATCAAGAATACGTTTGCTTCCTTTCTTCAATATCCGACAGTTACACGAGAGCATTTCCGTTCCCCTTAATCTTAATCCCCTTTAATCCCAACAAATCCATCTTAATCCGCCCAAATCCGTCGATATCCTCCTTAACACCCAAAGATCCGTATTAATAAGCATAAAGCCTTCTTATTCCGCCTAAAATTTGTGTTTGGCGCCATTCTGGATTGATCTCCAGGGTCTTGACCTTCTAGGCCTTGACCTTCTGGATCTTGATCCCATTTCCTTCAATATATCTCGTTCCTCCCCTGATTTTGACCTCCTAATCGGACTTAAATTTTATATTTTTACTTGTACTTTGTATCGTGTACGAGTACGAAGCAGAGTACAAATTTCGATACTGTCGTGAGCCAACAAAAATCAGAAATAAATTTAAACATTAAGATTTATTTAAACGACAGCAAGGAAGAGTCTGTCTTTATCTTTACTGACGGCATTTTACTTTTGTTTATGAAAGATATTTTTAATAAAATTATTTGTGCAGGGTTTTTATACATCCAAATGTTTAATTACACTGTATATGTGTATGGATTGTGTGCCCAATTTATTTTTAGATATTTAATTCTGAACAGGTAAAACATGAACAAATTTAATCAGAATTAATTTCTAAAAATCTGAATTAATAAAAAAAGAGTTGAGGTACACAGCAACTTAAAATAGGCAAAGGCTGCAACCAGATCTTTAGAGTCTTAGTTAGAGTCTTAGCCCGTTTTGAAGCGAAGGCATGTAACTCGGTCCAATGTCATTTCTATGACTTTATAGTGGTACCATTCGACTCAGCTCGACGAGCCGAATCGAATGATAAATCGAAGACTTTGGGACTAGCGCTTAATAAAAAATGGATGATTATAAAGCGAAATACTGGTTTATTTGAGGGGTTATTTTTTTAAAGTATCTTTAGGGTATTATCTTTGTTTTTGCCAGACAGAATTTTAAATATCCAACGTTTTGTCGAGAAAAAGCTTCTCAAAGTTGGCAGCTCAAAATGACAATATCCTTATAAAAATAGCACGCGAAAAAAATAGAGTAAAAAGAAAAGGAGAAAAATTCAGTATGCACTGAAACGGCTCTTGGTTGCAGGTTAAGTTGCTGTGAGGTAATACTTAGGTTTACGCCCCTCTATTTTTTTGACTATTTTTATGGTAAATAGTAATATCATTCAAAAGAGCTTCTAGAATGGAGTCGAATGGCATTTAAATCAACGCAAGCTGACTTAAATAGGCAAAGTTATGAGTAGGTGTCGGGTAGAGCCTTCGAGGTTCGGGTCGGAGTTTTGCCTAATAATTCGCCGGGGGGAGGAGTGATACCCTAGTTATAACGAGTTGTACCTTGCGGCAGAACAAAGACAGTTTACAGAAAGGATTCAGATTCATAGCTTTCAGAATCATTAAATCTAATTGGTATCATTCGACCCAACTTGAAGAGTTCTTTCTAATAATGTGTATGTGTATAATAAATTATATATTAAGCAGAAAAAACTCGAAAGCCCAGGGAAAAGAGGGGGGGCGTAAACGATGTACTACAAAGATGATTTAAATTATACATTTAATATTAACTTAAATTGCCAGAAACATGAAAATCAACTTTAAAACTTATTTTTTGTATACCTTTTCAACTATTTTAATCGTTGCTTCATTATATAATCTGATTGGTATTGTCTACGCTATGCGCTATTTTGATGGGGGTATCAAACAGTTCGATGGACTATATTCGAACAAAACATTTCATTTTGTTATTGTGAAATCTGTGGTAATAAAATCATAAAATCAAGAAGCATATAGCTATTTAATTCCTTTAGCTAGTGCAAAAAGGTTATTAGACGGCTGGGAGCGAACCAGCACTTAGACTGAACTGATTTGTTATCCAGTACACTGGTTATCCTTAGGAATTAAGGTACTTTATTAATACCCCACCCCTATTTGAGTCTCAGATCAACTTTCCTTTTTTGCTGTCAATCATTCTTTGCCTTTCAAATTTAAGTAAATGACAAGTTAGAAGGATCAAAATTAGAAAGGAGGCCTTCTAGCTTGTCATTTATTTAAAATTTTGAGGTAAAGTATGACTGGCAGTAAAAAAGAAAAATTAATTTGAGACTCATAGGAGGGGGGGGGGGTGAGGGGGTTGAATAAAGTACCTCAATTCCTAAGGATAACCAGTGTAATGGATAACACATCAATCCGGTCTACTGAAGATGCTGGTTCGTTCCCAGCCGCCGATAAACTTTTACACTAGCTAAAGGAGAGAAATAGCTTTAACCCAGCTGCTTTACTCACTCCATTTATTATTTTTTAAAGGATGAGTTGTCATCATATCTTGAAACTTTTGTTTTAATAATTCCATACATTATAATTTTTATTTGTGGATTTAAAATGGTCTACTATGTTAATTCACATACTGGATTTAATCAAAATCTCAAGAAATTGGTTAAGCAATTGACAAAAACTTTGATAATTTTGGTGCATAATTTACGGGCACAGCCGAGCTAGGCGCGGGCCATAAACGACGCAAAGCCATAACTTGCTTTAAGATTTTCGAATCTTACCAAATTTAGTATTAAACGATTCCTCTCATTGAGATAAAGAGATTGGTACCGAAATTGTTAAAGGCCAGAAATTTTCCAGCAAGTTATGGCTTTGCGCCGTTATGGCCCGCGCCGACTTGGGTGTGTCCCATAATTTACTTTTAATTTAATTTTAATTAAATTTTAGACAATTATTCCATCCATAAATCAAATCTATGCTTTAGCAACCATGTTTTTTACATTCATTAATGATACAAATGTCTCAACTAACGTAGATACCATGAATCGAATTTATATATTTTTTGCAATTTTTAATCATTTTACACCTGTTTTTAACCCGATTGTTTGTATAATAACTAATAAGCCGTACAAAGAAGCTGTTTTAAAGCGTTTAAGGATACATCCACAATAGGGTTGGTTCTCGTCCCGAAAGTTTGGGAATTTGAGAGATTTTTTGAATATTTCCCGCCCCCCCCCCTACCCCGTAGTGCTGCCTCCCCGAAAAGCTTTCCCCGTGGCCACACCCCTCCCCTCCCCCCCCGTTGGGGACCAACCCTAATCCACTATAATATTGCAGTATTCACATTTACAAATTTTGTTCTTTTCCTATATAAAAAGGATGGTAAAATTTCGCATTGCTAAACAGAACGCAAATAGGTCAAATCATTCGAAAGAGTCGAATAGTGAACAAAATTTCGAGCGGACTCATAGAGGGGCTGAGATATAGGTTCCCGAAAATCGAAAACCATAGGGGGAGTAAGCTCGATTTAGGGGTGAAAAATTCGAATATGCAAATAATAGCTCATTCGAATGCGTTCTGTTTAGTATTCCGAAATTTTTCCAGAAAGGATTACGACCGTTCTCAGAGTTTATCACTATTCTCGACCCACATCTATTATTTGTTATTCACTCTTTACTTTTTCTTGTCCTGATAATCTCCTCTATAAATACGCATCCTAAATATCACCCTAAAAATCTAATATCATGTATAATGTATATCCAATCTGTCAAGCTCTATGCATTTGTCCCATTGTATATTCTCCCTTCTTATAATTTTAACTTGTAAATATTTATCTGTAAACTAATTGATAAGCATAAAGACTTCGGAACGTGGAAATATTTTTTTTGTTTGAATGATTTAATAAAACAGAATAATTATTTAATTAATAAGGATTTAATCCTATGATAATTAAAAATAAATTAGAAGACAAACATTATTTATAATGAAATATTGGAACACGCCCAAGTATGCGCGCGGCTAAGTGGACGCAAAGCCATAACTTGCTGGAAAATTTCTGGCCCTTATCTGTTTTGGTACCAATCTCCCTAGCTCGATGAGAGGAATCGTTTGATGTTAAATCTGTTAAGGTTGTGAAATTTTGAAGCAAGTTATGAGTTTGCGCCGTTATGGCCGCGCGCCGTTTTGGGCGTATACCTAGTAGGGACTTAAAGTTTAGTATTTAAGAAACTGTAAATGTTGGGTATTGGTTTAGTATAAAAGCCTTCCTTATTCAGTCTCTGTCTTATTCCAGTGTTATTCTATTACTATTCTATTCTGTCTCCAATATATTCGGCATTAGCCATATTCTTATTGTATATCACTATGGTATTCAGTATTGAAGATAAAACACAGTTGTTAGTTACTGTCTTATATTGTTATTCTTTGTTAGTATGTAGCAGGGTTGGGCTTATTTCGCACTTTCGCGTTTCGCATCTTTCGCATTCTTGCATTTTTTAGCGCGAAAAGTTTCGCATGTCGCATTTCGCTTTTTATTTTGCGATTTTTCTGAACAAATTTCGCAGGCTGTACTTTAGTACGTGGGTGCAGGCTTTAAATTACAAATGTTATATCATTTGAAAGAGCTAGTCGAGCTGAGTCGAATGCCACCAAAATTAGCTCTAGGAAAAATTTTTGAACCGAGATACAGGCGATTGAAAATCGAAAACCATAGGGGGAAGCAAGCACTTTTTTGGGGTGAAAAATTCGAAAATGCAAATTATACCTCATTCGAAAGAGCTCGTCGAGCTGAGTCGAATGACACCAAAATCAACGGAATCCGACTTGATTGGACAAAGTTATGATCTTTTATTTTAGCTCCTTACCTATGGCATCTGTTGAAATTTTTGCTGCTACGGAGGCCCCAAATACGTCCAGAGCAAGGGATTTAGGAATAGGTTTATGTTACGAGCCCAGACCCAGCGCCCGTAGACTCCCCGCGAGGCGCGTGCCGCAAAACCCCGCGCGAAGCGCGGGGTTTTGCACAAGCGCCTCGCCTACGCCCCATAGGTTTAGGTTTTAGTTTTTCTATCGTAACTTTGTCCAAACTTGTCCAACGACGATGATTTTGGTGTCATTCGACTCAGCTCGACGAGCTCTTTCGAATGAGGTATAATTTGCATTTTCGAATTTTTCACCCCAAAAAAGTTTGGGAGTTTTCTGTTTGTCAAACATTTTGGGAGTTTTCTGTTTGTCCTGGAAAATTTTCAGTCTTGGGCAGCTCTAATGGACAGTTTAGAAAAGATGGCGAAATTCCTTGAAATTACATCAGTGCCAAGGGCAAATAAAGGATACCGTAAATATCCTAATATAAGCCCAGGGCTTATATTTTTCAATACCCCCATCGGGTGGGCTTATAATAGGGCATGGGCTTATATTTTTCAATACCCCTCATTGAGTGGGTTTCTATTAGGGCATGGGCTTCTATTAGGATATTTACGGTATCTAAAATCATGTTCTCCCGGAAGCTGAAAGGAATCCTCTTGGTCAAAGGAGAATAATTCTTATTAAGTTTAAGAATTATAAAAATAAAAAAATAAATTTTTCATTTTCTCTCTAATTTGACAAAACTTGGGGGAAAAGTAATAAAAACATGTGAAGATAATTAATTTTATTTTTCAACTGTCATCACTTCCGACCAAAAATAAAATTTTTTTTTCTTGGCTTTTTATTTTAAAAAAAGATGGGGAAGGTATTTATTGATAGAATATTTTATAATTATTGAAAGGATCGATCGGTTTGCGAAATTTTTTTGACAATATTTGAGAGGGGATTATTGTATTAAACTGCGGTTGGTCTTTCCCCAGTTTCTCTTGTCTTCTCGCATTAAAAAAATTTTTTGATTAAAATTGTTATGTAATAGAAATGATAAAATGATAATCAACATTATTACGTTGCCTACTTATTATATCGTTACAGCCAGCCATTACATGGCTGGCTGTAACGATCTTTTTGTCCATCTTTACCTTCTAAATTCAATACGGAACGATTTTTTCCTTTACATAGGAAATTAATTGTAGGGCATATGGGATTTTGGTGATTCTATATTGATATGTCGCTATTGGGAAATATCATTATTTTGATCGAAAAACTTAAAAAAATTTTTTTGTTGATTTTAAGGACATGGGATCAAACAAACAACCCCTTCTCCTTCTGAAAGGAAAAATTAAATAAATTTAATCATTCTAATTATTATTATCAATTTTGAAATATGTATGTTACTATATCAAAAGTAGTACTTTTTGACACACTTTTTTATAACATTTTTTACTTTTATCAAAATTTATTTTAATTTTGAAATTTTCGGGAAAAAATATTTAAATTTTTGGTACTTTTCCGTTAATCGACCGCAAACTGAGTACCAGCCGACTTTGAACAGCTATAACTTTTTGATTCTTGATCCAATACAAATTAATTTTATATTATTCGAAAGCCCTCGATAAGCGCTATCTTTTAACAAATGCATGAATCAGCTCTGACTAGAGCCCGGAATTTCGTACCGTACCGTATTCCGTACCGTAATACCGTATAATACCGATACCGATAAATACCGATGAATTTAAAAATTTTACCGTTCCGTATTACCGATACGGAATACCGAAAAATACCGATACCGATAAATACCGATAAAAATGTATCGGTATTCCGTACCGTATTTAAAAAAATTAAACAATATTTTTTATATATAAAAATCAAAATTTAAAATCAATTAAAGGTAAAATACGATTAAGAAATATAACCATCTCTGCTTTTCTTGGACCAATACTCATCCTACGATATGTAAAAACATCACGTGCAGTCGAGAATAATTGTTCAGATGGTACACTAGTAGCCGGTGGGCTAAGATATTTCCGAGCAGCTTCAGATAATAAAGGAAACTTTTTTTGATTACTTTTCCAAAAATCGAGTGGATCAGACTTAATTGACTCTCTAGCCATTGAACAATATTCATCGAATTCTCTTCTCAGGTTTGGCGCTGTTGATGTTTGATGCTCGGCTAATTTTTAAACAGGTATAGTTTTTATAAGTAAAAGATAGAAACCCTGAACATCCATAGACTCTGCAAAATCATCAAGAAGCCCTTGCTTCATAACCTTTGCTGGTGGTTCAAAATTAAATTCAATAGTTTCACTAAATAATTTTTGTTAAAATGAAACTTGTTTAAAAATAGTTGAAAAATGAAGAGTTACCAATCTATCGGAGTCATTTCTTGATCCAAAAAAATAAAAACTTCATGTCTGAACAATTCTGGTATATCTGTATTCTTGTCTTTCAGCCTAGGATCCAGAAATTGAGAAACTGCTATTTCTCTTTAAAATAATAAATACAAAAATAATAAAAACTAAATAACCTAATTTTTATTAAATTCCAAAAACGTTCGTGAAAACCTTTAACAATTAGCTGTCGAGTAGGTTCAACTCGTAATAAATTCATTTCGGAAACTTTCTTTTCCGTCATTTTTGCAAAAGAATACTGCACTGAAATTGAAGACCCCGAAAATAACCGCGTTAACTCTTCAAGAGGACTGAGAAGTTCAACAAGTTCACCTAGAATAGCCCATTCATTGTCCGTTAAATCAAGATCTTGACGTTCTTTTTTAAAAGCATAATTTTGTATAGCAGCCCTTTGTTCAATAAGTCTTTTACACATAAAAAACGCACTATTCCACCTCGTTGGGATATCCTTAATTTTAAAAATAAGGCTGAACTTTAGAATGGTAACTTGTAAAAGAAAATGTTGAGGCAAGTCCTCCTCTAACTGAATTTTTTTGAACGCCGAAACAGCTGAATTTGAATGCTTGAAGTGGCCAACGATTTTTCTGCACTTGATGAGAATATCATTAACAGAAGTGTTTTTTAAAGCATTATGAACAATCAAATTCAATAAATGCGCAGAACAGTCAGCATGAGCTAATTCACTCTTAGAAAATGCCTAAAATGTGTCTTATTTTAAAACAATTTAAAAAAATACACTGCGCATATTAGCTCCACCATCACGTAGAAATAAATGACATTTTCTTTTATCAATACTCCACGACGCAAGAAGCTCATCAATTTTTTCAGAAATGCGCTTTCCAGTATGAGAACCAGGAAAAGAATTGATACATAAAGGGAAATGTTTCTTCTGCCATTTTGAATCAATTAAATGGACAGTGAGACTAAACTGGTATATATGATTAAACTTCAAAAAAACCTTAAAAATGATTCAGTTGGCCCAGACCATATATCAGTTGTAAAAGAAAGAAAATTTGAATCCGCCAGCTCCAGCATTATTTTACGTTTTACAGCATCATATGCCTTTGGCAACACAGTTTTCCTATAATAATACATGATTAATTTAAAAAAGAGTGCAAACCGGTAATGTGACTCATCCCTTAACTCATCTCGGAAAACGGCACGTGTTGTCTTATGATTTAGGGATAAAAATGATGTAAGATTGCAGCACACATAGCTTATAACTCGTTTTTCAGCACTTGACAAACCACCTATTAAAAAATAAGCCAAATAATTAAGAATAATCTTGCCTCCGCTCTGAAGAACAAATTTTTCCATTGTTCCTTTTTCCTCATCAACTGAATTTTTCTTAAAAAGGTTTAAATATTCGCTGTCACTGTGAAATGATTTCAAATGAACAATTAAGCCTGATGTACTTCCCTTATTCAGCGAAAAGACGCTCTTTTTTCTTTCTTTTTCTTTGCAGTCTAAACACACCGCGTTGCTTCCTTCTTCTGTTCTTTTAAAAAGACCAATTTTCCAAATAGCCGATTCCTCTTTTGGCATTTTATACAAAAAAATAATTATTATATGTAAATACATAATTACAAAATTAATAAAAATCGGTTCAAAAAGATTTTTTGATAAAATGTTGTTTAAAGGATAAAAGTATATATTCAAATAGTTAGGATCTTGACAATTGGGTGGCGTCAGCTAAGATGGACAAAATGTCATTTATATCGGGACAAAGTGTCATTTACAAATACCTACGCGGCAATTTAAATAAATTTCCCATAAAATAAAATTTAGAAAAATTTTATCGGTCGGTATCATCGGTATTTTAGTTTTTCCGTACCGTATTACCGATACGGAATACCGATAAATACCGATACCGAAAAATACCGATAAACTTTAAAATTTTATCGGTCGGTATTCCGTATCGTACTACCGATACGGAATACCGATAAATACCGAAAAATACGGCCGTAGTACGGTACGGTCCGGGCTCTAGCTCTGACTACTCATAAAAAGTTACAAGTCAATAAGTGCAAGAAATCGTTAATTTTCACTATTATCGGGTTATAACTTTTTATAAGTGATCAGAGCTGATCCATACATTGGGTAAAAGATAGAGCTTATCGAGGGCTTCCGAATGATATAAAATTCATTTGTATTGGAACAAGAATCAAAAAGTTGTAGCCGTTAAAAAGCCGACTGGTACTCAGTTTTAATAAATAAATTTAATAAATAAAAAATTTAAAATATTTACTATTTTTGCAAATTTTTCTCAACAAATTTTTAAATTAATTAATTAATTAATTAATTACTCTTTAAATTCTTCCAAAATTTCACATAATGGAAAATGAAGAAATTAATAATTTAACATCTCCGCCCAGAAGTCGTTCCCTATGTTCTGGCCTTCTTTTCTCTACAGCATCCTCAACTAGCGATATTGCTGGGGGACAAAATCAACAACAAAATATTAGTAGATTAACGGCAATTCCTTCATTAGATTTTTATTTATTTACTTCGCCCTCATCGGCTCTTATGGGTTCTGAAGATGTTGGGGAATGTGAACAGCTACAGTCGAGCAGGTAATTTTAGGAGACTAATTTCTATGGCGGTGAGGGATGGTCGAAAGACCTTTGCTTCTTCTGGCTCTATCATATCTCACCAAATCCAAGTCTTGACAAAAAGGCTAAAACCCATATTCGACCATAGGTAACCAACTATTGTAGTTGGAGACCGGACTATTGTCCGTTGTCTCGCGGGAGTCAACGTTGCTAACAAAGGAGAGTGCCTGGGTGTCCGCGGGATTTTGGTATGAAATTTTGCAGACAGGTAGATCATACCCTACTTTAGTATACAATACCACCATTTCCGCTAAATGGTACCGGGGACCGAGTTATAGGCCCCAAAATAACATAAACCCTATCCTAGTAACATAACCCTATACTTTTTGGCAAATTTCAAATTTGGCTAGGCCTTCGCTACGTTTTTGAGATTGGGGATTGTTTGTCCCCAATGGTAGTGCCCTATTGTATTTAAAACTAGTATCCGTTCGGATACTTTGGGTTAATTTGGAAATTAAAATTTTGAAAGATATACAAAGCCAATAGATTCCTTATCTTATCTTTTCTAGACATCTTAATGATAGCGGAATTAGTGCAGTTGGTAGAAGAATGTCTAGGGTAAGTTCAATTTTTATCCAGAAACAAGTAGGGGATTTTTAAAAATATTTTTAAGCAAGATTCTCACCACCACAAAAGAGCACATATTTCTAGTACATGGCTAGAACGAGTATTTCAACGCCGTGAATGTATTAAATTTATACCTGCCGACGATCATTCTGATCGGTAAAAATAAAATTTTAAATTTAAATACAAAATTCTCTCAAGTTGTTGTTGTGGGAGAGTTAGCGCTGAACATTCCCAACTTGCTCTTTCCCGGTTTACAAGTTCAGTGGTTACTCGAGGAGCGCGTTTTCATTTGTCCTCTACTGGACAAAGTTCAGGCAATTGGACAATTGGAACTTGTACTGCCTGTACTCCTACAGATGCGTATGGAACTGTGGAATTTCAAGTAGGAAAGAGTGGGATGTTTTGTTTTGACTGATCTTCATAGCCTAGATCCCGGTTGAGTCAGAATCCTATGGGCTTCGATGCGTCTTTTCTTTATTCTCCAATATAGTCGGCCCTTATTCGAGATATACCCTTGGGGTTAAAATTTTTATCTTATAATGTGTTTCTAGATGGAAGGAGAAAAAATTTTTCTTTTCATTCCTTAAGACAAAGGAACGGAAACGGAGAGCCCGTCTTACTTTTCTTGAGGCTAGAAAGGATATCCTATAGACCAGGGTTTCCGCGGGTACAAAAAATCTTCGGGTACGGGTTTCGGGTTGGAGTGTTTTCATTTCGGGTTTCGGGTACAAAAAAAGGCCGGGTTTCCGGCGGCAACCCTGCTATAGACGGTTCTTACTGTATTTCTATCTAAAAAATTTTAAAGGGTGGAACACACGTACACAAAGCTCGTTATTTGCGTCTATCCTTCGATTCAGACCCTGCCGACATTATGAACCTTATGGAAAGATTGTGGGGATTGGAAAGGCCTAGATTGGTTATTTCTGTACATGGAGGCACTTCTGATTTTAAGTAATAATTTAAAAATCTCTTAAATTTCTCTCTTGTATACCTTTAAAGCGTACCAGAAAAATTGGGAAGAGTTTTTCGAGAAGGTCTTTTGAAAGCAGCAGAAACAACTGGCGCTTGGGTATTAACCTCTGGATTGGATTCTGGTGTAGTTAAACACGTTGCTAAGGCATTGGATGAAGCTGGAATTTCTGCTAGGTAGTTTATTGGAGTCTTTGTGAGACTCACACATGCAAATCAAAGGGCGATTTGGAGAAGGAGCATGCCTTTCCCGATTTTCGACCGATACGAACAATTCTTAATCAATGGTCCTAGTTGTGGGGATTCTATTTCATAACTGAACTAATCTGTTCCGATCACTATAAAATGTTACAATCGGATAACTCCTTGTTAATTCAGAATATTCGTCCAATTGTGAAAAAGATTCCTCAGCTAGAGAGGGGTACACCCCAACCTACCGCGAGCCCGACCTACCGCCGAGGCTATAACTTCGTTCAAAATTGCCGAATCTGAGACATCTTAGTATGGTTGGATTCAGCTCGTCGAGGCGTATCGACCCATACCAAGGCGTCCCGGATTCGACCATTCTAAAAGGAGTTATAGCCTCGGCGGTAGGTTGGTGCTGCGGTTCGAAATCAAAGCTAATCTGAATTATATAAAGCAGTCCGCCAACAGTTTTCTCTATTTTATAGAATGCGTTCACGCATAGTAACAGTCGGAATTGCACCTTGGGGAATGCTACAACGTCGAGAACAATTAATTGGACATGACACTCACGTTGTTTATGACCGTCAGAATTCTACAAATACTCCAATAATTTCCCCTTCCAACGAAAGAGGAGAATCGTCAAAAACAACTTTTGGGGGAGTTCCTTTAAATGATAGAGGCTCCTATTTTTTGCTTGCCGATAATGGAACTTCTAATCGTTATGGAGCAGAAATTGTTTTGAGGAGAAGATTGGAAGAGTTTTTAGCTAAAAATGTTGGAGAAAATAGAAGAAGAATACCTACAATTTGTGTTGCTTTAGAAGGGGGAATATGCACATTAAATGCTATTTATAGATGCCTTCTTGGACAACCGCCTATTCCTGTAAGGAAGATTTTTTAAATTTGTCCAACGGAGCAGGGATGTTGGAGGGATATTCTCATCTATCTTTCTATCCTGCTAATCCCTCTCCTTATTCGAAAAATAACATGTGCCCTTCTAAGTCCCGTTATTTAGTCCATAAACATCCTCCCCCCCCTCACCGTCCGTAATCCTCACTTCCTTCCCCATCCGTAATGCTTTGCTTACATAAAATCGCAAGATGCGAGCGAAAGACGCTAGTGATGTGGTAACATAAAATCGACGTTTTCCGCTAAGATGAAAAGTGCAAAGCGACTAACGCTGATTTTATGTGACTACAATACCAGCGTATCGGTGATGTCTGGTTGCCGAGCATCTGTCGCAAGCCGTGCGCGATTTTTATGTAACCGTAGCATAAGGGGAATTTTTGATAGAATCACGTTCCTTCAATCTAAATTAATAACTAAATTAAAGGTAATTGTCTGTGAAGGAAGCGGTCGCGTTTGTGATCTACTTGCATTAGGTGTTCGACATTTTGATAATAATGGGTATTTAATTGTAAATAAAATAATTTCAACTCATTAACAGTAAATTACCTCCAAAAATGCGTGCTCATTTGTTAACCTTGGCAGGGAAGCTTACTATAAATAATAAAAATCCGTGTAACTCGCCAGAAGCCTTACTTTACCGTATTTCTCAGTGTGTAGAGAAAAGGAATAACTTGGTAGGTATTTAATGTGCGATTAGTAGGGTTGGACAAAATATGCACCGATATGCAAATATGCTCGAGAGGACCGAAATATGCAAATATATGCATTAAGAACCGGGTTATAAAGTGCTCAAACCAACATAAAAACACCATTTTTAGGCTTCTCTCAAAGCATATCAGCATACAAAACATGCATTTGCATGTTTCGTCCAATCCTAATGATTAGACTCTTATGACCAGGATACTTTTGTTAAAAGTCCATACTCAAGTGTCTATTTACTATTCGACTCTCGTACTCAACTGTCCAACCTCAACTTTAACCATTTTGAGTTCCACATAAAATTACTTTGTTTTGGTGGTCACTTGAGTCTTAACAACCTTTTCTTATTTATTGACACTTGAGTCCAATTGAGTCTCGAATCTTTTAATTTCCCAACTATTTGAGTCTTAAAATACTCAATTTTTAAGTTAACAGTCTTTCGCGTCCCAGAAAACCATTTACAACATTTTCACTCAGACGAACACAAAATGGATAGAGTTATACTTCGTGCCCTATTACATGGACAGGACTTGACACCCGTAGACCAGTTATTACTAACTTTGGCTTGGGGACGCGAGGATATTGCCAAAAGTGAAATATTTAATAAATCTAGTTTATACCCTTCAGATCCAGACTGGTTAATTCAAGTAAATTAATTTTAAATTGACAGAATGCCAAAAATTTTGAGTAAAATTTTAGCCAATGATGGAGGCTCTTTTGTCTTCTAAAGTTGAATTTGTTCGTTTATTTTTGGAGCAAGGGCTGTCCCCTAGACGCTTTTTAACTTTCCAACGACTTGAATATTTATATAATGCTGTGAGTTTCTTCAGAACTTTTCTGTAAAATATTTTAAAATTGGGACCTCTCAAAATTTCTGACTTTTATTCTGATATAACAGACATAAAATTGTGATTTTTAAAAATCAGAAAAGGGGGATATTAGAGTATAACGAGCTGAAAACGAGCCATGGTCAGAACAAATTCTGACTGAAAACGAGCCATGATCAGAACAAATTCTGATTTTTGCCCGATTTTCAGAAAAAAATTCTGATTTTTGACTGTTTTCAGAACAAAATTCTGATTTTTGGTCAGAACAAATTCTGATTTTTGTCTGTTTTCAGAACAAAATTCTGATTTTTGGTCAGAACAAATTCTGATTTTTGTCTGTTTTCAGAACAAAATTCTGATGGTCAGAACAAATTCTGATTTTTGTCTGTTTTCAGAACAAAATTCTGATTTTTATTCTGAAAAAATTCTGATTTCCCGGAAGGGCTAGTTAACACTATTAGCTATCACCACACAAAATTTGACTGGTCTAGATAACCATACGGCTATCTTATAAAGACTTTTACTCAAATAACTCTTCATACTCTAATGTCCCTTTCATTATTTCCAAAAACTTTTAAGGTCCCTTCATTGCTAATACCTTTAATGTCCAGCAGTAATCAACAGCCTAAAGGCGGATCAATCCAAGGCGGAAAATCGGCCTTCTCTCTACCGGAAATAGGGGCAGCTATAGAACGCTTAATGGGAAATGCCTTTCGCTCCACCTACACAACCAGAACATTTAAATTACGGTATGAACGCGCAAAATCGTTGTCTGGGCAAAAACAATTTTTTAAAACGAGTCAATCAAAACAACTTTCTTCTTTACAAATGTGTTTGTCTGGGAGTGGTGACTATGAAGAGGAGGGGCTCAAACAGCCTAAGGTGGGAAAGGAGAGAGAATTTTTAGGGGAGAGAAAGGGGAGAGACTCTAAAAGCCAAAAAATTTTTTTATTTGAAGCGCAAAAGTGCTCTAACAATACCTCCACTTGGCTGGGAAGAGGAAGGAGATACAAATTCTAACAATGCTCCTAGGCATCAAAAACACCCAGAATTCTCTTTTCCATTTAATGAATTAATGCTTTGGGCTGTTTTAACAAAAAGACACGAAATGGCCAAATTGTTTTGGCAACATGGAGAAGAACCTTTAGCTAAAGCTCTGGCTTCTATTAGATTATATAAATGTATGAGTAGGGAAGTAGCTCATGATTATGCCGAAATGGAAGTTAGCAACCAGTTGAGGGAGTGCGCGCAGGTGTTTATTCTGTTTATTTAATCAGGGACATTAGAGTCTGGGCAGTAAAATTCTTAAGTCAATTTTTAGTCGCCAGACTCTAGTGTCACTTTGATTTTATGCATGAGACGAGAGGTTGGAACGGGACCCCGTACGGAATTTTACGTGATCCCGTCCCGGAATCCCGGGTTTTCAGCGGAAACGGGATTACCGGGATTTACGGGATTAATCCCGCGGGATCCCGTCCCGTACAAAATGTTGAAAAAATCCCGTTGCGGGATCCCGTGAGTATTTGAGGAAATCATTAGAGTCTGAAAAGACTAAGAATCTCTAGGTCTCCAAGACTCTAATGGAACTGTTGACTAGATTATTTTCAGGAATTTCGTGATTATTCGTTAGAATTATTAAATCATTGTCATGAACAAGACCAAAGAATGACCATGAGATTATTAGGTGCAGAATTGCCTAATTGGGGACAGCAATCTTGCCTTTCATTGGCCGTTATTGCTAACAATAAGAGATTTCTTGCCCATCCGTGTTGTCAAATTTTGCTCGCTGAATTGTGGCATGGTGGTCTTCGCCTTAGAAAGTAGGAGATATTTTATTGGGAAGAGGGTCGGTTGAGTATGGGATTCCGTCTTGAATTCTAGTTCATTTGAGTCTGGGAATCGATGTAGTGTCCTTTGAGGTTCATCTGAGTCTGGGGATCGATTCAAGTCTTGCAAGATCATTGCTAAGTCAGTATCAAGACTCTAATGACTAAAAGTCGTAATCTATCCTCAAGACTCAAATAATAAAAACGAAAAATTACATAACGCCAAAAAAAATTTATAATGGCAAAGAAATGCGTTTTTCCCAAAATTTAAGCCAATCAAACATCAAAGTAATTCTCGGCCTTTTATTGCCACCAAGCATTCTTCTTCTCGACTTCAAAACACCTTTGTATACCTCAAATACCGAAAGGAGCAACCATACAACATTTATTGGTTCATTAGAGTCTGAAAGGCCTCTTTTGGGAAATGATTGTGTTGGCGATGATAATTTGAAGGAAATGGTAGAAGACGCTTCTTTTGAGAAGGTAAAAGGGGGAATGCCATTGGAGTCTCAAATTGATAAAAAAATAATACTCTATTGTCACCCTTTTGCTTAACATACCAGTTTAACCCGCCCAATCGAGTCTGATTTTTGGGAAGTTGTTTTTCCTGGTAAAGGGCCTTTAGCTAAATCCAGGACGCCCTCTAGTTAAATTTTAGGGTTGATCCCAGACCCCGAAAGTCGGGGAATTTGATTGTTCCTCCTCCGTGGCGCTGCTCCCCCCTCCCCCTCCTCCTCCTCCGTGGCGCTGCTTCCCCGAAAAGTTATCCCCAGTGCTGCCCCCACTCCCCCCGTGTCGGGGGTCAACCTCTAGCTGAATTGTAGTTTAATTTTATGATTTGTTTTTCTATTTTTAAAGAAAAATCAAAATCCCCTTTGTTTGTGCTCTTCAAAATTTGGAATGTTTTATTCAGCACCAATAACCTCCTTTTGGGTTTGGGCAATCTCTTTTCTGTTCTTTATGTTTCTTCTTATTTATGTTCTTTTAATTGAATTTCCAGCCCGAGTTACTTATATTGAATGGCTTATTTTTGCTTATGTTCTGGCTTTGGGAATGGAACATTTTAGGAAGGTGGGAGGGAGAATTTAAGTGCTTGTGTAGTTTACGTCCCGTAAGTCACACCCTTCTTTTCTTCTCTCTTCCTTTTCTTATAGGAAGAAAGACATTTCTTATAGGAAAAGAGACATTTGGGTCAATATTTTTATTTATTTCAGCCCATTACTTCTCCTTATAAGAAAGGGAGGAAATAAGAAAAAGGCGGAGCTTATGGGACGTAAACTACACAATTCTCGAATTTTCAGAATTTTAAAAATACATAGTCAAACCTCTCATAATCAAGTTATAAGCAGGGCTGGGCGCAACTGCGTACTGCGCAACTGCGTAAAATTTAAATTGCGGCTGCGGAAAATTTTTTTAGTTGCGTCCAGCCTTGGTTATAAGCCCATACTGAACTGCCCCCTTATTAATAAAATCTTCCCCAAAAATTCATTTTTTAGCTTCTCATACTCGAAGCTTCTTCCATATTAGAGAAAATTAAAATTTTCTACAGTAAATATTGGAATATGTTAACTACAGTAGCCATTTTATCTTATTTTGTTGGTTTTGCTTTTCGTTTTGACCCTGTTAGAGTACACAGCCACAGCAGGGTGATTTTGGCTGTTAATTCGGTTCTTTGGCATATGAAAACGTTTGTTTAGATTCTTGTTAAAGAATTTCTTTTTTCAAGTTTTGATTACATGTCTGTACATCCCCGAATTGGGCCTTATATTACTATGGCTGGTAAAATGGTTCTAGCAATGTCTTATATTATTGCTTTATTAATGGTTACTCTAATGGCTTTTGGTGTAGGTAGTGTCTTGTTATTGGGAACGTTTTTAATAGAGATTGGAACGGGACCCGGACACGTTTCCCGGATCCCTTTTCCCGGATCCCTTTTCCCGGTTTTTTGAAGCAATCAGGATGAAACCGGTAACGGGAATTCACGGTTTTCTCGCTCCGGGTCCCACCCGGTCAACTTCCAAACCCCGTTTACCGGACCCGATTTTTTCAAAATTCCGATCTCCAGTTTTTAGTACAATTAGAGTCTGAGTGTATTTTGATTCTAGGTCTTTTATGCATTCGAGTTTGGATTGTTCTTATATGTTGATTGGTCATTTAAGTCTAGATCTGATAGATTAATGGGGCTTAAATGGTCATGATCCCAAATTTTAAGTATTTATTGAAACCTTCCGAAAAATTACTAATATATTTTTAAGCCCGCCAGTCAATAACTTTTCCACATGAAAAATGGTCGTGGATACTTGTTCGAAATATTTTTTATAAAGTTTGAAACAGTTTTAGAAACAAGATTAAGAGGATATATTTTTAGCCTTATTTTATGCTTTATGGAGAAGTTTATGCTGGAGAGATTGATACTTGTGGAGATGAAGGTAAAGATTTGCGGACAAAAATTTTGCGCAAAAATTTGCGGACTAAAAAATCCGCAACTTTTATGCGGACAATCCGCAAATATTTGCGGACAAAAAAAATTTTTTTGCGGACAATTATATCCACAAGTGGTAAAAAACATTTCCATTTTCTCTTCAGGTACAAATTGTGTTCCTGGTCATTGGATTCCTCCCATTTTAATGACTGTATTTCTTCTAATTGCAAATATTTTGCTTATAAATATGCTTATTGCTATATTTAAGTAATTTTAATTAATTAAAAAAATCCATTCATTAAATGCAGTAATATATTTAATGTAACAAATGCAATGTCTAGACAAGTTTGGATGTTTCAGAGATATGGACAAGTTTTGGAATATAAATCAACACCAGTTTTACCTCCTCCATTTACTCCAATAGCTCATATTTTTATGTTATTTAGAAGGTTTTGTAAGGTAATTGAAGAAAATGTAGTTGGGCCTTAGGGCTGTGCGCCAAAATTTTCGCGTGGCACGCCAAATTTTTCAAATTCTTAAAAAACGCCAAACGGCATAACGCCAAAATCAGTCAAAAATGGCCGCCAAAACGCAACGCCATGGCGCACAACCCTGATGGGCCTCATTTATTGATACACTTGTCGAGGTTAGAAAAAATTGTATCTTATGATGAGGTTACGTTAGATTGAGGGTATCGGTTCATTTTTTGGGAGAAAAAATTTTTGCGGACAGAAATTATCCGCAAAAATTAGCGTAGACATATTTTTATCCGCAAGGATTTTGCGGACTGGAATTTTTTGCGGACATCAATGGCCATCCTAACTTATAATGAGGTGTATCATTTGGGGTTATCTAAAAATGAGGTTCGCCTGCAAAAAATTTTTTTCAAGTCCAGAACGTTATGTCCATTCCACTATGATGAACAACAACACAAATCAACTAATTTGAACGGTGATTTTGTGTTTAAATATTTTTTAATGAATTTAAAAGAATTCCAACTAAGAACGGATGAACTTAGAGACTTGCAAGACTTTGAAGAAGATTGTATGGATGATTTGGCAAGAAGGAAATTTCGTTTAAAAGACAATAATTGTCCGGAAAGGTGATTTATATTTGGGAGTTATTTAGGGGGTTGCAGATGGCCTAGTGGATAAAAGCGCAGTTCGGTGCCATCAAAGGGTTGTGGGTTCGAGCCCGTTGGTGGGAAATAATTTTTCTCTTTTGCTCGTTCAATATTAGATCCAAGAAAAATTTAGTTGGGTAAAGTTGGTTTAGTGGGTAAGAGCGCAGTTTGTGTGGTTTTTTAAGGTCGTGAGTTCGAATCCTTTTGAGTTCAAATTTTTTTTCTTCTATTTTTAAATTAGAAAAAAAAAATTTTTAAGACGTCGAAATTCTGATCGTCACTGTTTTTCTGATTTTTCCTCTTGTAATCGCGAATTACTTGTACAACTTCAAAAAATGCAGGCTAAAATAGACAAACTGGAACAAAAACAAGAAAAATTATTTGAGAAATTTGTGGAGCGTCAAAATAAAAAATGCCGACAAGAACAACAACTGACTGAGAATCGTAAAAATAAAAAAGAGGGAAAATTGAATAATAAAAAAGAAATCCCCAAAGCTAAAGTACTTCCAATGACTTTAAATAATGAAGAATTAAATATTTTGGAAGAAGAACAACAAATTAGTATTCCTCAAATTTTAATTCCTGAAGAGGAGGAAGATAGAGAGGAAAGTTCAGACTCTTCTGGGCATTCTAATCAGTCTTATGAAAATGAAGAGAATTTGGTTGAAGGGATGGAAATTGAAAGAGAAAATGAAGGAAATAATGGGTAAATTTTAAATCGAATTTTTTTATGAAACTAGGGATTTATAAAAGGTTTTTGGAACCCCTTTGGCTATAGTGAAAGATATTGAGGATTGTTGACGTGACAAATTTTAATTCTTGGAGGGTAGGAGGAAGAAAGCTTTAGGTCATTCTAAACAACGATGGTCGAGTGGGTAAGGGCGCAGTTCTGTGTGGTAAGAGGTCGTGGGTTCGAACCCGCTGGGTGTCATTTATTTTTTAATTGAATGAATTCTAATTTAGAAAATAAAAAAAAGTTTGAGAAGGGAAGCTAAAATATTTTTAAGGCCTACTAGCCTTTAAAAGAAATTTTTTTATCTTTTAAATTAAAATAGGCAACAACAACCACAACAAGGGCATTTAAATATTATTGATGATAACCGACAGCGAAATTATTCTGTTTCGTTAAGCGAGGATTTGGAACAAATGTTTGGGATGTTAAGAATGTGATAAAATTTAAAAAATTATAGGGGAGATTTTTAATTAAAAATTCTTAGTCTATTATAGAGTTCGGCATTTAAAAATGCCGGATCCAGTTTCGGGAAATTTTTTATCGGGACCTTCCGTATCAAAATCCCGAAAATCCGGATTTTTATTAAACACTCTGATCGGGACTCCGAAAATCCCGACCCGGATTCGGTCCGTACCCGAACTTTAGTCTATTAATTTTTATATTTATTTTTAGCTTATTTTTTAAAATAAGTAAAATTTTTATTAAAGATACGCATTAAATTTAAAAATAAATAAAATTTAATATTGAAACGGATCTCACTTGCACAACACTCCTACATCGACCTAAGGTTTTTTTACCTAAAAAAATTCTGCATGAAAGCTGGCACACTAGCGAAGTTTAACCCTCACTTGCTTGTACGACACCCCATTTTTAATATAAAATTTTTTCCTATAAAGAGGTGTCATATAAGCGAGATCCGACTGTATAATCTTTTTATCGTATATAAAATATAAAAAATGGAATTATAAATTAAGTAAATGTATATCTTAAGTGGTTTAAAAAAAGAAAGTCTTCATGGTGGAAAAAAGAATAAATTTTAAATTGGTCGGAACTCACTATAAGATATAATTTAGGGACTAAATCGTCTCTTAAAATGAGGGCGTATCTTAAATAGAGGGAATTTTATATGGAGGGTATCCTATATAGAAGGTATATAGAAGGTATGCTTATATAGAGAGTATCTTAAATTGGGGTATCTTAAACAAAAGCTCTCTGAAATAGAGGGTATCGCTTAAACGCTTACCATCAAGGGTAGGCGTATTGCGTTCTTCGCTAAATTTTGCCTTGCGTTGCAATTTTAGAAAATTGCCTCTTACGCTCACCCGCTGCTCCCCAACCCAATAACCAAATTTAAAGTGTATTTTAAATAGAGGGGTCTCTACATACTATTAGATTTATCCTATAGTGAGGTCCGACCATATTATTATAAGATGTTTTAAAAGAAAAGGCACTTTCCACAACCTAAAAAAATTTTTAAAAATTAATCCAAAAAATTTCTTTATAAAATTCAATTTCCATTACGATTAACTGCTTCTGTATAAATAGCACTTCCATTCTCTACCATTTTAGCCTCCAAATGGACATTACCCATATTAAGTTCGTAAACACCATAAACGCCAGGCCAAGATTGGGGCAATGAATTGTAGTCGGTGACAGCATTGTGAGGACTGAATTAAAGAAATTTTTAATTTAAAAACAACTGCCAATCTTAACACAATAATCAAATCTCGTTTTTAAATAACCCCAATCAGGAGTGAGCGCATTGCGTTTTTCACGATTGCCTCTTCCGCTGACCCCTGCCCCCAATACTAGATACGAGAATCGAGATCTCCAGATTCTTGATAACCTAAATTTTGTTAGAGATTTCATCTATGTCCGGTCCCTATTAGATAAATCTTTCAATTTTTAAATTTGATTAGTTACTGGTTGGAGGAGTTGCCTAAACAATATCCTCTATTTAAGATACACCTCATTATAAGCTTTGATTTATGCCTATAAGGGGGTATTTAAAAACGAGGCCAGTCTGTATACTATAACTTTACTTGAGTAAGCGCAATTTGCATATTGCTGGAATGTCTACACGAATCTGACTTTTAAAGAAACGTATTTCATCCTTCAAAAAAATTAAATTAAGTTTAATAATCTTGCAAAACTACCAAATGCCAATTTTTAGTTTTTACTGGTTGAATAGTTTGTAGAGAAAGTTGAATACATAGAGGTGGCTTGTTGCAATGACTATAAAAAAAAGATTTTTAATGTCGATTTCTAATGTATAGGATAACTAAGAACCAGCCCCCCCCCCATAAACAAGAGAGAGAGAGAGGTTTGCTTTTATACTGTATATAAAAGCAAACCAGGTCAAAGCTGAAGGGAGGCCCGGATTTTTGAAAGGTGCTGAAGGGGGCCCGGAACCTTAAAATAGGTACCGTTGTAAAGAAGTCAAAATAGGCGATTAAAAAAGTCAAAATATGAGCAGGGGCAATTCATAGCCTTGTATACGTGGAAGAGTCAAGCTTTGAATCTTGAACTGCCCAGATTGAACTTCCCAGTCTCTAATATACCCAAGAGGTTAATCCATATCCAAAAAAACCCAAAATCCCCTCACTCTGTATGTATTCGCAAAATACAACAAAAAGGCACAATTTCAGTCCCCCCAACATCCAAATAGCGTATTCTACAAAATTCACTAGTCCATTCTGGCCCTCTCCTATTTCTCATTGCAAGTATTTGAATTCTTCTAAAATTTCTATCTCTAATTTCATCATTTGTCTCATAAATTCCAAAATATGGCCCCACAGCTAAATTTGTAAAAACTTCATTTGGATCAACTTTTCGCCTATTTATTGGGTCCCCATAAAATTTATTTAATTCTAAAGCCAATTCTGATTGTAAATTGTAGAGACGTCTTATTGGATTTTTCTCTATTAGTACTTCTTTATTTTTATTTTCTTCTGGTAATGTTTGTTTCAATGGAAAAGCATAAAATTCATAAGGGGATTTCTGAAAAAAAAATTTTTTTTGAAAAATTTTGGACAATCCAAACTTTAATGTCTATAGATGGGATATCCTAAAAGATTGTGATATCTAAGGATATGGGTATCTCACAAGTAAAAATACAGAAAAATATAGGGTAATATGAGGGCCAAGTACGAAGAGTGAGAATAAGTGTCGCCGCGAGTTCAAAAAATCTTCGAGTACGGGTTTCGGGCGGCAACCCTGGTGTGAATAAAGAAAAGGCAGACTCTATTACTTCCGCCCTGAAGAGTTCAGCCCTCTATAAAGTCAAGTCTTATTTTTAAAGAACCTCAAGATTATATACTACAATTTGAATGGCCATTACTCGAAGGAATTGTCTAAAAGAGATATCCTCTATTTAATATACACCTATTATAAGGTGCCATATTTTCAGCCCCAAAAGGCCAAACACGTAACAGGGGGTAGGGGAACCCTCGGCCACCCCCCTCCCCGAAAAAAATCCTGGTTATGGGCCTCCAAAGAGTGCGTCTAAAAATGAGACTTGACTATGATTTTAAATTTTCAAGAAATTAAATTTAAAAGTACCAAAGAATCCCATTCAATACACACAACTTGTTTTCCTTCATTTGTAGAATAATGTGTTCTTAATAAATTAAAAGTAAAATCCTCCACTAAGGGTAATTTCCCTGCAATTTTTTGCCAATGAGGAGGAAGTTGTCCTTCCCTCTCTTCTTCATTTTCGGGAATAATTTCTTCTCTTATAGTTGAAAAATCATTAGGAAATGTCCTTCGCCATTTTGGCATTTGTTGGAGTAATAAAATTGCATCACCCACCTTTGAAAAAAAATTTTTTTGAAAATTAAAGAAATTTTCGTATGCTCCCAATAATCCGCAATTTTTGTCCGCAACAAGAAAATAAAAAGAAATTTTTTTGAGATTTTTTAAAAAATTCTAACATAAGGAGAGTAAAAAATAAAATATTTATATAAAATAATTTAGCCACGGGCAGACAACGATTCTGCGACTTTTTAGTTAGTTATTACTAGGAGCTTTAGTTCACCAAATACAGGTGCTTTACTGCCGGTTACTGAGACAAAACACACTCTTTTAAAAATATATCTTAAAACCCCGCCTAATAAGCATGTATTAAAATACTGACCAGCCGCATCTCCGCCCTTTCATTAAAAAGAATTGCGGATATAACTCGCTTGTTGAGAGCATTATGTAAAAAATCAGAAACAGAAGTCTCCCGTATCAAAAAAAAATTTTCCAAAAAAAAATTTAAAATCAAAACAAACTGTTAAAGGCTTAATTCCATCCCTTTTAGATATTATTTGTTGATTTACATGAAACATATTTCTATCAAGCAATTCTAAAGGTTGAAATTCGATAGCTAAACGATGCCCTATAGATTCTGCTTGTCCTCTTTCATTGTCTCTTTCGGAATTTAATCCATATATTTCTGCCTTAAAAAATTATTTAGTTAAAAATTTTATATGCAGTTGGACCTCATTTTTGGACACCCCCTCGTGTCAGAAAAAATCGTAGCTTATAATGAAGATAATTAAATAGAGAGTATCGTTTAGAAGGCTCCCCAAACTGTGGCAAACCTAATTTGAAACTACATATCCTAAACTGGGGTATATCTAATATTGAGTGTACATTATAAGGAGGTTCGACTACATTCTATTTGTCGTCCGCAAAAATTATTATCCGCAAATTTTGTCCGCAAAAATTTTTGGCGCAAATTTTGTCGTCCGCAAAAATTTTTTGTCCGCAGAAATTTTTGTCCGCAAAATCTTTCCGCAAAAAAAATTTTATCCGCAAATTATGTCCGCAAATTTTGTCCGCAAATATTTTTTTATCCGCAAAAATTTTTGTCCGCAAAAATTTTTATCCGCAAATGCAAATCCGTTAAATATTTTCGTCCGCAAAATTAAAAAAAAATTTTTAGTTAAAAATCAAAATACCCTCGTATATTCACAGTAATCATTAGTCATTTTGCCTTGAACAGGTACAATTTTAAATTGTTCATATTCCCCCATTATTTTAATTAATTCGTCATTAATCTCTTCTGGCCAATAATTTAAACGTTCAAAAGACTCCAAATTTTTTGGTAAATCAAATTTAAATAGAGACACGGGAAATGCTTGCCAAGGATGCCATTGCAATTGTGGATCCATTTTTGCTAGGCAATCCTTTAAAAAAAGAAATTAAATAATTGATTAATCTGAAATCAGAATTCTTATTTTCCAGAACAAAGTTGAAAAATTCTGATCCTGTTTGATATACAACAAAAATTCTGAATGTTTTGAAAATCAGAATTCTCTGATTCTGAAAATTCTGTTTCAAAAACCAGAATTCTGATTTTTCAGAATGAAGCTGAAAAATTCTGACCTTGTTCTGATATATCAGAAATTCTAATTATTCTGAAATTAAATTCTGATTTTTTAGCACTAGCTAGAAAAATTCTGATTTAGTTCTGATATACATACAACAAAAATTCTTATTCAAAAATCGGAATTCTGATTTTCTATTGGTTTAGTAAAAGCAGAATTATGATGGATAAATCAGAATCCATCGAATCGAAATTATTCTGATTTTTCCAGAACGAAGTTGATAAGATTATGACCCTGTTCTGATATATCAGAAATTCTGACTTTTTTGAAATTAGAATTTTGATTTCACAGGAAGGACTAGGATATGACTTGTTCTAGCTTCCAAAAGAATAATAGGACAAAAAATTCTGTTCTAGTCTGAATCAGAATTTCTGGTTTTTAAATCAGAATTGTTCTGATTTTTCAGAAAAAAGTTATGACTCTTTTCTGATATATCAGAAATTCTGATTTGATTTTTAAATAAAATCGGAATTTCAAAAAAAGAAAATTTCAGAAAATCAGAATAAACTTTTTCAAACAAACCTCCAACATCCAAGCCCCATACCCTTCATCAATAAAATGCGCAAAAACAAAAGAAAATCTGGTTTCTTTATATTTAACAGGTTGTACATGCAAAATTCTAGCTCTAGCATAAACTCCCTCTTCTATAGGTGCCATTACATAAATATAACTTTTTACTTCATTTAAATTATTTAAAGGTTCCAAATATGCAGATTTATGTAACTGCATTTGTTCTGTTATATTATTGACCATTTTGAACCAAATACAATTTGGAGAGTCGATATGGGCGAGTAAACATATTGCCTGACTCTTTGGGATTATTCGGTGAATCTGTGGAAAAAATAAATTTTTTGAAAAATTAAAAAAAATTTTTGCGGACTAAATTTGCGGACATAAGAATGAAAATAAAATTCTGATTTTTTCAGAAAAATTCTGTTTTGGTTTGAATTACAATTTCTGGTCTGTTGAAGCAGTATATTGGCAATCCCGGAGAAGTGGGAATAAAAATTTTAAAAATAAGAAAAATGTATTTTCTAGGGTAAAAAATATGCTGATTACGAATCTTACGAATCCCAATTCTCCGGGATTGCCAGTATATTTACTTGTTCTGATTATTCAGAACACCTTCCACTCAGTACAGTTTCCAAAATTAGAAGAATCCCATTTTAAGATAATTTTTAAAATTTGTTGGTCACTTGGTGAGGTACCGCGATGCCCTTTATCCAAGATACTCCTTACTATAATGTAAGATTTCTTCATTCCCCAGGGATATCTTTAAAATTAGAATTTATTCCGAACCTTTCCATTCTCTGTATGCATTTCTTGTAATCGATTATGCACTGATTTAAGTACCGGCGAGCCCGGGCGGTTACAAAACCCCATTGTTCTGATTCTTGCTGGTTGTTCAGCCATATTGCTAAAGAATCTAAATTTTCAAAAAATTATTTGTTAAACAAAAAAATTTTTAAAAGGTATTTAATATCTGAAAAATAATATACCTATTTTTTAATTCAAAAGGAAATTTCTTTTTTTTCTAAAAACAATTTTCAAAAAAAAACAAAAAAAATAATAATCAGACCTCATTAAAAAATTGTTCACCTCTTCTCTCATCTATATCAGGAATTGGTAGGGTTACCGGAAACCCTGACCTTTTATTCTATTCGATCCAAAAAAATTTTAAACCCGCTCTGAACTCCGACCTTATTTTTTTCTTAATCCTCGGCCCGTTCCTAGTAGAGATCGAGCTGGGCCTGGACCAAGGCCTGAGTTTTTTCTGTACCCAGAGTCCAGGCCCAGGCATTTTTTGACCTTCCTGGGTTTTTCCTGGACCTAGCTTTTTCCTGGACTACAGGCCCAGGATCCAGTCCAGGTCAAGAAATCAACTCCAGAGTCCAGGAACAGGTCCAGGCTTTTCAAAAATCTCGATCTCTAATTCCTATATACCAGGGAACGAGCCGACAAGAAATAAAATTCCCGATTTCGTGAAATCGGGAATTCCCAACCAAAAAACTTCCGGAATTCCCGATTTTCGGGAATCAGGACGGCTTGTTCCCTGCTACATACACATACTTCCTCCATCCTCCCTCGAGTATCCAACCACCAAACTTTAAAAAATACACATATACCTATCTTAAATCGAGGTCATTATTAAGGTGTATCAAACAATGAAGTCTGATTAAAATAAAAACAAATAATCTTCTTCCATCTAAAATAATCTTTTATCTTCAACATAAAATTCATTACTCAAAACATTTTCTTCAACTAATTCATTTTTAATATTTTCTTCTTTTACAGCAGCTATATTTAATTCTTCCTCTTCTACCAAAATTCCTTCTTCTTTCCTTCTTTTTTGTTCCATATATTCACGTCGAGCATCGATTTCTTCAATTACGTTAATTAATCCTTCACATAATTTAAAATATTCTTTTGCTTCTTCGATTGATAAATGTTGCTGGAAATAAAAAATAAAAATCTCTAGTTGCTAAATTGGACTTTTTTCTAATTAATTATAGGGGACAAAATGAGAAACAAATTTTTTGTAAATCGAAAAAATAAAAGATAAAAAGTCGCAAAAAAAAGTAGAAAAGATTTTTGACCCAAATGAGACCGCAAAGAAATTTGTAAAGATGAACGTTTATTGTTAGTTAATTGGGAATGGTAGTAGAATAATTAAAGGTGCATAACATGTCAATCATAAGACTCGCAAAAAAGTAGGAGAACGACTAAAGTAAGGAAACCAAAATGCCTCAAGCAAGGCAGTTTTTCACAAAACCCCGCTCGGGACTGTCGGCACTCGTTTCCCGGGTGCCAACGATCGCTTTTCCCCAATTTTCAGACCACTTTGTACATCTTACAAGGAAACATTTCGAACTGTGACCAAAAAATTTTCAATAAAAATTATGCCGTCGTGTAGAGCATGGTCAATAACCTATTACTAATTTTTTGCTTTTTTGGCTCCGACCTCCAATTCGAAGAGAAAAGGAGTTATCGACCATGAAAATTCATTATCGACCATGCTCTACACGATGGAATAATTTTTATCTAAAAATTTTTGGTCACAGTTCGAAATGTTCCCTTGTTATCAAAAAATAACTTATGTATTGTTAGAGAAGCGGGGAGCCAAAAAAAATTTTATTAGATTTAAAGACGTTATTAGACTTAAAGTCCCAACTGAAAAAAATTCTTTTCTTCCAAAATTACTTTTCAAATTAAAAATAAAAAAACTCCCCCTCCTTACATTTGGCCTCACTTCACGTAACTGTTCAATCATAAAAACACCAAATTTATCCATATAAGCACAACGAGAATTCATAAAATTTTCTGTCAATCTTTTGAGTAAAGGCCAACAAAATTCATCGGGTTTCCTCTAAAAAATTAAAAAAAATTTTTTCTTTAAAATTAAAAAAATAACTTTATTAATTTGATTATTTATAGCTCCAAAAATAATTGCTGTAAGTGGTATAATGTTTGGGACAAATTTTTTGTAGACCAAAAAGAAATTGTTTAAAGAAAGGCAACACAATTTTGCGATCAAATAATTTTCAAAAAATCTGAAAAAAATTTTTTAAAATTAAACTAGAATTTTTTGAACCTTAAGAAATTACAACAAAATTCCAGACAAAGTGTCATTACGTGTCAAAAAAAATTTTTTTTGGGTAAATTTTAAAAAGAAATACAGGACCAGGAAATGAGAATGAAAGAAAATTCTATAAAAATCAGGGAAACCAAATTTTTAAATTTCCTCTTTTTCAACGTTTGGCTGTTCCAACCAAGCCTAAGAATGTTGTGATTGAGGAAGAATGTCATGTTTGGGATAACTAACTTTTGGACAAAGTGTCATTACGTCAAAAAAATTTGGATAAATTTAGTAGTTTTTTAATTTTCAAAAAATAAAAAGTATAAGACCAGGAAATTGAGGTAAAAGAAAACCCTATAAAAATCAGGGAAACCAAATTTTTAAATTTCCTCTTTTTCAACGTTTGGCTGTTCCAACCAAAGCCTAAGCAAAATTATAAAAAATTAGTGCCATTCTTGGGGAAGAATTAATGTTTGGGAATAAAAATTGGAAAATGTTCACAAAATTAAAAAAAAATTTTTTAGTTAAGGTATTTTCTATCCCCCCCCCCTTTTTGGAATATTTTTCCCCAAATTTAAAAAAAAATTAAAAAAAAATTTCAAAAAATTTCAAAAAAATAACCTAATTTCATCCCTAGCATTAACAATTTTAACTCGATTATTTCTATTATTATAAATTTCCAAAGTTCTATCCAACAAACTTTCACTTTGTCCAGTTGAGGCAATTGACATTGAATTGAGAAAAAATGTTTGATCATCAAAATTTGTGTTTTTAATTTCTTTTCCGTTAAATAATTTTTCTTCCAAATTTGTTAAAATTTCGTTTAACAAAGCTATTCGATAATTCTAAAAGTGAAAAAAAATTTTTTTTATTTTGTATAACATCAATCTAACAATAAGTCTTCGTAGTAACTTTTGTCAACTTTTAAAGAAAAACTTGCAGAGAATTTTCTTTAAAAAGTTAATGAAGATAATGAAAGGGACATGATTTCAAGATTTGGTGATGATATCATGACTTGATATCAAGTTGAGGGCAATCCCGGAGAATTGGGGTCCCTGCGAAAAAAGTTTAAAAACAGGAGAAATGCTCGGATTTTGAAAAAGTCGAATCCCAAACCCGAATTCGGAATTTGACCCCGGACCCAAATTCTCCGGGATTGCACAAGTCAAGTTAGTCTTTATGTCAAAAAAATTTTTTTCAAGAATCTTTTGTGAACAAGTAGCTTACCTATTATAAATATGCAGAGGTGTCGGTTCATAACCAAAACTAAGAACCGAGGATTTTTCGGTTTAGATCCCTAATAAAATTGTCAAGCAACCTCCTACCACTAAATTAAATTTAAAAAAAACCTTACAATATCATCAGGAGAAAGTTCCAAAATTTTTGCATAAATAAATAAACTAGGTTCTATATTTAAAGCTTTCATTTCATTAATAAACATTTTTGCAGATTTCCATAAATTTAATGCTTCATCTTTTGAAGGATCTTTTTTAGTATCAATAAAGTAAGTATCTGATGAAGCCATATTTGTTAAATCTTTTTCTAAATTTGTATTCTAAAAATTATAAATTATTAGAAAAATTAAAAACAATTTTTTGTAAAAATTAAAAAATCCGCAAGTTTTGTCCGCAAAATTAAAAATTTTGAAAATTTGGACTAATCTTATCAGCAAGAGTAGAATTGCTAGCTCGCTCGACCTCAAACTCGAAAGATCGAGCGAGCCTAGGCTTTTCAGCTCGAAAACGAACCGAAAAGAACCAAGCTCGAAAAAATGCACCGAACGTCGGCTCGAACCGAAAACGGCAACCCAAGTCAATAGAAGAGTGCGAGTCTTTCTGTTTGTTGGAAAAAATATTAAATTTTAACACAAAAAAATTTTTAAAAATAGAAAAAAACCTTTGCCAAATTTTGAAAAATATAATTAAAAGTTGTAACAGATGGACGAACATTAAATTTTGACATTTCTTGTAACCAAAATTTTAAATCAAATTTTGTATTTTCATCCAATGTTATTTCATTTTTAATCATTAAATTAAAAACATCTTCAAAAGGGGTGAAACCAACAGAAATCATTTCCTAAAATTTAGAGAAATTTTTTTGGAATTTTAAAGATTTATAAAAAATTAAAAATTCATTTGAAATTTGTCCCAAAATACGGATTGGGTTTTAGACCAAAATTTAAACCAAAAATTTTCGAAATTAACCCCAAAAATAATAGCTCACTGGTATAGATTAAAGAGTGAGAAGTTTACAAAAAAATGCCAAAACCAAGCCCGTAGCCAGTGGGGGCAGGGGAATATGGGAAGGGTTTTAGCACAAAAAAATGAATTTTTTGGCCTACGAACCTTCTAAAATTCTCAAGATTTTCAAAAATCCGGCGCAAAAAAATTTTTCCCCTTGGCCCCCCTCCCCTCCCCGAAAAAATCGGGGCCTAGCCAAAACAAAAAAATTAGAAAAATAAAAAGTTTAGGACAAAATATCTCTACTTATATTCGAGTTTTGAATTTTTTTAATAAATTTATTTTAATTAAAATTTCCCAAAATTCCAAAAAAAATTACAAAAAATTTCAAATATTTTTAAATAAATTAAAAAAAAACCTTATAAAGAATTTTAGCTTGCGTAAGAGAATAAATAGTCGGAAATTTGCATAGACCACAAATTAAATAGGAATAAGTTTCTTCCGTTTTTGGTAATTTATTGAAGAGTTGTTCAGCCAAACAAGGAATGTCCTCCTTTAAATATTTTATTTTTTAATTTAAAAATTTCCAGAAAAACCTTTAACCCTTTCCATTCATTATTTCTTACTTCCTCTTCTGCAAAATAAATTCTTGTAGCAGCCCATTCAATTTCATCAAGAGGCATATTTTCTTCATTATAATAGCAAAGTAGTTTAAATAATTCCATCTAAAAATTTAAAAAGTTAAGGGCGAGCCCACAAGGACGGTGCTATAAAATTTTTTTAGGAACGACAAGGATAAAAATTTTTTCAATTCAGCATGTTTATAAGAAATAACATGTTGAAAAAAGAAATCAAAAAAAGTAGGTAAAAGAATTCGGACCCGTTTTCAAAGATAATTCCTCCCTCCACCCTACCCAGAAAATTCTTCTGGTCATATGCCTGTCTAGACTTGATAATGGACATGGATTTTAGCACCCGTATCCGGATATTTACGGCGGATACAAACGGATATCCACAGGCATTTTAAATTTATCTGTATCCGTATCCATTACCCAGCCTGTGCCCGTCTAACAAGAGCATCTAAAAAATTCTGCATATGAGCTATATTAAGTTGCGGACTTAACTTGCGGACAGTTTATTAAATTTTTCTTAAAGTATCCATTACCCAGCCCGTGCCTGTCTAACAAGAAAACATAAAAAACAAACCTTTGTACTACTTTCCATATTTTTTGCATTTTCCCCCATTCGTTCATACAATTTTACGGCATCCACAACTTGTCTTGTAGTAATCATATGTAATAAATTTTGTTCAGTTGGTTCAACAAGCTCAGGATTTAAAGGTTTTTGAGGGCGAAATACAGCTAATCTAGGTTGGTCTCTGTCTAACATAAAAAGTGTTGGCCATTCCTCGACCAAACGAAGAGCTGTACGACGACCAAATTCCTAAAATTATATTGAAGAACTACTGCAAGTCTCGTAAAAATTGATGATTGAGTTAGGACTGAAGAGTTGGGAGGAGAAAACCGAAGATGTTTAAAAATGATTTGCGGACAAATCAGTTAAAGCAATGATTTAATGGGAGAAAATTAAAAATGGGAAAAATGGGAGAGGAAAGACGTAAAATGTTATTGAAAATTTAGTAAGACTTTAACGTAGAACTATCGAAAATAAGAGTAAACCTAAAACGCTAACAGGCCCGTAGCCAGTGGGGGTAGGCAGGGATGGGCCCCCCCCTCGAAATGGGAAAAGGAAAAAATTTTTAGGGAACATAAAAATAAAAACCTTAGCAAGTAAATAATTCTTCCTTTGTAAAGTGGTTGTTGGTATAGTCGCCGTATCATCTATATAAGCAAAATGAGGGGCAGTTTCATCCGTTTTGACTGTATCAGCCATTGCTTGAAGAATATCGGTTGAAGAACGCTTAAAATATTTTTTTAATTTAAAAATTAAATTTTAAAGAAACCTTTATTGGAGCAGGTATTTTAAAAGGTAGATCTCCTGTGTGAAAATTGCGGTGAAAAATTGGTAGAGCATAAAACCGACATAATGGTGAACGGTAAAAAATAAATAAAGGTGTTGCCATTAAATTAAAAAAAATTTTGAAAACTAAAAAATAAAAAAAATATCTAAAAAGAGGGACAAAATGTCACCAGTTGAAATCAACAAATTTTAATGACCACAAAATTCGGATTTAGGATCGTTTAAGGTTTTCTGGTGTGAAACGAGTGAAAAATGGGTGAAAAATCTCGTTGATTGAGAGTTGAAAAATTTTCTGAATTTGGACGTAAACTTAATGGGCATGAAGCTGGACATTTTTCGTCTAACAGGATTATGTCTCTCTTCAGGACGCCTGTCTTGATGACCACTCTTTCGTTGGCTCCGGTACAAAATATGGAATCGTTAAAATATGGAATGGTTAAAATCGCGAATAGGCTAAAAAGGGGTTAAAATACCGAATCGTTAAAATATGGAATCGTTAAAATATCGAATCGGGTAAAAAAGGGTTAAAATATGGAATCGTTAAAATATGGAATGGTAAAAATGTCGACACGGCCAAAATGGGTCAAAATGTCGAATTCTTTTAAAAACGGGTCAGATTTGTGCCATACGTTGATTGTTGATAATTTTATCAACATCAGTTTATTGATGATAAGTTGATTGATAAGTTTGGTAAGTCGTAGTCCGTCGTAATCTTTTCTGTCTGAGTTCACTGTACTTTACCGAGTAAAACCGGACCGGATAAATCAAGCATAATCGACCGGATCCGGTCCGGCATGATCGTACGGATCCGGAAAACATAACGCGATCCTGATATGGAAAAATTAGAGTGGTATGCATTAGTTTTTAGTTAAGACCTAAAGTTTGACCTTACCGTATACGGTATGGAATACCGAAAAATAACGGTCAGCTTTTAAATTTTATCGGTCGGCATTCCGTACCGTACAACCGACACGGAATACCGAAAAATACCGTCGGTATTACGGTAACGCCCGGATTCAAGGTTTTGGCGCATCTTTAAAAAAATTCGACATTTTGACCTATTTTGGCCGTGTCGACATTTTATCAATTCGATATTTTAACGATTCCATATTTTAACCCTTTTTTAGCCGATTCGATATTTTTACCATTCCATATTTTAACGATTCCACATTTTAACCCCTTTTTAGCCTATTCGCGATTTTAACCCATTTTTACCCGATTCGAGATTTTAACCCTTTTTTAGCCTATTCCATATTTTAACGATTCGATATTTTGTCCGGACACGCTTTCGTTTGTAAAAGACGCAGAAAAACTGACCAGTGGTCGGCAGAGAAGCGTCTCGTTGTCTGCTCTTTTCTCCGCGTCCGGACAAAATATCGAATCGTTAAAATATGGAATAGGCTAAAAAAGGGTTAAAATCTCGAATCGGGTAAAAATGGGTTAAAATCGCGAATAGGCTAAAAAGGGGTCAAAATATGGAATCGTTAAAATATGGAATGGTTAAAATGTCGAATAGGCTAAAAAGGGGTTAAAATACCGAATCGTTAAAATATCGAATTGATAAAATGTCGACACGGCCAAAATATGTCAAAATATCGAATTTTTTTAAAATTCAAATCCGGGCGTTACCGTAATACCGACGGTATTTTTCGGTATTCCGAGTCGGTAGTACAGTACGGAATGCCGACCGATAAAATTTAAAGGCTGATCGGTATTTTTCGGTATTCCGTACCGTATACGGTAGGGTACAAAATTTAGGTCTTACCTAAAAACTAGTGCACGCCACTCTAATTTTTTCGTATCAGGATCGCGTTATGTTTTCCGGATCCGTACGATCATGCCGGACCGGATCCGGTCGATTATGCTTGATTTATCCGGTCCGGTTTTACTCGGTAAAATACACTGAACTCGGGCAGAAAAGATTACGCCGGACTATGACATACGAGACTTATCAATCAAATTATCAAAAATAAGTTGATAAAATTATCAACAATCAACGTATGGCACTCATCGGCTACCCTACAACTCATCCAATCCTTAACTCATCTAACACTTAACTCATCCACACGGCCAAAAAGGCTCATCTCATCCAATCCTCAACTCATCTAATGCTTAACTCATCCACACGCCCAAAAACGCTCAACTGATCCAATCCTCAACTCATCTAATGCTTAACTCATCCACACGCCCAAAAACGCTCAACTCATCCAATCCTTGAAATATCGGCCGGTTGAGTCCCTAGCCGGTTGAGTCCCTGGTCAGTTGAGTCTCAACCGGCCCAAGACTCAACCGGCGATAATCAACCACTCAAACGGCCAGGGACTCAACTTGTCATGGACTCAGACGGCCAGAGACTCAAACGGCCAGGGACTCAACTGGTCATGAACTCAGACGGCCAGAGACTCAAACGGCCAGGGACTCAAACGACTGGTACTCAATAGTCTCGTTCCAAAGGATTGGATGAGTTGAGCGTTTTTGGCCGTGTAGATGAGTTAAGCGTGTCCGGTTAACTCATCTACTCATTAACTCATCTACACGGCCAAAAACGTTCAACTCATCTAAACGGCTAAAATTCCTTAACTCATCTACACGGCCAAAAAGGGATCAACTCATCTAATCGTTAACTCATCTATTCGTTAACTCATCTACACGGCCAAAAAGGGTCAACTCATCTAATCGTTAACTCATCTATTCGTTAACTCATCTACACGGCCAAAAAGGGTCAACTCATCCAATCCTTCGGAACGAGACTATTGAGTACCGGCCGTTTGAGTCTTTGGCCGTCTGAGTCTCTGGCCATCTGAGTCTGGCCGTTTGAGTCTCCGGCCGTTTGAGTCTCTGGTAAGTAGAGTCCATGGCTAGTTGAGTCCATGACCAGTTGAGTCCATGACCAGTTGAGTCCATGACCAGTTGAGTCCATGGCCAGTTGAGTCCATGGCTAGTTGAGTCCGTGGCTAGTTGAGTCCATGGCTAGTTGAGTCCATGACCAGTTGAGTCCATGGCTAGTTGAGTCCATGGCTAGTTGAGTCCATGACCAGTTGAGTCCATGACCAGTTGAGTCCATGACCAGTTGAGTCCATGACCAGTTGAGTCCATGACCAGTTGAGTCCATGACCAGTTGAGTCCATGACCAGTTGAGTCCATGACCAGTTGAGTCCATGGCCAGTTGAGTCCATGGCTAGTTGAGTCCGTGGCTAGTTGAGTCCATGGCTAGTTGAGTCCATGACCAGTTGAGTCCATGGCTAGTTGAGTCTCAACCGGCGGTACTCTACTGGCCATGGACTCAACCGGCCGGTACTCAATAGTCTCGTTCCGAAGGATTGGATGAGTTGACCCTTTTTGGCCGTGTAGATGAGTTAACGAATAGATGAGTTAACGATTAGATGAGTTGATCCCTTTTTGGCCGTGTAGATGAGTTAACGAATAGATGAGTTAACGATTAGATGAGTTGATCCCTTTTTGGCCGTGTAGATGAGTTAACGAATAGATGAGTTAACGATTAGATGAGTTGATCCCTTTTTGGCCGTGTAGATGAGTTAACGAATAGATGAGTTAACGATTAGATGAGTTGTATAGGAGCCGAGTTAAGCATTAGATGAGTTGAGGATTGGATGAGTTGAGCGTTTTTGGGCGTGTGGATGAGTTAAGCATTAGATGAGTTGAGCGGGCACGGCACTCATCTGACCCTTTTTTAAAAAAATTCGACATTTTGACCTATTTTGGCCGTGTCGACATTTTTACCATTCCATATTTTAACGATTCCATATTTTAACCCTTTTTTACCCGATTCGATATTTTAACCATTCCATATTTTAACGATTCGGTATTTTAACCTCTTTTTAGCCTATTCGCGATTTTAACCATTCCATATTTTAACGATTCCATATTTTGTACCGGAGCCCTTTTCTCATACAAACGAAAGAGTGGTCATCAACACAGGCGTCCTGAAGAAAGACATATAATCCTGTTAGACGAAAAATGACAAACCTCTAGTTATAATTAGAGTTCGAACCCGGGCCGGGCCCGGACCGGTTTTTTCCGGGCCCGGTGGCCCGGAACCGGGTATTTTTGAGAAAATCCGGTTTTTCCGGGCTAACCGGTTTTTCCGGTTTTATCCGGAAAAACCGGCCCGGGTGCGATTTTGAGTAAAAAAACCGGGTCCCGGGCCCGGTAATTTTTTGCCGGGCCCGGAGAGTCACCTCCGGCGGTGAAAAAGGAAGAAATCTGGCCTCTTGGCCTTTCGAAATTCTCAAAATTTTCGCCTGCGGCGCTGAAAAAAGAAGAAATTTTGCTCCTTGGCCTTCCAAAATTCTCAAAATTTTCGCCTGCGGCGCTAGAAAAAGAAGAAATCTAGCTCCTTGTCCACACAAATTCTGAAAATTTTCGGCTCCACGGTAAAAAACTATGAATCCCTTCGTATTCATAATCTTCTATATCCCTCCAAATCACTGATATCACATGGAGGCTTCCCAAATACTTCAAATCCACTTATTTTCCCAGACTACAAATTATTTCAAAAATTGCGGACTGCGGAAATTTTTTTTCATTTGCGGATACCCAGCTATATATCCTTTATCGCATCTATCCTTTGATTCATCTATTCTTTAATCAATCCTTTGTATGTTTTGCGATCCTTTGTATGTGTGATAATTTTTTATGTTTTTAATAAATTTAGAAAAAAACCGGGTCCGGGCCCGGGTCTGAAAAAATCCGGTTTTTCCGGGCTAACCGGTTTTTCCGGTTTTATCCGGAAAAACCGGTCCGGGTGCGATTTTGAGAGAAAAAAACCGGGTCCCGGGCCCGGCATTTTGAAAAGTTCGAACTCTAGTTATAATGTAGACAAACTGAAGCTAACAAACATTACAACGTTAACCTATAAATTTATAACAGTTATTAGTTTAGTGGTGGGGCATTTAATTTAACGAGTCATTTTTGGAATGGGACATTTTCGGGGTTTTTATTCGTTCTCAGGTGAAGCCAAATTACATATACTGGTTATGAAGTTTTGTAAAAATTATTAATCTTTTAAAGACTTTATACTTTTTTATTTTAGATAATTTATAAAAATGATTTCTGATGTATCAACGGTTTCTAAATTAATTTTGATATTAAATAAATAATTATTTTTAGTTGGAATCAATTACTTGTAAGATCGAATGGAAATTATATAATTTAAATAAACACGGACATTTAATGCAAAATGATCAATTTTTAACAAGTTTGTTTTAATTTAATTAATTTGTCCACAAGGTCGACTCACAGTGATCAAACCACCATAAAGGTTAACTCCCAAAATGTCAAATTACCCAGGGGATCAACTCCAAATATTACGGCGGGTAAAGAAATATTTGTTAGGATTAGGAGAGTTTTGTGGGTATTGGGGGGGGATATCGATGAATTTGGGCGGATCAAGACGGATTTTCTGAGATTATGTGGGATTAAGTAACATAAGATGGAAATTCTCTTGTTTGGATAAGGTAAAATGAAGCAGGTAGCCCGATAAAATTGAACTTCGCAGAACACGTATGATTACTATAGTAATACTTGCTTGCACCACATTTTTAATCCGGCCATTTTTAATATTTAGACGGAGGGGTGGGGGGATGAAGTTCAATTTTTCTCGAGCTTCTTTTATCTGCCCGAATATTCGGCGTTGACCTTCTAACTATAAGTAATTTAATTTTTGGGAGCTGATCTTTCCAATTATTTGATTACTGGGAGCGTTATTTTGGTATAGACCTGAATGTTGACCTCCTGGGTAGATCCCATTATAAATCAAAATTTTAGGCAAGGAATTTTACAATTCAAAATGTCCTTCTGTCAAATGGCAATTGCGTGTTTACCCAAATATTTGGCAGCTTAATTCTGGTATTTTTCTAATAGTTTTTTGTATTACTATAAAGTTTCAGCCGGCATTTATGTTTCTCTTGTTCAAGTAGGATTAAAAGACTCAAAACCTTTAAAAGCTCAATTTAATATTTATACGGATGATGGAAATAAAATTTATTTTTGTCCGTATGTCGTAAAGTATTTTTTATTTAAAAAATTTTTTATTTTATATAAGCACAACATTCGTTTTTAAACACGGAACAGAATCAGATAAATATCAAGTTTTCAAATCACAAACGACTGACAAGTCTAGCGACAATTTAGAGAATGGAGGAGATTACGTTTTGGTGAATGGTTCATCAGATACCTTAAATTTAGGTTATTTTTAATTTTTGTGGGTGTTGAACTTTCCCTCTTTTCCTTATACTCTACCACACTCTAGGACTGAAACTGACCATAACTCGACCCAAAGTCATTTTCACTTTGCAATAGGAAGTTGGGGGCAGAGAGAGGGTCCTCTATCGAATGGTACCAAAAAATATATCAAATTCGCAGTTAACAATGGCCCTTATAAGTGGGACGGATGGCCGGATTCAAATTTTTAAGTCTAAAATTTTATTTTTAGATGCTATGTTCCTTTATTGTGAAGTTGAATTTGTTCCGTATAATATAAAATGCGAAAATGAGGTTGTGGATTTTTCTTCTGAAAGTTCTTCACAACGATCTTTAAATATGTTTAAAGAGGGAATACTTACTGATTGTGTTGTTGAGGTAGGTTTTATCTTTTAAATTTGTTTGTATAATGTACAGTGATGTAAAGGGTTACCCGAAATAGTACTTTCTTTATCCCGAACCGGACTAATGCTAAACCCGACCCTACTTTTTTCTAGACTTGCGACACAATTGTTAAGTGAAATAGTAGCCAAAAGGGTGGTTGGTTTTTGGCATTATTATCCCGTTCAAAAATAGTGGTTATATGCACTTCCGTCGATTTGACCACCCTTAACCAGGTCTCCATTCCATCCGTTACTTAAGCCAATTTTTAACAATGCGAACACGAAGTTCTTGACAAAACCTCAATTGACTACTACATGACAAAACCCCAATTATCAAGGGTGGACATGGACCTTTCGCGCTCGAAAAAGTTAAGGATTGAGGTTTGTCAGGTCCTCATCCCTACTAAAATCGTTAAAAAAATCCTTAAATTATTTAAATAAAAATTTTAGATTGAAAACGAATTAATAAACACGCATAAATTTATTTTGGCAAAAAACAGTGTTGTATTTCAAAAAATGTTTGAACAAATGGGGATGTCTGAAGCTCAGGATGTAATTTTATTTAAAGTTTTAAATAATGGGAACCAACCGATTTCTCTCATCGAGCCGAATTCAAACATCGCATTTTTATATAAGTATTTGAGTCCCCTCTGTAATAGAGCCCCCTTGGAGGATGGTTGAAAAATAGAGCCTAAGGGGCTTTGTTACAAAAAATATGGTATATAAGCATTTTCTAGCCACAGACTCAGGCTTTTGAAAGTTAAAGAGAAGGGCTTTAATTCAGAAAATAAAAAAACAATAGGGGTTCGGAGTCTGATTGTTGTGTAGTGGTGACACTACTATAAAAGCCAATGTAAGCGTCAGTCTAATTGGATCATACTAGCCCGGCTAATCCCTGATCTTCGTCTGTTCCAACTCTATCCCTTCGCCTACACATAGCTCTTTGGATAAACTGTTAATCTTTTGCACGTCTTTTTCTACAACCCTCGGACATAACACGGATAGCTTTTATATTTTTAATTTTCTCACTTTTAAGCAAATAGTAAATTTAAAGGGTAAAATAAAAATTGTTGATGCTTCTCCAAAATGTTTTAAAACAATGCTGGAATATTTTTATAGTGGAGAAATTGATGAAAGTATTTTTAAAAAATTAATTTTAATGACTAAAAAATTTCTTTATTTAAAGAAACACTCGAAACTCATTCAAAAGATTTATTTGCCATTGCACATAAATACCAAGTAAAACAATTAATGGATATTTGTGAAGATTATATGATCTCAACTATTGGTAAAAATAATTTTCAACCTTGTGTTTCATATAATTTAATTTTAGCTGCTGAAAACTTTAGCAAGGATTGCCTTTTTGCTGAGTTATATCATCTTTCAAAACTCAAAAAGGTAGATTATTTTATTTTGTGGCAATTGCGGACAGAGTTTTCGGGTTACTTCGTAGAGTACAATTGCTTATCTTGAGTACAATTGCTTATGGAACGTTTAAAAAATTTAAAATTTGCGGACAGAGTTTTCGGATTACAGTCAATTGCTTATCCTATCCGTATGGAACGTTTAAAAAAGACTTAAAAATCATGAAAATTTTGGTGGATATAAACATATAAATATTTTAACTAATTTCACCAGGCCTGCGTTACTTTCTTTTCTGCTAATAAACAAAGCGTCCTTGTCAGTAAAGAATGGAAAGAATTTAAATCTCTTAATAATGATCTTGCTTTTCGTCTACTTGAGTTATCAGCTTTAAAGGAAGAAAAGCAAATTGAAGGGAAGCAAGTTTGTCCGAAATGTGAACATCGTAGGAATTCATCACGTTATTCACCTTATTAACAAGCTTATTCACCTCATATATCTTATAATTAGTGTTCGGCACGGTTCGGTGTACTAACGGTAGTACCAGGATTAGTACTTTTCGATAGACCTGTGCATGGACACGGATATGGATATAGATAATATCAAGAACCCTGCGGATATCCGTCTGTATCCGCCGTAAATATCCGGATACGGATACCAAAATTCGTGTCCATGCACAGGTCTGCTTTTCGATACTATAAATACCGGTATCGAAGCCGGTATCTATATTACCATTTGCCTAACACTTTATAATGCATATTCACCTTTATTTCTTATAAATAAATATGCAACTAGATGGTACTCCTTGCTGAAGGCTCTTATTTATTTTCAGTTTTAACCTCAAATAATTTTTCCATAAATATTTTTTCTTGGTGAATAATGAAAGAATTAGTCAAAAATGAAAGAAATTATTCAAAACATTTGTAGCTTGACATTTTTCGATAGATTTTAGACTACGTTTAAATAATATGTCTTGGCACAATGTAAAAATCTGACAGTATTAGTAATTGCTATTAAGTTATCTTGTTTATGTCTATCCAAACTTTTCATGGTCTTGCTAAGGTGGCGCGATCTAGATACCGATAACCGAAATTTTTGATCGAGATATCGTCTCGGTCCGATCTCTAGTATAAACTAGAGCTCGGGTTGTAACGTACTACCGACATTATTTTTGTATTTATCGCTATTCAGTATCGTGGTACTGTACGGAATACCGTACGGCACGAAACCTATCACTATTACATATAAACATTTAAAATATTTCAACCAATTTCAACAGGCCTGTGTCAATTTCCTTTCTGCTAATAAACAAATCTTCCTCGTCAGTAAGGAATGGAAAGAATTTAAATCTCTTAATAAAGATTTTGCTTTTCGTTTACTCGAATCATCAGCTTTAAAAGAAGAAAAGCAAACTGAAAAGAAACGAGTTGTTAGTTGCCCGAATTGTGAAAAACGTGGGAGTGTTTCACTTTATGGAATTTTGTACACATAAATATACATTTCGTACTTCATTTCTGTTGTTTATGAGCGGTAGCCCTTAAACAGTTTAGTATAAAAGCCAGCCAATAGTTCTCCCTCCTTCTACTAATTTTCTACCTACCACAACCTTCATTGTATTTTCTTCGTGTGATAAAGTATCTGTTATCTTCCTTTACCTAAGCGGGCTGTACTCCTTCAGTTCTATTGTCTAAAAGTGCTTATTTTTCAAATTTTGGCTTTAAATAGTCTTCCTATAATAATTTTTCTGGTAAATAATGACTAAATGAAATAGTCGTAGTAGCTTAATAAAATAGTGATATGTTCTATCTTTTTATGTTATGTCCATCAAAACTTTTCATGGATCAATTCTTTTGATTATAGTAAAATAACCTATTACCACCACTGTATTAACGGAAAATTTTTGAAATTAACTTCGCAAGATGTGTTGTGCAGCGACTTGCGGTTAGTCCTATACCAACGGAATAGACTTGACTAACAACATTATCCATTTCAAATGCTTGTTGTTTAAAAATCCATCATAATTTTCATGATTTTTTAAACGAATTTAAAAAATTTTTTTAAAGGAATTAAAGTTATACGATGAAATTTATTAAATTACTATTTCCATCTTTTTGTGACTATATCTAATATTTTTCTCAGGCATGTGTTAATTTCCTGTCTGCTAATAAAGTTTTTCTTATCAGCAAAGAATGGAACGAATTTAAAACCTTTAATAAAGATTTGGCTTTTCGTTTAATGGAAGAAAATTTTCTTGATAGAAAAGGTAAAATATCTATTACGAATTTCAATTAAATAGTCCAGGATTCATTCAATATTTGTTAAAACTTTTTAATTGTTTTGCCTTTGGTACAATGTCACGACTTTTAATGGGTGTCCAACTGACTAAAACTTGACTAGTATATGCAATTGCATATTTTGTATGTTGATATGCCTTGAAGTAAAAAGCCCAAATATGAGGGTTTTCTGTGCATTTTAGGACCCCTGTCTTACTGCATATACCTATTTGCATATTTCGGCCCTCTCATGTAAATTTGCATATCGTGGCATATTTTGTATATTAAATGTTTTGTCTTTGATCAGTCACGACTTTTCATGTGTGATCAATGTACTAAAACTTGACTAGTGATTCCTGAATAAATTTACCCGAACTAGTCATAAAAAATTTTTGGTCTTGGACAACCTTGAAAACGCTTGTGAATAAAATAGTTAAGAATTCCCATTTCATATTGTGGACTCGTAATAATTTGGGAGTGCATTTCTTTTAATTTTTACATTAGAACATTTTCCGGGAAAAATTATTTGAAGCAAATAAATTTCAGATTCCTCAAACAAAAAGGAAGAACATTTTGGAAGTACTGTAATTAATGAAATGCAGGTAAAAATAAAATTTGGATTTTTAGATTTTTTGAAAGGCAACTCACACAAGTCTTCGGTTATCCGGAACCAATCACCGAACCGAAAATTTTCAGTTATTCGGTCTTTTTCGGTTTAAGAACGGGAACCGCCAATACTAATTATAAGTAATCGTTAAAGTTTCCACATTAGGGCGGTTCGGAAAATCTACAAAAATTCTTGTAAGCTTATCTAGTCATGTCAATTGAAAATACAAAAGAAACTAAGTCTTAATATACCCTCCTCCTACTGCCCAGATTTCTTATACCTAATTGTTTTTTCCTTGGATATGAATAAGAAAGAGAAAGTCATAAAAATATTTAAAATTATGATGATATTTTAAACTTAGTCTTTTTTTAAAATAACTTGGGTTGTTTTTCTGACAGAGTGGATTGGGTATTTTACGAAAAAATTTTAAATGCCCAAGAATTCTAATGTTTTATTAATATTTTAAAGTTAACAGCATTGAAACGAGGATTTGAAGTCTGCCATTATCCCGACGTTGGTCTGCAAGACCTACTTGCTAAGAAAATTGGACTCCCAAGAGACGTAATTGGGGAATGGTTTAAAAATGAAAGACAGAAAGCAAGAGAAAGTTCAAGAATTAGTAATAATGCAAAATAAATAAAATGCAAATAAATTTCAGATTCTTCAGACAAAAAGGAAGAACATTTTGGAAGTACTGTAATTAATGAAATACAGGTAAAAATAAAATTTGGATTTCTAGTTTTTAAGGCATTTTAAGCATGTTAGGTTATTCTCCTTATAAAATGGATCGGAGAAAAACGAACAATTATAAAAACCTGAAATTGTATAGTAATTACGAGGATCGGAAAGATACATTGTCAGAAAATTATAAGCACCCCCTACTTTTTTTAAATAAAAACATTTAAATTTAAAATATAGTCTAAAATATTTTTACGATTCTAATTCATATTCAAATAAAAACAATGAAACCGGAACTGCCCACTTCCTTAATTATAAGTACACTTTAAAGTTTCGATATTAGGGGCGGTTCGAAAAATCTACAAAAATTCTTGTAAGCTTATCTAGTGATTTAAGTTGAAAGTACAAAAGAAACGAAGTTGCCTATATTTATCTAAACCTATGACTAAGAAAGTCGTAAAAATATTTAAATTCATGATGATTAGGGCTATCCAAAATATACACGGAAAATCGCCAAATAAGCGCATATATATATGCAGCGAAAAAGCCAAAAATATGCACTGAAATATGCAAAATTTTGCCAAAATATGCACTAAATATGCTGCAAAAAATAGTGAAAATGTGCTTTGAAAATCAATATTTTAAGTAAAAAACATTAATTTAGCCTTTAATTTTACATTTTAAGAGCACTTCGACAAGATTTTATGTACTTAGAATTTATGCAAAAAAAAATTTTGAAAAAAATTCTTCCCAAAAAAATTTATCGAAAAAATTTTTGACCAAAAAAACTTCAAAATTTTGGTAATTTTTGGCAAAATTTTACAAAAAAATAACGAAATATGGACCAAAATATGCAAAATTTGCCAAAATATGCACAAATATGCGAATATGCACGAGAGGGCGAAATATGCAAGAATATGCATTAAGAACCGGGTCCTAAAGTGCTCGGACACCTGTAAAAACACTATTTTTGAGCTTCCCACATCAAGGCATATCTGCATCCAAAACATACATTTGCATGTTTTGGTTAGCCCTAATGATGATATTTTAAGCGTAAACATAATCCTCTGACAGAGTGTATTGGGTATCTTCACGAAAAATCTTTAAGTGGCCAAGAATTTTAATGTTTTAATTAATATTTTTAAAGTTAACAGCACTGAAACGAAAATTTCAAGCCAACTGTTATCCCGACGTTCGTACAAAAACTGAACTTGCTGATTATCTTGGACTCCCAAGAGACGTAATTGGGGAATGGTTTAAAAATGAAAGACAGAAGGCAAGAGAAGAAAGTTCAAGAATTAAAAATTAACAAAAATTTTTCAGTCGAAAAATACTGCTAAAATGCATTCCAATATTTTAATTTAATCTCAATTAATCTAAACAAACTCAGTTTTGAATAATTTCGGTCTTGGTCAGATCAAGAAAAGCATTGTTTTAATAATTATTTTTTAATAATTTTTGTAATATCATAACTGCCTTGAATTGTTAATTTTGAATAAATAATTGACTACAACTCTTAATTATGAGTAAATAGTAGGGAGGTATGCCCTCATTAGTATCTTTCATGAATTGAGGTTTAGAAAATCTCGAAAAAAAAATATTGGGACATATGTTTTTAACTTTTTGTCTTCAAATATTGCTTCAATTTTTTAAAATGAAAAATATTTTTCTTTAAAATTAATTTAGAAAATCAAGCATTAAAAAGTTATAGCCGATCAAATTCGGAGAAAAGAGAAGAAGAAAAGGATAATGTGGGCATATAACACAAGAGTACCTTTGTTGCTTTTTGTGAGGTTGAATTTGCTCCTTATAATTAGAGTTTTGCAACATTGTAACCTTAAAAAAGCCCAAAAAACTCATATTTGGCACGATATCTTGTTCCTACATTGGACCTATTTGAGCCTAAAAAATCTAGGGTAATAGTTCGGATGAGACCCCCCCCCCACCTTTTTCCCTTCTAAAAGTATTAAAAAATGGTCAGTCATTCTATCCCAAAAAATGAGCTTGGTCCACCCTTTTATTTTTCAATTTTCGGGAGTCTGTATCTCGGCCCAAAGTTAAGACTGAGGTTGATTTTGGTGTCCTTCGACACAGCTCGACGAGTTCTATAAGAATGACTGACCATTTTTTAATACTTTTAGAAGGGAAAAAGGTGGGGGGGGGGGGGTCTCATCCGAACTATTACCAAATCTAGTTCCGGCCTTTTTTGAGTGACCTATAAAGAACATACATTGGCCTCTTTTGAACCCATTTTAAATTTTTTTGAAAAAAGCAAAATTGGCATAATGTAATAAGAAATAGTAAATGGCAGAGAAATAGAGCAATTTCAACAGCTTCTTAAAAAAGTTGCACTTAAACCAGAAATAAAAGCTCTATTTTTCAATTTTTAGACTTAAAATGTCGGACTTTACTTCCAATATAAAATGCGAAAATGAGGTTGGGGATAGTTCTTCTGCAAGTTCTTCACAACGGTCTTTAAAGATGTTTAAAGAGGGAATACTTACTGATTGTGTTGTTGAGGTAAGTTTTATTTTCTTATAAATTTTCGGGGGCTCTAGCATTATTACCTCATTCAATAAATAAAGGTCTTCGAAACCACGTTTTTGACAAAAAATCCAATCGGTTTCCAACTACAAATTAATTTCTAAAAATTTACAAAAAAATCTTTTTAGATTGCCAACGAATCAATAAACACACATAAATTTATTTTGGCAAAAAACAGTGTTGTATTTCAAAGAATGTTTGAATTTCAAAGAATGTTTGAACAAATGGGAATGACTGAAGCACAAAATGTAATCTTAACTAAATATACACAGCAGATCAGACTAAAATTTTTCCGTGCGCCTCTGACTTTATATCCAGCCAACTAAGCCATATTGCCGCGTTGAAATGCGAGTATCAGCCTTTGGCTATTTTGATCTGCTGTGATTATAAATAGTTCATTTACGTGTCTAAAATTTTTAGGGTAAAATCAAAATTGTTGATGCTTCTCCAGAATGTTTTAAAGCAATGCTGGAATATTTTTATAGTGGAGAAATTGATGAAAGTATTTTTTAAAAATAAATTTTTAATGACTAAAAAATTAAATTTTTAAAGAAACACTCGAAAATCATTCCAAAGATTTATTTGCTATTGCACATAAATACCAAGTAAAGCAATTAATGGACGTTTGTGAAGATTATATGATCTCAACTATTGGTAGAAATAATTCTCAATTTTCATACCTTTTTTTATTTAGCTGCTCAAAACTTTAGCCAGTTCTTTCTTTTTGCTGAATTATATCGTCTTTCAAAACTTGAAAGGGTAAATTAAGTTATTTTACATTTTTCTGACAATTGCGGATAATTTAAAATTTGCGGACAAAGTTTGCGGACTGTGTAATATACATTAAAGTATCCGCATTGGACGTCTAAAGAGCATTTTATTTTAAAAAATCATGAAAATTTTGATGGGTATAAACCAGAGATGGACCCTCCCGATTTTATAAAGCGGAATTCTGTGGAAAGCTCATCCCTAGTATAGTCGCCACTAATTTTTCAGGCTTGTGTTAATTTCCTTTCTGGTAATAAACAATGTTTCTATTTTTTACCTTAGTATTTTTCGGTTCCGGATATCTAGAATCGAGAAAAGTCCGGATAACCGTACACAGTTTTTAGTTCGGATATCGGTTCCGGATATCCGGAGATTCCCTACGAACGATTCCCTATTCCTTATACGACATTGACTTTATAACATATCAAAAGATTTAAAAAGCGGGAGGGCCTAAAAAGCGAAATGCTTTGGAGGCGGGAGACAGCCCATCCCTAGTATAAACATTTCTTCAACTAATTATTCAAATCAATTTTTACAGGCCTGTGTTAATTTCCTTTCTGCTAATAAACAAAGCTTCTTAGTCAGCAAAGAATGGAAAGAATTTAAATCTCTTAATAAAGATTTTGCTATTCATTTACTCGAATCGTCAGCTTTAAACGAAGAAAAACAAATTGAAGAGAAGCAAGTTGTTAGCACTTTTGTTTGCTCAGATTGTGAACGGCGTAGGAATCATCCTTATTACCCTTGGAGTATTCCTTGTCCTCAACAGCAGCACTTAACCCAACAACAAGTTCATCCTTATCCTTGCAGCACAACCGAACCCAAGCACACCCACTTACCTCAACAAAAAGGTTTCCAGTGGAACTGAAATAATTAAAACTTTTTTCACTATTTCTTTCGTTTGCTATTTTGATAAAGATATTCACTTTCAACTGTGAGAACTTGAAAATCTAGGGCTATAAAATTATGCTAGGCAAAAACAGATAATACGATCCTAACTGTTTCGGAATTTCGATTTTCGAGGGTTTTTTTCTTTTGATTTTGGCGATATTTTCGAATTTTTGAAAAAATCTGAATTTTTGGCGCTAAAAAGTAGAATTGATCTAGGCGCCAGATACAGGTTTATTTGAGTTTAATTGAAAGTTTAAAATAAGTTTTTAACTTAGTTGAAGTATGAAACCTTGCGCGTGAACTCGCGCTTTCCTTTAGAATTGAGGAACAATAAAAGGATTACTATTGAACAAGTATGAAATCCTATTGAGTTTCTTATTGCGTGTTCCCATTATATTCACTTATTTTTATTTTTACTACTCAGGATTTTCAAAATTATTATGTCTGTGAAACAGACATATTTATTGTACAATGACCCTAAGCTCTCAAACATAATTGAGGAATTAATTTATTATATTTATTTAATCATTTATTAAATTAGGGTCAAGGGAGGCTCCGAAGAGCACTGAAAATGAGGGGAATGAAACAAGTATATATAGGGACTAGGAAGGGCGGAAAGATTATGAAAACATAAAGAAAAGCATTTGGTTGATAAAATAAGTTTAAAAGGAAATATAGGTTAGAAGGTCAACAATTTGAAATAAGATGAAAGGAAAAATATTTGAAAGTTGGAATGAGGGAAACATTTGAATATATTAATAAATGGGGCAAAATAGATTAAAAGTAAAATGATGAAAATATTATAAAATATATGAATCACGGACATAACACTCCTTCCTCCTTCAAGAAATCTATCTCCAATAGCGAAGTACTATCGTCGGAAGAGTTGTCCAGATTTTCCGGTGCCCTCCGCTTAGAAGCGGGAATTTTTATTTCTCCGATTTACATAATTTTCTCACTTTATCTAGTGGACTATAATTTATTATCATGGGTTAATTTTTTAAAGCCATTTTCTTCTCTCATCTTTTCTTCTCGTTCTTAAAGTTCTTTTTTTTTAACTTTTTTTCAAACTTCAAATTATGCTAACTCGCCAAACGGCGGATTAATCTATCTTCGCTCACACGTAATCCTTCTATGTCACCAAAGTTATCACTGCTTTGGAATTCCACTAAGGCAGCTCTCAGCTATCATCCTTGTGGACGGCATATAGCTCTCTGGAGGTAAATACTGCGCAACATAGGCTTATACAGTTACGATGCTATGGCCGTCTTATGTTTAAACAGCTGCGCATTTCCCGCGACTTACGCCAAATATCCGCTGCGCATACCCGCGTCTTACGCTCTACTCGCCTATCATCAGGCTTTTCTCTATGCACATCACAACTCGGGCTTAAATTACAACCACTTAGTCTCTCCTCGTCCCTCAACAGTGACGGCTCTTTAGACATTTATTTGAAGGAATACTAAATATTAATCTCGTCTAAAACGGTTATCAATCTTTTGAATCTAATTTTTTCCTCGGGTTTAACCCGGCATTAACAATTGACTTTTTCTCTTTCCCCTTTTATTAAACTCGGACCATGTCCGGATATTTTCCCTTTTTAAAATTATTTAAAGACAATTTCTGGCTCGGGTACGTGGCACCATTTTTATATTTGTACCCGGATATTAATTCAATTATTTTTATCTCGGTTCGTGTCCGGTTTAAATATATTTTATTTTCTCGGGCAAGTGTCCGATGTTCATGCTGTGGAAAAATTGTGGATGGGAGATGGAATTGAATGGAGAAATTGATGAAAGTATTTTTTAAAAATAAATTTTTAATGACTAAAAAATTAAATTTTTAAAGAAACACTCGAAAATCATTCCAAAGATTTATTTGCTATTGCACATAAATACCAAGTAAAGCAATTAATGGACGTTTGTGAAGATTATATGATCTCAACTATTGGTAGAAATAATTCTCAATTTTCATACCTTTTTTTATTTAGCTGCTCAAAACTTTAGCCAGTTCTTTCTTTTTGCTGAATTATATCGTCTTTCAAAACTTGAAAGGGTAAATTAAGTTATTTTACATTTTTCTGACAATTGCGGATAATTTAAAATTTGCGGACAAAGTTTGCGGACTGTGTAATATACATTAAAGTATCCGCATTGGACGTCTAAAGAGCATTTTATTTTAAAAAATCATGAAAATTTTGATGGGTATAAACCAGAGATGGACCCTCCCGATTTTATAAAGCGGAATTCTGTGGAAAGCTCATCCCTAGTATAGTCGCCACTAATTTTTCAGGCTTGTGTTAATTTCCTTTCTGGTAATAAACAATGTTTCTATTTTTTACCTTAGTATTTTTCGGTTCCGGATATCTAGAATCGAGAAAAGTCCGGATAACCGTACACAGTTTTTAGTTCGGATATCGGTTCCGAATATCCTGAGATTCCCTATGAACGATTCCCTATTCCTATATACACTGAGTTTATTAAGCGGGAGAGTCTAAAAAATTTAAAAAGCAGGAGAGCCTAAGAAAGCGGAATTCTGCGGAAGACAGCCCATCCCTAGTATTAACATTTCTTCAACTAATTATTCAAATCAATTTTTACAGGCCTGTGTCAATTTCCTTTCTGCTAATAAACAAAGCTTCTTAGTCAGCAAAGAATGGAAAGAATTTAAATCTCTTAATAAAGATTTTGCTATTCATTTACTCGAGTCGTCAGCTTTAAACGAAGAAAAACAAATTGAAGAGAAGCAAGTTGTTAGCACTTTTGTTTGCTCAGATTGTGAACGGCGTAGGAATCATCCTTATCACCCTTCTTGGAGTATTCCTTGTCCTCAACAGCAGCACTTAACCCAACAACAAATTCATCCTTATCCTTGCAGCACAACCGAACCCAAGCACACCCACTTACCTCAACAAAAAGGTTTCCAGTGAAACCGAAATAATTAAAACTTTTCTTTTTCGCTCTATTTCCTTCGTTTGCTATTTTGATAAAGATATTCACTTTCAACTGTGAGAACTTGAAAATCTAGGGCTATAAAATTATGCTCGGCAAAAACAGATAATACGATCCTAACTGTTTCGGAATTTCGATTTTCGAGGGTTTTTTTCTTTTGATTTTGGCGATATTTTCGAATTTTTGAAAAAATCTGAATTTTTGGCGCTAAAAAGTAGAATTGATCTAGGCGCCAGATACAGGTTTATTTGATTTAATTGAAAGTTTAAAATAAGTTTTTAACTTAGTTGAAGTATGAAACCTCGCGCGTGAACTCGCGCTTTCCTTTAGAATTGAGGAACAATAAAAGGATTACTATTGAACAAGTATGAAATCCTATTGAGTTTCTTATTGCGTGTTCCCATTATATTCACTTATTTTTATTTTTACTACTCAGGATTTTCAAAATAAGTGATTCGACTTTTTTTCTAGTTTCGTTTAAATTATTTTTCAGAGTTAACTATAAATTTTATTTATTTTTCATGGGACACGCCCAAGTAGGCGCGCGGCCAGGTAGGCGCAAAGCCATAACTAGCTGGAAACTTTCTGGCCATTACCAATTTTGTTACCAATCTCTTTAGCTCAATGAGAGGAAGCGTTTAATACTAAATTTGGTAGGATTCGGGGATCTTGAAGTAAGTTATGGCTTTGCGCCTACCTGGCCGCGCGCCTACTTGGGCTGTACCCATTTTTCATCTTTTGTTTAGAAATTTTCAGCTTCTGTTCTACTACACATATTTTTTTTATTTAGTTTGAAAATTTTAGTGTTGATATTTTGGATTTGACCTTTTGGGTCTCCATTTTCCCATCTATTTCCCCAGACTTGCTTATCGTCATTTTACTATGTCCTTTTCCACCCAAACTATTTTACATTTTTTGACCTCTTTAGAAAGAAGCCATTATTCTAGTCCTAGCCCCATTGACTATGCATTGCTTGTATTTAATAGATAAATTTATATTAATATTTATTCTGGGTTTTCCTCTGTATTTCTGAGAGTTGGATTTCATAGGTCTTATTTGATATCCTCAGTAAATCTGAAGGAGATGAACCAATACAAAGTTTTAAGTTAAGACAACATTTAAGTTTGTCTAAGTATTTAGTTTTTCATATATTAAAGCTCGGACATAACAGTGCCCAACTCTACTGTTTACTAAATTTTGCGGATTTAAAACAGGACGGGACTTGAATTTTGCGGATACCAGAACAATTTTTCTCATAAAAATCTGATAAATATTAAATTTAGACAAAAAAACTTCTTTCCAAATTCATACTCAACAATATAAATTTTTAGATTTCTGTTGATTTTTTGTGAAGTTGAATTTGTTCCTTACAATATGACTTCACTACGGTCCTTAACTATGTTCAAAGAGGGAATACTTACTGATTGTGTTGTTGAGATACGTTTTATTTTTAATTAAGAGGAACTAATACTCAACAGGAGATTTTAGAATTGTTTAGGCTGTTTCGAAATTTTGATTTTCGGAAATTTGACTTTATTATGCTAAAAAGAAGGGATTCTGTCTATTGGCCTTCTAAAATTTTCAAACATTTCACCTTCGGAGCTAAAAGGAGGAACCTCTGATTTGCCAAGTTTCTGCCATCCCTAACTCTATATGGCAACCATTAACAAGTCCACACCTTATCCGATTCTTCATTAATTCAAAAACTAGATTTTAATTAATTTCCAATTACAAATTAATTTCTAAAACCTATAAAAAAATTTTTAAATTATTCAAATAAATATTTTTAGATTGGAAACGAATCAATAAACACACATAATTTTATTTTGGCAAAAAACAGTGTTGTATTCCAAAAAATGTTTGAATTTCAAAGAATGTTTGAACAAATGGGAATATCTGAAGTACAGAATGTAATTTTTTAATGTTTTTAATTAATCGGTAATTAAATTATTTGCAATTTTTGCCTGTCACGGGAACATTAAGCAAGATTTTTTGAATTAACGCCTCTATACTAGACCCCCCTCCTCCTTAATAAAGGAGGATTGTTGAAAATAGTGCCACGGGGAAATACGTATTTTCTTAGAGACGAAAAATCGCAGAGCTACAGGTCCGTGAAAACTGAAGTACCATAGGGAAACTTGAGGTAAAAAATTAAAAATGATAGGTCGTTCGAAAGAGCTCGTCGAGTTAAGTCCATCTCTGACATTTCGTATATTTTCTATGAAATTTTCTCTATTTATATATTTAAAAATTTAAAGGGTAAAATCAAAATTGTTGATAATTCTCCAGAATGTTTTAAAGCAATGCTGGAATATTTTTATAGTGGAGAAATTGATAAAAGTATTTTTAAATTAATTGATATGTAGCTAAATAATTTTAATGACTAAAAAATTAAATATTTAAAGAAACACTCGAAGAACATTCAAAAGATTTATTTGCCATTGCACATAAATACCAAGTTAAACGATTAATGGATGTTTGTGAAAATTATATGGCTGCAAATATTGGTAGAAATAATGGTACTTATCCGTTATACCCCTCAAATTTTTTTCTTAATTTCCTTCTCCCGTCTCCATAAAATAAGTTAAAAATTTTTAGGTTAGATTCTCTTGCAATATAAGTAAACTATTCCCATAAAAGACAACGTTGAAGATGTCCCCGATCGGGAACTGAGACCGATAATCCCGACTATCACTAACAGCTGGGTACTTACGCCATGGAGTATGGTTCGTGCTTTGCAGCAATTTGGTCCATCAGGATGTCGAGATTGGGAAATCTCGAATAGGGGAAAAATTAATTTTACCAAATCTAACAACCAAAATTCAACTTTATTTAAACTTTAATTTTCCAAACAAATAATTTAAATTTAACAAATAATCTTTCTTTAACATATAAGGAGGAAAGAGACAAACAAATTTAGATTAACAGAATATTATCTTTTCTTTTATCAAAATAGAGGGCTCATATCAAGAAAATCAAGAGGGGAAATACTTTAAATCTAACTGGGGAAGGGAACAAAAACTTCAATAACAAATCTTCAGGTGGAGAAAAATTGTAGTTTAAGAACCTTTTACTTTAACGGGGAGAGGAATATCTGGATAATTCAAAACCTTTCAATAACTTTACTTTAAAAACTTTACTTTTAATCGGGGAGAAGGATAGTTCAGAAACTGACGAAAGGCCACTCACAATTTTATTTTATACTCGGTAAAGAGGAGGAGATTTTTGGAAAGTGTTGGGATCAAAATACACAAAAAAGGGACATACTAAAAATCTTTTCTAGTTAGCTGGGCAGGCCAATGACAGGTTCAAAATTTTGAGTAAGGAAAGAAAAGGGCGCATAGGCCAACAAAAATTGTACAATCTTACAAAGGAAAGGATTCTTTTTGGCCCGTCAAATTAGCATTTTTGAGCGGGCAAATATTTTAAATATATAGACAAAAATTTCTTCGGCCAAAGTTTAATAAATAAAAAATATTCAAATCTAAAGGATTTGACAAGGAAAATCTGGTGACATTTTGGGGGATGACGGATAAATACCAAAATAATTTTCAACTGTTTTTCATCATAATTTTCTTTTAATTTTAGCTGCTGAAAACTTTAGCAAGCTTTGTCTTTTTGCTGAGTTATATCATCTTTCAAAACTTTCAAAGGTAGATTGTTTAATCTATTTAGTGACAATTGCGGATACTTTTAAATTTGCTGACAAAATTTGTTAGGCGCAAATATTTATCCTATTCGGTTGGAACATTTAGAAATCTTTCTAAAAAATCATGAAAATTTTGGTGGATATAAAACATTTTAAATACTATTTCAACTAATTTCGACAGGCATGCGTCGATTTTCTTTCTGCTAATAAACAAAGCTTCCCGAATTGTGAACAACGTAGGAATTCACCTCGTTATGACCCTTGTCCTGTATATGCAGGTGGATGGTCTCATTGCTGAGCTCTTGTTTATTGTCCAAATAAAAAAGACTCTCTCTCCAAATCTATCAGCTAGCCCTTATTTTCATTGAAAAGAAGTGAATTCATTTGATATATGTAATCTTCTCGGATTATTTAAATCCACCACAATTTTCATGATTTTTATTTTTTAATTAAAACATAACATTTGCCAAGAATTCTTTAAAAGGATTTATTGTATTCGATGAGAATGAGATTTATTAAATCAAAAAATAAAGATGCCTTCTCTGTCTTTTTAGGGCTAAATCTAATATTTTTCAGGGATGTGTTAATTTTCTTTCTGCTAATGAAGTCTTTCTTAACGGCAAAGAATGGGTTGAATTTAAATCTCTTAATAAAGATTTGGCTACTCGTTTGATGGAAGAAAATATTCTTGGTAGAAAAGGTAAAGAATAAAGCTCTTGTTCAATCACCCAGTTCTTGGTGTTAGAACCAACGGTCCTGTATCGTATGTACCGTACTTCTGGGTGAGTAGAGCTTTCTTCCCATAGATTTCATGGTAGTGAAGAACTGGGTACTTAGCGCTAGAGATTTACATTAGACATTTTTTTTGGAAAAAATTATTTGAAACAAGAAAATTTCAGATTCATCAAACAAGAAGAAGAAAAGTGTTAAAGTTAGGAGCTTAAATGCAATGCAGGTAAAGGATTTGTTTGGAAGTTTAGAACAAGTTAACTCTTCTTTAACAAATAAGTGCTTCTGCGGAAAATTAACTTAGATATAATCTACTTTTTCGATTCAAGGAATTTGAAATTTTTTTTTGTATAAACACGAGAATCGGAGAAAAACATTGGGTCTTCATGAAAAATCAAAAATGGCCAAGAATGCTTTCAATATTTTCTACTAATATTTAAATTTTAAAGTTAGAAGCGTTGGAACAATCGTTTGAAATAAGTCCATTTCCCGACATTTATACAAGAGAGGAACTTGCTAATAATATTGGAATAACAGAAGCTCGAGTTCAAGTATGGTTTCAAAATAATAGAGCGAAGAAAAGAAGAGAAAGTTTAATGAATAATAATTAAAAAATAATCTTAATTGTTGCTGAAAGGCATTCCAAATATAATCATTTTAACACATTAACTCCTCTTTGAATAATTTTTGCCTTGAATACATCATGAAAATTGTTGTTTTACTCATCTTTGTAATATTTAATTTCATTGGATTATTAATTTATGTTTCTAAAATAAAATACTTGGTTCTCCTACTTCCGAATACCTCCCCTTGAAATAGGGAAAATAAAAAAATTTCAAAAGGCCAAAAAACTGAAAAAACATGTGTCTGTAGTACCCGCCATTCAGCGTAGAATTCTCGCCGTCTGGAGTTTTTAAGAAAATTGAAGAAATTTAAAAATTGTTAAAAATAAAAAAAATAATTCTACATTTTTCATAAAAATTATTTTTTTCGTTAATAATTGTTGCTTATGCTACTTGTTTTGGAAAGAAAAATGCTTAAAACAAAAAAAAGCCAGTTCCTTTCCGAGATTTTAATTTTTAGGGCAATTTATTCTACGTATACTGAATTGTCCCCTTTTTCTCGTATACTGAAACGGCGATACTGAAACGGGCTTTACCGTTGATTTTCTTAAATAGTCCATTGCAAGATCAACTTTGGATGAGTTATAGTTCTGGAGTTTTAGTAAAAATGAATAATCTTTGGCTTTAAAGACCTTCAATTTAAATAAAAACATCGATGAATAAAATTTTTTATTTTCAGATAATTTATAAAAATGATTTCTGATGTATTGACGGTTTCTAAACAAAATTTGATATTAAATAAAATAAATAATTATTTTTAGTTTGAATCAATTACTTGTAAATTTGAATGGAAATTATATGATTTAGATAAACACGGACATTTTATGCTAGATGGTCACTATTTGTCGAGTTTGTTTAAATTCAATTTTTAAGGCGCTCCGAACTTTGCGGACCCGATATTTTGCGGACTTAAAACTTGCGGATTCAAATTTTGCGGATCTGTGGGCCTGAAATTTACAAACAGACACTTGAATTAAATTTCGAGTCCGCAAATTTCACGCCACAATTTTTAATAAAATTTTAGGCAAGGAATTCTCCCATCCAAAATATCCTTCTGTTAAATGGCGGTTGCGTGTTTACCCGAATACTTGTCAGCTTAATTTTGGTGATTTTTTTAAATACTTTTTTATATAAATATAAAATTTCAGACGGCATTTTTGTTTCTCTTGCTCGAGTAGAGAATGTCGAAGCAAAAGATATGAAAGCTAGATTGGTAATATTCAATTTCGTTCCCCCCCCCCTTTTTTTAGATCCTCAAAGTATTAAAAAATGGTCAGTCTGACTTACGTTATAGAACTCGTCGAGCTGAGTTGAATGACACCAAAATCAAAAAAAATCCGACTTGATTTGACCGAAATACAGACCCCTGAAAATTGAACAACCATAGGGGTGATTTTTTAGAATAAAAATTTTTTATGCAAATGATAGCTCATTCGAAAGAGTTCGTCGAGTTGAGTCGAATGACACCGAAAACGACGTGACTGGACATGGTTTGACAAAGTTATGACATCAAGTGTAGACCTAACGGAGTCGACGACTTATGTAATAACTTTGTCAAATTTTGTCCAATCGCGCTGATTTTGGTGTAATTCGACTCAGCTCGACGAGCTCTTTCAAATGAGCTATCATTTGTATAAATTTTCGTCTTTATGGTTTTTCGCCCATATGGTTGTTCAATTTTCAGGGGTCTGTATTTCGGTCAAATCAAGTCGGATTTTTTTGATTTTGGTGTCATTCGACACAGCTCGACGAGTTCTATAACTTAAGTCAGACTGACCATTTTTTAATACTTTGAGGATGGAAAAAAAGGGGGGGGGGAACGAAATTGAATATTACCGCTAGATTTAATATTTATACATTGGATGATGATGGAAATAAAATTTTTTGTTGTCCGTATGTCCAAATATTTTTTTTTGGCTGTACTGTAGTGTAGCACCCACTTCAAAAAATTGCAAAACACATATCATTCGATTTGTCTCTGCGAGCTGAGTCGAATGGTACCACTCTCTTTCTGCGGAAATGCCTACGAGCTGAGATATAGGTACTTAAAAATCGAAAATCCAAAGAGGGACCAAGCTGATTTTTGGGGTCAAAAATTCGAATATGCATATGGCAGCTCATTCGAAAGAGCTCGTCGAGCTGAGTCGATTGACACAAGAATCGACGAAATCTGACTTGATTTGACAAAGTCATGAGCATTTGTTTTAGCTCCTTACCTTTGGTCTACGTGCAGGTTTTACTTGCTGTGGAGGAAGCCAGACATGTCGACCGCAGCTAAAATAGGCATAAGTTTATGTTACGAGCCCAGACCCAGCGCCCGTAGACTCCCCGCGAGGCGCGTGCCGCAAAACTCCGCGCGAAGCGCGGAGTTTTGCACAAGCGCCTCGCCGACGCCCCATAGGTTTATTTTGCTTGTTTTTGTGTCGTAACTTTGCTTAATCTTGTTCAATCACGGTGATTTTGGTGTCATTCGACTCAGCTCGACGAGCTCTTTCGAATGAGCTATCATTTGCATATTCGAATTTTTGCACCCAAAAATCAGCTTGGTACCCCCTATGGTTTTTGACTCTTTCGAGCTATATGTCTCAGCTCTTAGGCATTTCCGCAGAAAGAGAGTGGTACCATTCAACTCAGCTCGCAGAGACAAATCGAATGGTATGTGTTTTGAAATTTTTTGGAGTGGGTGCTACACTACAGTATATCCTTTTTTTTATTTTTAAAATTTGAATTTTTTATAGAAGCACAACATCCGTTTTTAGATTCGATACAGAATCAGATAAATATCAAGTTTTCAAATCACAAACGTCTGACAAGTCTAATGATAATTTAAAGGATGGAAAAGATTACGATTTGGTGAATGACTCAACGGATGCCTTAAATTTAGGTTATTTTTAGATTTATATAGGGGTGCTGAACAATGCTCCTCCTTGAACTCAACCAATCCCAAGATCCAAGCCCTGGGGGCTGAAATAGGGGTGTGCGCTAAAATTTTTGCGTTTGCTTTGCCGTTTTGAACGCAATTTTTTATATTTTTACTTTTTCAACACCGCAGACGAAATTTTGAGAATTTTGGGGGTTGTAAGCGAAAAAAATCCCTCCCAAATTTTTTCAAATTTCTCCCATTTAGAGAGGGAGCTTCAGCTACGCCTTTGTCTAATGGTACCAAAAAATATAAGATCCGCAGTAAACTATAGGGTAAAATTCCGTCATATCACCCGGAAACCGATTCGGACAAATGATATGTCATTCGAAAGATCTCGCCGAGCTGAGTCGAACGGCACCAAAATTAGCTGGGGGACTCACCTATGGGCCGAGATATTGGTCCTCGAAAATCGAAAAACCATAGGGGGGAGTAGGCTAAATTTTGCGGTGAAAAATTCGATTTTTCGAATGATAGCTCATTCGAAAGAGCTCCTTGAGCTGAGTCGAATAACACCAAAAATCAACGAAATCCGACTTGATTTGACAAAGTTATGATCTTTTATTTTAGCTCCTTACCTATGGCATCTGTGGAGATTTTTGCTGCTACGGAGGCCCCAAATACGTCTAGAGCAAGGGAGATAGGAATAGGTTTATGTTACGAGCCCAGACCCAGCGCCCGTAGACTCCCCGCGAGGCGCGTGCCGCAAAACCCCGCGCGAAGCGCGGGGTTTTGCACAAGCGCCTCGCCTACGCCCCATAGGTTTACGTTGACCATTTTGAAACTGTTTATCTCGGCTCATAATCAAGATTTCGAGCTGATTTTGTTGTCATTCGACTCAGCTCGAGGAGCTCTTTCGAATGAGCTATCATTCGAAAAATCGAATTTTTCACCCCAAAATTGTGCTTACTCCCCCTATGGTTTTCGATTTTCGAGGACCTATATCTCGGCCCATAAGTGAGTCCCCAAGCTAATTTTGGTGCCGTTCGACTCAGCTCGGCGAGATCTTTCGAATGACATATCATTTGTCCGAATCGGTTTCCGGGTGATATGACGGAATTTTTCCAACTATAGCCCTTGTAAGTGGGACGGGATAGCCAGATTCAAACGGATGGCCGGGTAGTTTATTTTTAGATTTTTTGTTGCTTTACTGTGAAGTTGAATTTGTTCCTCACTGCTACTATACTAAATGCGAGAATGAGAAGGGTGTGGATTGTTCTTCTGGAAGTTTTTCTGGAAGTTCTTCACAGAAATCTTTAGATATGTTTAAAGAGGGAATACTTACTGATTGTGTTGTTGAGGTAAGTTTTATTTTTGGATGTTTGTAATGATGTAAGAGTCCGATCCGTACTTATTTTTTGGAAGTTCATTACTTCAAGCCGACCATTGTTTATTATCTCATTCAATAAATAATTGTACTTCGGTGCTTTCCCAACTACATATCCACCTCTCCCGACTATCCTTTACCAACTCCTCATCAGGGATGGAACGGGTTGAGAAAAAAGTCCGGGTTTCGGGTAACCCATCCCTGGTCCCCATTCCTCTAATTTTTTTCATTAATTTAAAACAAAATTTTTGATAAAAATTCAATCGATTTCCAATTACAAATTAATTTATTAAATTCTATAAAATAAAAATTTTAGATCGGAAACGAGACAATAAACACACATAAATTTATTTTGGCAAAAAACAGTGTTGTGTTTCGAAGAATGTTTGAACAAATGGGAATGACTGAAGCACAAAATGTAATTTTATTTATAATTTGATTTTTAAATCAAGAGAATTCGGCTGTATGTGGGAGCACTAGGTAAGATTCGAAATATATGCCAATCGATTCCGCTCTTCGAACTGAGCTAAAGCCCCCGGCAATCCTGCAGTAATTGCTGAGCCCCCTCTTAAACAATGCCTCCCAATGAATGAAGATTGAAAAATAGAGCTGCGGCGGTTCCCAGCATTAGCCAAAAAGGATTGGGAAAAACGAGACTGGCAACAAATGGTAAAAGTATTGAGGGAGCATTTAAATGGGGCGTGGTTTAAATCTCATATGTTATTTACCTATATTTTCTTTATTCTTTTTCTCATCTTTACATCTTACGTCTTGTATATATTTTTTAAAAATTTTAAGGGTAAAATCAAAATTGTTGATACTTCTCCAGAATGTTTTAAAGGAATGATGGAATATTTTTATAGTGGAGAAATTCATGAAAGTATTTTTAAAAAATAATTTTAATGACTAACGAATTAAATATTTAAAGAAACAATTAAAAAACAAGCAACAGATTTATTTGCTATTGCACATAAATACGAAGTAAAACATTTTATGGAAATTTGTGAAAATTATATGGCTGCAAATATTGGTAAAAATAAGGGTACTTTATTAATATCCCCTCCCTATTTGGGTCAATTTTTTCCTTTATGCTTTTCTGTCTCGAAATGGTCAAATTTTTCGTTGCAAACATCAATTTACTAAGCTTGAGGAAAATAAATGAATGGCAATAAACGAAAAATTAATCTGACAAGGGAACATCGTTTTTGTACCATTCGATAGAGCATCATCGGCAATCCCGGAGAATTGGGGTCCCTGCGAAAAAAGTTTAAAAATAAGAAAAAGGATTTTTCTGGGGTAGAAAAATATGCTGATTACGAATCCGAGCTCAGATTTTGAAAAAGTCGAATCCCGAACCCGAACCAAATTTCGAATATGCAAATGATAGCTCGTTCGAAAGAGCTCATCGAGCTGCATCGAATGATACCAAAATCAACGCGATCGGACCTGTTTCGACAAAGTTATGACATAAAGTAAACCTCTGGGAGTACTGTAAGAGTCGGCGACTTATGTCATAACTTTGTCTAAACTTGATCAATCACTATAATTCTGGTGTCATTCGACTTAGCTAGACGATCTCTTTCGAATGACCTATCATTTGTATAAACTTTTTTTTACTCCAAAAAATCACCCTTGTAGTTTTTCAATATTTAGTGGTCTGTATCTCGGTTCAATCCGGTCGGATTTCATTGATTTTGGTGTCATTCGATTCAGCTCGATAAGTTCTAGATTCTTTTGAAAGACTGGCCATTTTGTACAATGTCCGACAATGTACGGAGTCAAAAATCCTGTTCGGGGGCAAAAGTCCGAATTCGGGTTCGGGATTCGACTTTTTCAAAATCTGAGCTCGGATTCATAATCAGCATATTTTTTTACCCTAGAAAAATCCTTTTTCTTATTTTTAAGATTTTTTTCCGCTGGGACCCCAATTCTCCGGGATTGCCTATTGCGACTTCCTATTGCGAAGTGATATCAGATTGTTTTAAAACGACTTTGGGCCTAATTATGGCCAGTCAAAGTTTCAGTCCTTGGGTGTGAGACTCAAATAGAAGGCGGGGGAGGGGGGATATAAATAAAGTACCGAGATATGTAACTTTCTATTATGTCTTTCATCATAATTTTCTTTTAATTTTAGCTGCTGAAAACTTTAGCAAGCTTTGCCTTTTTGCTGAGTTATATCATCTTTCAAAACTTTCAAAGGTAGATTATTTTATTTACCTTTATATTGCAATTGCAAATACTTTAAAATTTGCGGACAAAATTTGCGGATTACTTGGTAACAAATATTTATCTCCTATTCATATGGAACGTTTAAAAAAAGTTTTATTTAAAAAATCATGAAAATTTTGGTGGATATAAACCTTTTAAATATTTCAACTAATTTCAACAGGCTTGTGTCGACTTTCTTTCTGCTAATAAACAAAGCTTCTTAGTCAGTAAAGAATGGAAAGAATTTAAATCTCTTAATAATGATCTTGCTATTCATTTACTCGAGTCTTTAGCTTTAAACGAAGAAAAACAAACTGAAAAGAAAAAAGTTGTTGCTTGTGAACAACCTATGAGACTTTTTGCTTGTGAACAACCTAGGAGCTTTTTTGGTAGTATCCCTTGTACAACACAACCAAACAAGCAACCGAGTGTTTGGGCCTCAATGAAATAGATAAAACTCCTTTTTTGGTCCATTTCTTTTGCGTTCCATTTTGTAAAAATATTCACATACACCTTCGAGACGGAACGTCCCACTTCAGTCCCTGGCCATTTCAGTCCCGAGCTTGTAACTCGGGAATTTGGAAATAATTTATTAAACTTTTAGTATCATTGGATAGAGGATTAGATTCTCTACAAAATGATACCAAAGATAAAATAATCTTATTAACTGATAATGAAGTTATTGTCAAAAAACCGCCGTTTTTTAAAAAAGTCATTTTTTGCATGTTTTTTGATCATAACTTTGGTACCTGACGATCAAATTTTTTGATCAATAGCTTATTTTGTAGCTTAATTAATCCTCTATCCTTCGATACCAAGAGTCCCAAAAACTACTCGAACCTTCTCGAGTTATAGAGCTCGGGACTGAAACGTCCCGGGACTGAAGTGTCCCCTACCGCCTTCGAGAAGCTTTATCTCGATAAAATTTTAAAGATTTAAAATTCTTTTGTCAAAAAACATAGATAATACCCCTAAGAACACTTTTAAAAAAGTAAACAGAAAAATTTAAATAGAGAGACTCAAACCTAGGGACTCAAATACCTAGGGACTCAAATACCTAGGGACTTATACCTAGGTACTCAAAACAAATCTATCTCCTTTCAAAATTTCTTGAAATCCTCCTAATCCCCAAATTATCAATATCCATCTTATTTCCTCTAAATCTTCCGATCTAAATCTTGCTCACGGTTAAGCCCATGGCATAAACACGTTGTATGAATTAGTGTTATTCATTTGCGATTTTTCGAGATCGAGATTATCGAAAAAGATATCGAAAAAATCTCGATTTTTCCAAAAATTGATCGAGACGAGATCAGTAGTTAGTCCGGCGTATATGTCGCGGGGGGCAGCGGGGTCCAATCATTTAACCCCTCCCACATATTTAAACGGTATTTAAAATACATACATTCCGTCGTCAAAGGTCCAAGAAGTTTTCAAAAGGTTTAAAGCGTACTTTGATCAAACCGGTTTGGTGTGAACTTTTTAAAGAAAAACACATTGTCAAACCATTCTCCATATTTGTCACAAGATTACATATACAAAAGTTAAAAATTATTCCTAAAGGTTTAAGGGTTCAAGAAGTAGTTTTAAACCGGTTTAATCGGTTCAAAACACGATTTCCCACATTTATCACAAGATTACATATCCAAAAAGTAAAAATTGTTCCTAAAGGTTTAAGGGTTCAAAAAGTGATTTTAAACCGGTTCAAACCAAGATTTCCCATATTTTTCACTTTAAACTGTTCTAAAAACTTTTTCTTCTAAAGTTTCACCTTTTCCTCTATTTTCTATTCATTTCTCCTTTTTTTACCATTAATATTTGAAAAAATTACAAAATTATTGTAAAAAAGGAAAATATATAATAATTATACAAAAAATCATTCATGCAATAATTTTGCAAAAATTATTGTTGTAAAGTAATAATTATATAGAATAGGTCATGCAAAAATTATTTTGCAAAATTATTGTTAGATAGGGAAAAAAGGTTAAATATAAAATAAAAAGTAGTTAAACCAACCCCAATGTTGGTCAAAGATTTTAAAGGTTTAAGGGGTGCTAAAATGTTTAAACGGTTTGGAATATTTTGACAAACCGGTTTAGGGTGTAAAAATTTTAAATAAGTAGAAATTTCCCAAGACCAAAAAGTTCTCTAACCAAAAGGCTCAAGAAGTTCCCAAAGGGTTCAGTAGGTACTTTTGAACCGGTTCAAGAGGTACTTTTTTAAAATAATTGAAAAAACACTTCGCCAAACTATTCCCTAGCCTCACACATCTTCGTGGGTAAATTGACATCCTGACACATGTCAGTTGACATTTCGACATATGTCAGTTGACATATGTCATTTTTGACATTTTGATCAGTTTGATGAGTTAAATCGTACCAAAGTGGTTTGAAACTAAAATCGAGCTCAAAACTCGAGTTCTAGACCTTGGAACATGAAACTTTTCCAAGTATAGGCATATAGGTACTTTTTCTGACCGGCTCGACGAGCTGAGTCGTATCATTCTCAGGAGATTTTGAATGGAAGCGGTATAAAAGACCCCAGGTTTCCACAATCTTTAATCAAAATGCTTATATTATTTTTATTATTTCCCCTTTCTTCTTCTTCAAACATATCTCTAGTAGATGATCCCAGATGGCAAGATATGTGGAAACAAGAACCCTGTAGATGTCCAAAATACTTATTGAATTTACCCCTTAACATTACAGGTCCTATACCAGGAAGGTGTCAGTGTCCAATACACTTATTAAAAGCATCTAGGGCAAATGCAGAAGACTTTGAATTTTATAGGTT